GTAACACCACTAAACCACCTGGTTTTCCAGCACCAGCTGGTGTTTTTCAGCAGAGGCAGCCCTTCCAGGCTCGACAGGGGCCAGCCCCACAGCAGCAGCCCTACCATCCTAGGCAGGGGCAACCATTCCAGCAGCCCCAGCGTCAGTATGTTGAGCCAGCATCAGCTCCGGCTCCAGATAATCAGATGACGAAGCTGGAAAATATTCTAGCTTCATTCATGACTGCCACCCAGGCAACTGTCACGAGGCTGGACCAGAGCATAGCCTCATTGGAGGCAGGTCAGAGGAACCAAGGTGCCATTTTGCAAGATTTGCAGAACCAGATGGGTGACATGGCTCGCCAAATTAATACCCAAGCCCCGGGAACTCTACCTGCCACTACCATCCCCAATCCACGGGAGCCGCACCAGAAGCTGGATGCCATTTTTACCAGGAGCGGTAAGACCATATCCGCTGATCCTGTCCCTGCCAGGCAGGAGGAACCACTACCTGCTTCAGCACTTTCAGCCGACGATGCAGAAGTGCGGGTGGAGAAGGAAGCCCCTGCTCCCAAGCCACAACCAGTGGTTAAGGAGCATGTACCCCAGCTTCCCTTCCCCACTCGCCTACACAAAGACAAGCTGGAGACTGAGTTTGCCAAGTTTATGGCAATGTTGAAGCAGCTCAACATCAGCATACCGTTTGTGGAGGCACTGTCGAAGATGCCCAAGTACGCGCAGTTCATGAAAGATCTCCTCACCAACAAGAAGAAACTTGGGGATCTCTCGACAGTGTTGCTGAGCGAGGAGTGTTCTGCTATCCTTCAGAACAAGCTGCCCGAAAAGCGCAAGGACCCAGGGAGTTTTACTATCTCTCTTACTATTGGCAGCATGCATGTAGGCAAGTCCTTGGCGGACCTAGGCGCTAGCATAAATGTCATGCCATATAAGTTGTATAAAAAGCTAGACCTAGGTGAACTTAGCCCTACTAGGATGAGCATTCAGCTAGCTGATCGTTCCATTGTGCATCCTAGGGGGGATCATTGAGGATCTGCTTGTTAATGTAGGTGCATTCACATATCCTGTTGATTTTGTTATTCTTGATATACATGAGGATGTGGATGTGCTTTTGATTCTGGGTAGACCATTTCTTGCCACCGCCAAGGCACTTATTGATGTGCATGATGGTAAACTGATCCTGCGTGCTGGGAATGAACAAGCTACTTTTTCTGTGACTGATTTCGATCACTGTGCTATGATTGCTGTCACACCTGTGCATGCCATTTCTGATCAGGTACACGAGCCTGTCGTGTATCCTTCTGCACCTCTCATTTTGCAGGACCCTCCTATCATTCCTTCGCCGCCACTCCATCCAGCCTCGCCTCCGAACAAAAAGATCAAGGAGGAGTGGCGGCCGAAGCAGCAGGTTGCTAAGCCTGCACGGAAGAAAGGTGGAGACCACTACGAGCTGGTTCCACCTCCTGCACCACGACCACCCTGGCCATCCGAGTACTCACTCGCCTGCATCTTGCCGGATGGCCAGGTCGAGCTGACCAATGCTGGTGGTCGCACCCGTCGGGTGCATGGCCACAACCTGAAGTTGTACCTAAAAAGCGACGTGGACCCGCTCTTGGAGTCACCTGTTCCTGCACCCCGCTGAGTATCCACCATGGGCGTCCAGCTAAAAGACGGTAAAGAAGCGCTTGTGGGGAGGCAACCCCACCACGGTTTGACTTTCTTTCTTGTGTTTTGAGTCGGATTGTAAACCGGTTTGGTTTTGGTTTGTGTTCTTTTATTTTGGATGATGTATTATTGGGCTGACCATTGGACCTAACATATTGTGTTTGAGCTCTTCTGTTCCCCTTTAGCTGTGCTTTGTTCCAGACTGGTCCCTCTCCAGTCCACTTCACTCGGCGGATCCGCTTCCAGTCTCATGTAGTCCGTGCACACCGGTAACATCGTTCCCCTTATCCTTTCCTCTTCTCCATTGAGGGAAATGTCGATCTTAAGTGTGGGGGGGATGTTTATCTTTTGACTGCATTAGATATGTTTGTGTGCTTGGAGCCTAGTCCACTGTCCAAATCTCGAGATTTGAGGGCTCCAAGCATTGCTGTTTGCCTGACGTTTGATCGTATTGGCAATGTGGATGTGATTAGTGAATTGAATGGCTTTTTGACTTGATGCATGACAACTTGAGTGTGACTAAGACAACTTATTATGATGACTGAGATGTGCAGTAGAACTGTGTAGGGGTTCAGTTTTTCAACTGTTTGCTTACCAACTTGACTTGGATTGATCACTTGCTTTTGACAGTCATTTATGCATCTAGTTCAGGGAATCAGAACGAGAGATAGAGCATATAGGTAGCCATGTGAGACTTGAGCCTGCTCGTTTCTTTCTTGTGCGATAGTTCCCTCTTCCATGATGTTCAGCATTCACGTTGTCATTAGCTAAGATGATGGAGGCATAGGATTAGCCCACGACCAAATTGACTGTCCTGGTGTGTCATACCCCCTAGTCAGCCCCTTTGAGCCGTGTGTTTTCCTTTCTTTCGGTCTTCAATGAAAAGTCACCCTTTTGCATCTTTTAGAAGGTTCCACAGAGTGATTTTTACATGTTCTCTGCTGTTTCTGCTAAACGTAATGTGAGGGTTGGAGGTAGTGCTTAAAAGTTGGGCAGGTGTTTGAAAATGTGCAGAGGTGGTGGTTCTCTTAAGAAATGAAAAAAAATGAAAGAAAAACAAAGAAAAAATGGAAGCAAAAGAGAGCCACCACCAAAAATCTTAATAGTGCCCATTAAGTAATGTTTCTTAGCAGTCTGGCATAGAAATACTAGCATTTATGTGACCTCCTTCGCTCTTGTGTTCTGAAGAATTTCAGTAATGCAGAATAGCAGAAAGAAAGTTATTGGTTTGATTGGCTGTGAGTTTGTTGGGTTTGGAAATGTGGAACCTTGTGCTATGAATACTTCCACCACCTAAAAGGCCTTTTCCCCATGTCCAAGACCCTAGCCAGTCATCTGAACCTGTGTCTAAGACCTCCGGATTAGTTAGTGGTGACACCCCATATGTGAACTCTAGAATTTAGAGGTTGCATTCATGGTGAAGAGACGTTAGGGATTGAGAGAATAAGCATGCACATTTTTCGCATCAAATTGTCCTGACCCCACTGGTCGAGAGTGAGCGATTCATTTTCTCATATTCTCTATACTCTTTATCCCGGTGAGGACCTAGATTGCTCGGTCTTAATTCTGATATCTTGAGCTTTGTGCATGAAGTGACTGTTTTGAATAAGTGGTTGAGTCAAGTCTATGTTGGTTGGTGAACAGAAGGGAACTCTTCCTTTGCTCGACTTTATTGCATTCGAATGTCATATGTGGTGGTTGTCGTTGAGGTTGTCCATGTGTTAATGATCGAAAGCCAATATGATCCACGTGTTTTGTGCCGATATGATATGCCCTAAAGCCTGCTTGATTGAAACGTTTTGAGCTTACCTTGTGTCTGACTTGGTTTGCTTGGGGACAAGCAAACGGTTAAGTGTGGGGGGATTTGATGACTCGATATTTGCACATGTTTTCCCCTTTGTTTCTTGATCGTTTGAGCTTTAATTATCGCGTGTTTGGCCTATTGTACGCTAGGTTGTGTTCCTTTGTCACATTTCAGGTCCTAGCACATAAAGTGAAGTATAGGCGCAAGTTTCAAGTCAATCAGAGATCAATTGGCGATTAGGGAGAAGAAACTCGGCCATGACCTGAAGAAAAATGGATTTATACCTCACTTTATGGACAAAGAATCATGCAAGCTTGTCATGAAAAGAAATAGGATGAGACTACGAGCGTCTGGGATCAAACGGCGATTGATTCGAAGTCCGGACGAGGGAGAAACGAAGCATTGAATATAGGGGAACAGGTTCGGCAGTAAAAACACGGGCGCGCCTAAATCAAAACACGGCCGTGCCCATATTTAGGCACGACCGTGTTTTGACCGACGCGCGCGGGCGTGTTTTTAACACGGGGCAAAACACGGGCGGGCAAAAGCAAAGCACGGCCTTGCCCTCGACCGTGTTTTGCCCAGAATCGGGTTTTTTAGGCCGATTTCAGCCAAAAGAGAAGGGGGATTCGAGTTTTAGACAGACAGAGCGATTCCTAGAGAGACAAAGCGATGAACAAGAGTTCCCAAGTGCCCTAGCTTGATCTTCATCACCATTGGAGCTTGGCTTGAGCTTGGAGGAGTGCCGATCAACGTCCAGGAGCAGAAATCCATCCTTCACAGTATGATTTCCGCGTCTGAATCTGCTTTTGCTTCTTTCTCCATGGAGTAGTTCTCCCATTCATTTGGGTATGGGAAACCCTAGATTTGTATGTTAGGTCTGATTGTATGAACCCAAGTACAGATTCTATGATTTGATTATGTTCAATTGAGGTTTGAATGATTGAATGACTTGAATCCTGATCAAATTCCTGTTATTTCTGCTTTAACATAGAATGAGAATATCTGTCTAGGTTGATAGAGCATCCTTGATTGAAGGTAGGGAGTTGGTGACTTTAGTCGAGGAGCCAACTCACTATTCTGTACCGAATTTACTTCGGTAGTGGAGGTTTTGTTCGTTAGGGCCTCAATCTGTTTACTCCGGTGGAGGTTAGTCGCCCGCTAGAGACTCAGATTGAGAGGGTCTGGAGACCTTTAGTCGAGACTTCAGGCTGTTTAAGAACCTTCCGCAGTATAACTATCATAGAAACTGAACTTGGTAATTGCAATCCGGCTTAACTGCAGTCTAGGGGGAACCATATCCGGGTGACGTCTCTTAACCTGAAAACAACCGTTTACTTGCTTTGTTTGTTTGTTAGTTTAGACTTGCATTAAAGTTTCATTGCTAGATACAAGAATTCACCGAGTAGTCATCAAATCTAGGACCCGGGTTGACATTAAAACCCAAACCCGCTATACTACACTTTAGGAAGTGGTTTCACTTGGCCAATTCCTAGAGTGACAGTAGAAGTGAGTCGTAGTTGTTTTTATACTTAAATATTTGAAAAGTTTTATAACTTATGTGTTGAAAAGTTTGATTTTATCATAGATGATGCATATAATTACATATTTTATTGTTTAGGGATGAAAAATAATTTAAAACTGAGAAGATACATCATACAAGTAGCCTCACAAATTCGGTTTTGTGTGAAAAACCGAACCAAATTATAATTCAGTTTGAGATTTGAGAGAATTCGAGAACCCAATATTCATAATTTCGATTCGATCAAAACCGAACCGACCGAATGTCCACCCTTGCTCTCTACCACTTCATAAACACCAATACCTTATCTCAAAACAAATCAATACAAGAACAGAGTCGGAGTTCTTTCCTTCTGTGGGCTTGCCATCGTCGTATCTCGACCCCCGGGCGATTGTCATGAGAGGATTAACTCACCAGATTTAAAATTGACGGGGACAGTTATCTCTCCTCTGGGAACAATTAGATTTGGATCGGGGCGGAGTTATCTCTCATTTGCTTCGCGTCCTGTCACTGAGAAGAAACTACAGTCCTCTGCGAACAAGCAGGCATGCTTCGCTGAAATCCAACCTTCGCCTCTTCTTCTCTTTATTCTATTCAAAAAGCATATGAGTACCAGAAGAACCCGTCGGATATTTGCCTGTTGCAGAAGACAACGGAGACGGAGTCAGATTCAGCAAGCTGACGACGGAGGGAATGGTCGAATTCGGTGAGTTTGGCGAGGTGGGAGAGGAATCGACCTTGGAAAGTGAGGGTGGAGATCAGGGTTCGCAGGTGATGATGGGATCGCGATTGGTTGTGGAGGTGGAGTTTGGAGAAGGTGGAATTTTTAGGAGGAGATGAGGTGGAGTTTGGCAATGCGATGGTAGGCTGCACTGCACTCCAGATCTCTGGCTATGGGTGTGGGAGAAGAAGAAAAATCGTCTTTTTAATTTTGATTATAAATTAAAAAATAAAAAAAATATTCTTCCGCATATGCCAACTCAGCATCACATCGGCCAACTCACCTCATCTAATAGAAATATTAGCAGAGATGAGAGATATTAGCATAGAGTTAACATTTGGTTAATTATTAGTAATCCAACAGATTTGATTAATAAAAAAGAATGCAGAAAAGTTTTGGCTAATTTTGAGTGTTACGGGAAAAGTACATAACACACAATGTAGTCAAATCATACTTATCCATTACAAATCTAGTCAAAACCTATATTTTAAAGTATTATAAAAAAACTTTAAAATTTAATAACTAACGTTTTTATGCTTGTAGTTATAGATAACCAAATCATTTCTAAATAGAATCACAATTTTGACTGGATTATAACACAAAAGAAAACAATGAAGAGTATTCTCTAACTATTACCCTAACAGTGAAAGAATTCTTAATTCTATGTGTAGCCCTACCCAATTCAATATATTAACCATGATAGCTAGAATTGAAATCGTATTGTTCTATATTCAAAAGAGAACGAAGTAAAATAGAGCCAAGAGTCCCACAAAAATCGATGGCGTATTGGTCTGTTTTCCCATCACAAGATATAACCACCCACAAATACAAAGAGAGAATCAACTTGCTCTCCATGAAATCAAAACATCAGAACAAGAAACAGATAATACAGAGAGCCTTGAAAGGTATTTACAGTTCTCCCACACCTCTTTCTCTGAATGATTGGTTTCCTGATCCTCCCAATATCAGTACAATCTCCACCATCACTTTCTTCCCCAGGGAAAGCAGTGACACTGCAAAGAAACCCCATTTTTCAATGACATTAACAACCATAATCCAAACAAACATAGTTAGAAAGATATGTGCTTTGGGAGAAAAATGTCATCACTACCAAGGTGGTTTCTCCCGAGTTGTGCTTCCGAGCATTTCCATGGGATGAGTCGCCATAGGTGCCACCAGGTCCTCTACCTGCCACGCCACCCTGTCTCTCCTCCCTCACCATGTTGAAGATGTGAGTATATCCATCTGCTGATGCCGGGTTGTTCTCGTCCCAGTCCCCAAACTTTGGTACAGCAGCACCCTTGTCAGGCTGATTCAAGGAATACATGTTAATAAACAACGACACAAGCTCTCAAATGAAATGGGAAACGAGGGTGGTGAAACTTTTACACTCTCATCGCCTTTCGGTCTCAATCTTGACCTTCCAGGTGTACCATGGCTGCTCTCATTGGAATTCTTCCCTTCCCAGACCGGTGATGGTGCCCCACTGGCACGGCCTCCTGAGATCCTAGCATGAGGATGGAGTGGCGAACGTTCGAAGCTGTTATCGGACCCAGCACTGTTCCTTGCAGGGCGGCTTACTGCTCCTCCTCCTCCACGGCCTCCTCCCTGCCCAGCTCTGCGGGTCCCGTTGTCAGGGCGTGCTGGAGAGCCAACAGCCTGTTTGACTGGTTCAACTTTGACAACCTTAGAAGCAGGAAGCAAATCTGGGTTCTCCATGGGATCATTTGGGTTGATCATCTTCCCATCGGTTCGGCCCTTCCTTGCCTTGTCGAAATATTGAGTGTATGGGACTTGCTCTTCACTTTCCCAGTTGCCAAACTTGGGCACATGTGAACGTTGCTGCTGCAGTTACAAGAAAGTTAATGTCTTGCTCACATTTTGACAAGAAAAGAAAAACGTAGCATCATCTAGTAAACTTAAAAGAAAGGAGAGAACAAATTAGGAGCAGAATGAGCAGTGTCTGAGCCCAATGCAGAATGCAGCTTCTCTATACCAATTTTCAGGCACATAAATAAGCATGGTAGGATAAACTAACATCAAAACATTGAGCGCGTAGCAACATCTTTCAGTTGATAAGGTTTCAAGTCCCATTCCCGGCGGGGGTAGGGAGACACAACAGGCTTTCTGCTGGATGGGGGAAGGTAAAAATTAATGAGGTGTGATGGTTCAGCACCTTGGATCACCGAGTAAGTCTAATGTATTGCATCAGCTAAGTTCAACACTAATGCTCCTGGTGAAATCAAATTGACCTATTGCTTTCCCCACAAGCAAGTACAGGATAGAATGTAAACAGCAATCCTGAGAAGAAGAAAAATAGAGCATCATACTATCTTACCAACTGCCAAACCCTCTCATAGATCAACAATAGTTTGTCTCAGAAAAAGTCAGAGCCGCTGTTACCGTTACTTATCAGGCTTACAATTTCAATAGTTATGTATCATCCACGATCCTCACTACCATAAGCCTTTATAAGAAGTGAAATGTGCAACTGTCCCACTGCTTCTTCGGCATCAAGCGTTCAAGTTGACACAGAAAGGATCAACCAAAACACATACACACATAACTGGACATAATTGAGATAATTTGGCAGCACTTAGGGATCAAACTCACGATGTTGCTCATCATGACTAAAACATCAATCATCTCAAATACGCAGAATCAACCTCAACACATCATTGGCCGCACCAATCCGGTGTTCTATTTCTACTTTAACTACTGAATTGAGACATTGGTGTCATCATGGCAATCAACACGTATTTCATCTCTCATAGGATCGCGCCAAATAATTGCTAGAAAAGCATTATGCATAAGCCTATCTGGTTCATGATTAACAACAGCCAAACATAAGAATGCATCACGTTTCCTTAACGTCTTCACAAATGTCATGGCTTAGATGCACACAAAACTACTTTTGGCTGCTCAATTCAAGATCATTGCATACCATCAAAACTGTTGTATAATTATCTAAACTCCAGCTTCCATTTTATTAATCCAACCTCTTAATTTCCAAAGTCAAACATCAGATTAAAAACCAACTCTTCCTATGATCGGCCTCGTTCATCCAAAATCACGGGTTACATGTTCAATCTAAACAAACTTAGAAACACCCATAATCGCTTTCCTTAAACTTGAGTACCCATAGCTCTCTAATCCAAACCAATTCGTCATTCACTTACATGTTCAATCAGGAGTAAACAGTTACACCTTCTCCAACAACATAAACATGAAACCGGAGCATTGCCAATCAACAACACCACAGCAACATACAAACCGCACTGATTATTCTATATGCAGCTACAACCTGGATAGAATCATCATCTTTCAACTTGAAAAGGCTGATATCTTCCCCAAGAGACAACTAGGGGGGAAAAAAGGAAAAGATGAGGGCAAGCACAGAACTTACTGCCATTTCCTCTTTCCAGTTCTGTTTCCAGCAAGGTTGGAGCAGAGCCCAGAAATCCCAGAGCTGAACCCTTCAACAAAATTTAACCTTTTCTTGTTCCTCCTCTTACGGCAATTACAACCTCAAGAGATCTCCCCCCAAAAGCAACCCTCGTACGACCCACTCTGCAAGATGGAATAGAAGAAAAAAAAGGAAGACTTTTCTAGATAGAGAAGAAGCTAGAGAGAGGGCGTCTAACCCAGGAGAAAAAGCAGAAGGCTGGTTTACAAGAAGAAAGGGAGAGAGAGAGAGAGAGGGAGGGAGCGAGGTTTATCAACCATTGACTGGAGCCACCGGTTTAGTTTGACGATTCTTTGGTTTCCTTCTTTCTCCTCCCCGAATTCTAAGTCTCCTTCTCTCTGTAAAAAACTACGAATAATATATAATTACATTAAACCCAAAAGGTAATCAAGTGAAAAAGGCGAAACCTTTGAAGTTCTCCTCCGGCTCGAGCTGTCCTTCTCCAACCACCATGTCCAATTTCACCCATCGCACTGCCAGCGACGTTTCCATTTCTTCCACCAAGCACGTAATCTCATGGTGTTTCTCTATCTATACTCCCATTTTCTCACAGTTGACTTTCATAGACAGGAGAGGAGAGGGTCAACTAATCGCGGATGGCCTGTTTCTCCGTTTTCCTGACGGGGTTAACGGCGACGGGGGAACTGTTAATGGCGGCTTGACCGGATCAACTCCTCCGTCCCGTTGAAAGGAAAAAGGGAGAGAGCGCGCTGTTGTTGGTTGTTTTGTCTGTGTCAGAGCACTGGGTAGTCTGTTGTTTTGTTTGTCGGCTTATGTTGGAGCATTTTCTCGCTGGCTAGATCGATCATTTCTCTCCCTTTTTTTTTCGAACAGTTTTTTTTTTTGTCGAAAAGATAGCTTGTATTAAACAAGAACACAAAGTTACAATAATTGTGACCTAAGCCACCCACAAAAATCAAACCCATTACAACTCGCAGGAAACAAAGACAGGGCCTTCTTAGTCACCATATGGACTACCCTACTGTTCTGTCTATCCACAAATTGAACCCTAAATCCTGGGGACATCAAAAGAAGATGGCGAATTTCCTCAAACAGAGCACCACCAGCAGCAGCACAAACATCCCCAGCGTTAACCTTGTCGATCACAATCTTGGCATCCCCCTCAATCGTAACAGCCTCCAAGCCACGATGTTGACACCACCTAATCGCATCCCGCAACGTTGATAGTTCAACAAGCATCGGAGAACCAACAGCCACCGCAGGATGATCAGCACCAAGGCCCCCCGAAGGCTCACCCATACCATTCCCATCCCCTTGGGGAAGTTGCTCCCATTCCGACACTTGATGTAGAAACTCCTGTCGGAGAATACTTGGGAGAGTCTGCTGACCCTCAAAGACCACAGAGTTCCACCCCTTCCATATCCTCCACAGTACACACATCAAACGCACAACACGCATAGGTGAAAAATCACTCCAAAAATCGCCTAAAAAATATGTTAACACATCCCACCGGCAAAACCTCTAGCTCATCAGCAAGCCCTGCAGCTTCCCACAATCCTCACGCAACCGGACACTGCAGAAAGAGATGTTCGGTGGACTCCTCCGGCGCCCAGCACACTGGACACCTCGCAAGGAGCTGCACCTTTTTCTCACGCAATGCCTCCATCGTTGGTAAGATCCGCCTCAAGAGCTCCCACGCAAAAAACTTGAGCTTAGGCTGCACAGGCATACCCCAAACCTTAATCCATAGCGTTCGATCCAGTTCTCTTTTACTTAGGAATGGGTTAGGGTGATTACTTGTTTTTTAGTAATCACGGTGGCAACCTCTTTATATACCATTTGATTAATTATTTTCCATTTTTTTTAATCTTACGGTCATGATTCTTTTAGGGTAATTTTGGAAATTAAAAAGTGACAAACCTGATTATTCTATATAATCTACCTAAACCCTAGTTCTATCCCCCCTCCAGCCAAACCCGTCGCACCGCCGGCAGCATCCCCGACCACCCTCGGCCACCGCCGGCAGCAGCCCCCGACCACTCTCTCTCTCTCTTATGTGCAGTGGTATAGATTTAAAAACCTAGATCTAGTAATTTTTGTTTATTGATTCAATGTGCAGTGGTATAGATTGTTTATATTGGTAGTTTTCGTGTAATGGTATAGATTTATTACTGCAATGGTATCGATTGTTTATATTGGTAGTTTTTGTGTAATGGTATAGATTTATTCCTACAATGGTATTGATTGTTTATGGTATAGATTGTTTATATTGGTAGTTTTCGTGTAATGGTATAGATTTATTTCTGTAATGGTAGTTTTCGTGTAATGGTATAGATTTTTTTTCTGCAATGGTATTGATGTTTTTCAAAGTGGTAGTGTTTGTCTAATGGATTGGTACTTATTTTGTTTTTTTTTTTTTTGCAGAAAGATTGAGAAAAATATGGAAAGGAAATCTGGCTGGAGATTACGGAAGTGAGAGAAAGAGATAATTTTAATTAATAGATTTTTGTAACTACCTAAAATGTAATTTATGAAAAAATTAATTAATATAATTTATTTTTCCATACCCGATTTACCCTTAGTAACCACGGTGATTATTGTAGTAATCACCGTAACCTGTCCCCTTTTACTTACTAAACTTTTTCATATATGGAACTCAAAAAAGTTTGTTCCTTAATCACCTATTTTAAACTAGCCCTTGCGAACTAAGCCGTGGCCGCCGAGTAGGGATGGCAATGGGTCGGGTCGGGGGCGGATAGTGCATATCCGTTACCCTACCCAATGTAGTTCGGGTTTTACCCATACCCGTACCCACACGAGAAACGGGTAGAAAATCAAAACCATGCCCATACCCGTTCGGGTTTCGGGTATCCACGGTTATCCATGGGTAATAATTTCTCCTTATAATTCCAACCAATATGTTAACATTCACACGTATATTCACATTACGTAAGAGGAAAAGTACGCCAATAATTCACTAGAATAACGAAAATTAATTAAAACAACATAATTTCATGAAAATATTATATTTAAATGCTAAATATAAAATATTCTAGGGAAAATAATGATTATTTCTAGACAAAATACATATGCATGTGTATAATCGGGCGGGTTCGGGTTGGATAGTGAGATAACCATGCCCACCCATTACCCACAATATTCGGGTTCGGGTTTTACCCGTACCCACGAAAAATGCTTCGGGTTCGGGTTTTACCCTACCCGATTAGATCGAATTCGGGTGGATATCCACGGTTACGGATATTTTTGCCATCCCTACCGCCGAGTGGATGTATCACATGTTTTCAGCCTATAGCTTCCTAGGTTCAAATCTCAAAGACAATGCTCATTTTAAACCGTATGAAACGGCTGACACCCGGTAAAACCCTAATACAATTATAATCAACCATACTTTTATTACAGGAGTCAATTATACATTTAACCATTAGATTGATGATGTGACAATTAAAAAATAAAAAGTTATTTGTTTCGTTCAAGTCCGAGTAGAATACCTTCTCATTATCAACATTTTTCTTGTATCTAACAATTAACTTGTATCGTTCAAGGACGATGCTCGTTTTAACGACATGAAACGGTTGACACCCAGTTAACCAATGATTTCGGTACAAAATAAATTATCACTGAATTTTTCGATACAACCCTGATACTATTTCCACCAATCCAATTGGATTTGGATAAAAATGGATTGAGAACAACTAAATATTGATTTGTTGCGATTGCCCAACTGAATATTGATTTGCGAAAATAGAAAGGAGATTCGGAGGAATGGACGAAATCTCGATGGGTTTTAAAGTCCTAGGGGATACTTTGGCTCGCCAGTCGCCACAATACTTTCAAGTTTCAAACCTAATATCCTTATCGATTTTGTGAGAGAAATTTTTCAGCAAGTGTTCGTGTGGTTCTGTCGGGTTCATAGCAAAAATTTTAACATTATTTATGATATACTAGTAAATGTTTTTTTATAACTAAATTGATTAAAATAAATGATCTAAATTTGACCATAATTTTATTATAAATCTACCCTCCAGGGGCGGTTTAGTAATTTTACCCTTACCAAAACCGCATCTAGAGGGAGCGGTTACAGAGTCCGAGGCGAAAACAGTTCCACAAGCGCGCGGTCTTCAATCCCTAACGCAGATCGCTACGCTAGCGTCCAGTTGGCTGATAGATCGCCGCCTAATCCAACGACCCTGGGGATCGCTGCATCATGCATTATGACCGCATTGTCAGAGCGGTGTTCTCGGGATGCCCTAGGGAGAGGACCACTTCCTCAGGATGCGATTTCTAGGTAAACCGCATGGCCGAGATGCGATTTTGTAAAAAAAGTGCTAGTTTTGAAATTTGTGCGGGCCGAGTACTATTTTTGTAAAATTTTTTTAATGGTGCTATTTCTGTAAAAAAAACCCAAATAAAATATATGAATTTTTAGATGAGTGTTCATAAGCCAAAATCCCTCGATCAAATTCTGCATCCAAACGTCAGTTTATACCCTCTCACTGGCCCAGGTGTCGCATCCATACAACTTTTACTCCTAAACCCCTCCGTTAAAGTAATTTTCCACTAACAGGTTCCATACAAAATGTTACACAAGGTCAGGTAGAAAACCAAAAGACAGCTTTTACCATGTGTTGTTTGGGTGTGTCAAAAGACCACCACCCTCAAATCCATATCTAAAGCATGCAGATAACACATTCCCACTCCTGAAAATGCCTCAGCCTCTTGATTCCAATGCCAGAAGTATTTTCTTTCTTGGACCCTGAAAACAACAAATCAAACCAAAAAGGCATCAGCCTTCTCAAACCTCCTGCCTGCTTAAGGACTGCGATTACTGTGTCATTTACAAAGACGAACAAGCTAACCAAGAGATGTAATCTTCTTTGTCATGGAATTGCTTGTTAGTGCAATTGATCAATCTCAACAAAAGATAACGAGGAAGTTTTGTTTGGTCAAGCACAAACAAGAAGTAAACTAAGAGGAAATTGGGGAGTTCTGAGACTTGAAACAAAAACTGTCGTTACTAAACACCTTTCACGCATTGGAAATGAAGGGGAAAAAAAACATATGCCGCATTGTTGATAGTAGTACCACAACTTGCAAATACAGTTCTGTAATATAATGAGTATCATGATACCATCCCTCTAGACTTTCTTCAAATACTAGACATCCTGATTTAGAGTAAGGACCCCCCCATTTTCTAACTCCTAGAATGGCTAGTTGTAATTTATACAGGCTGACGACTTATAAAAGAAAAGCAAGGTCAGTCTATTCTTGATCCCAGAAAAACACTGAAGATTACTATCAAATAGTAACAACACCCCATGCAGAATTCAAAAGCATGTTGAAGCCATAGCTTGAGCATACCATTGGAATGCCCAAAGCCTTAAGATCATCGTCATTCATGTGTACAAGAGCGGTCATGTCAACCTGTAGATGATCAAGCATGTTAATGAGATACAGAAGCATAAAGGCAAGAGATTCATGGACCTACGAACAAAGGAAGCAAAGTTTAATCATACTTCCTCGGCCTGAAAAGTGATTTGGTATTTTTCAAGACCCAATGACTCCAAAAAGCTGTCCACTGATGTATCTTTCTGCAATCAAAAGTTTAAGTTAGGAAGGGGCAATAAAAAAACTGCACATGCTACTGTTCATGGTGTGAAGCATGTAGTTATGAACTAATGGTTATGAGGAGCCTTTGGAAGTTAGTTTATCCTAACATATCATAACCACAAAGCAAATCTGACACTACATTTTGGCCTTATTAGAGAACTTTGCAGACCCAAAAGTGGTCTATGCTGAGACATGGAAGAATGAGACAGTTAGAAGACAGAAGTTGAAAATGCCTTTTGCTGAGACTTCTTTTTGGTAGCAACACTGGCAACTTTCTTAATCTCAAGTTCAGGAACTTCAGCAGCAGCACTTCTCCTAGCTGGTTTAGTAGCCGCTTGTTTTGGTTTTGGTGGATCAGAATTCACCAGTTGTGGATTCATTATCCCAGACAGTTTCTCTCTCAAATCCCGAATGCCTCCTCTTCCAGTTTGAGGTGCTTGGCTTTTCTTTTGGAGCTTTAGTCGAAGATCCCGTGCATCTATTCTGTGATCTTCACAAATTATTATCAGAGTAGGACAACCAGATATGTTACTAATATCTGTGGCAGAAGAATGCTGTAGTTACATAGGTCAGAATCACAGTGACATACTCGAAGTGCGTGGTTCGTCATTATCAAAGAGGTCATGTTCCCACTTGTCATCTTGCCTTTGCCTGCATGAATCATGGCCTAAGTTCAGTATATGCAATTAGCCTTCACAGATTGGGCAAGATAAGCATCAACAAGAAATTAGGCAAGAAGGTTTGTCAAAACTAAAACAAAGATAGTGATGGACCAAGGAACTCAAACAATAAGAAATCATACCCATGCAAGTCAGACCCTTCATGCAAATATCAGACTCACCCACAATGCAGAGAGCAAATGCAATCAGGTTCCTGATGTGCATTCATTAGAAATTCAGTGCAGTAACTTTACTCAGAGCAAGTTATGAGTAAGGGTTTGACCAACAGAAGAGGGAATATAAAGAATTAGTGGCTCTCTCAGAAGTTGAGGATATGAATCTCAGAAATATCATACAGGATACGAGACAAGAGACTAGAAGTGATGCTTATGCCCTTACCCTCTTTGGGTCTGCAGTCACCCGCCTCTTAAACCTAACCATTGTGGTGGGTAACCTAGATGAATCATCGCATAATAGATGCCTAAACTAACAAGTCTTTTTTTTCAAAAATTAATTCATATTCAGCTAATGGTGGCGTTACAAGCATTCTCTTATCAAAAGCTAGTCCAAATCAAAAACCTAACACGCATGTTCCCACATCCAAACAGTTCTTAAATCCAGAGTTCTGGTTTGCATTACGGGCATCAGAAAAGTGAGATGGACATAGACATATCACTGGGCATACTCAGTGAATGCTTAAGCCTAATGGGTACTAACCGAAGCATGTTCACCATATAGCAGGCAAACAAGCAGACTCAATCAAACATCACCTTGCATTCAGATAAAAGTAAATCCTAAAAATGCCACTGACTAGAAGCCACTTTGCAGGTAAACCGTGTAAATACGGAATTTTGCAGCAAAAGGACCCATGGGAAAAGAGGAGCATCGACCAATTAAGGGGAAAACGAGCATTCTCTTCAGACTTCGCGTAAGCGAACTGTAAGCTCTTCCACTAGCAGGCGCCTAGCTGAAGAAACAGACGAGACAAGGGTCCTACGCAGAGAGGAGAGGAGGACACACACCTTTTGCCAGTTACTTGTCTCCGGCGGGAAGAGTCACCGACGGAATTGCCATTGAGACGCTCCTTCACAGACATCTTCTCCGAAGCTTCCACTCGATCAGCATACATTGTAACGAAATACTTAAACCCTAACCCTAACGGCAACCGCGAACAGCTAGTATGAGAGGTGATGGGAACTACAAGACCGGAGATGGAGCGGAATCCGGAATTGCTCTTAGCGAGAGGATGCGCCGAAACCCTAAGCCTTCGCGAAAAATGAATTTGGTTTCGAAATTCGAGCTCTCCCCTCCAAGAACAAAACCGCTGTTTTTAGTTTTCCCTTTTTGGGTCAGTCGCGTTGAGCTTCAGAATCTCGGCCTTGCGAAGGAGAGGGGGTTAATGGAGCTTAGAGTAATTAATTATGAGTAACAAAATTTTGAACACTTATTTTTAAGGGGTCGTTTGGTTTTAGTGATAGGGATTGTTACAATGGGTGTATTGTCGACAATGAGTGATATTACTATCTCATGTAAAATTTGAGATTGTTGAGATAGTTTGGTGGGGATTGTTTGATTCTTTTTTTGTTCCAATTATATCATTAGTTATTTATCTATATTCCCACAATATCCTTACAACTTTTATTATCTAATACGCTCTCATTTTTTTGGAAATACCATGCTCAGTTCCCTCCACTTTTTTCGTGGATGGCTCTACCACCCGTTCAATTTAACACCCTCTTCCTTCAAAGGATATTGGATTTTAGAAAGAAAAACGAGCCGAGGAGATCCTAGAAAGAGAAGTGACAAAGTACTCTTTCTTGGAGCTTCCTAGGGCCTTTCTACCACCATTGGAGCTTGACCAAACACTAGCTAGCAATGACAATTGACAAATAAAAGCCAGTTTCTAACCTATATATGAAGACTCTAGTTGATTCTCTTGAGTTTTCCTTCATTTTAATGGATTAGTTTTTCTCTCACTTGGGTTTGAGGAACCATAATTCCGTATGTTAGATTGATTGATGTTTGAACCATATAATTGTGAATTCATACTATATTTTTTTATTGATGTGATGATGAATTGCATGAGTCTTGATTACACTCTTTCAATTGTGGCGTTTGTTTGGACACTTGTTCATTCAATGTGATGCATTAGAGGAAGAAGAATCCAACATCTATATGCTAACATGTTCCATAAATTTGTTAATGGATTAAACTCAAGAAAGATAGCTCTTCATGGACTATAAGGTGGTTTGGATGGTTGTAAGCTATCCAATTAGGAATGAATGACCATAGGTGTATAAAACCTATGTGTGGGGACTTTTGCATCAAGTATATCTAAGCTGAAAGGAGGAGACGAGAACGGTGGCGGAAGGCGAAAGTGGAAAAGTCGGCTCCTCTCCCACCGGTTGATTCGGAGTCTCCGTCCATACCTTGAAATTTGTGAGCTTTCTAATTTCTGGTTTTATTCCTGCTCCGACTCGCTGCAAATGTTTTACTATGAAAGAATTGCTCCTGGGGGAGAGATGGTTGGGAGAGGAGAGGGAAAGGAGGAGGAAGAGAGGTGCGTGCGGTGGAGGAGAAAGTGAAGAGAGAGAATGGGATGACAATCTCATCAAAAAATTAATTAGGAAAAGTTAAAATATTTTTTTTTAATTATGACATGGCACTTTTGACTTATTCGGCGCTGACATGTGTGCGCTGAGTTGGAGTTTAGTCAGCAAATCGTCAAAAAAGTTGACGGTGTTACTAACACCATTAAAGTATTAACAGAAATGGCTAGATTTGACCTACAACAACTATAAAATCTGGCTATAAGTGGTATTTATCTAAAATTGGCTATTATTGTCACAAACGCGAAAGTTTTGGCTATACAAGTGTATATTACCTTGTATTTACCCTAAAATCAATATATTATTTTGTACTTTGTATTGATTGTTTTCAATAATTTAAAGCAATACAAGTACACTCGTAAGACTCTTAGGAGAGGTATACTCCAGAAACACAGTCTGTTTGACAGAAAAAGGTGGGATATGAGGATAGCTTAGAACCCGATTTTCCCAGGTCATGGAGGATCATGATGATCGCTTAAGAGTTAAGACCCTATTTCCTTAGACATGCATTTCTTTATAAATAGTCTAAATAAGTGTTGTATTGTATTGATTTAAATTATTGTAAATAATCAATATGATTAACAATTAAGTAATTTATTGACAAACAAATAAATTACGTTAACAAAATAAAAATTACAAGCGATGATAAATAATATGTACCTTGTGGTCGTTCCAAACGTCTCTTGAAAGATGATTGTATTGATCGTATAAAATAGTCGGATCAATCGGTCCTTGATCAACATAATATCGTTGATTGTATATATCAACATCCGACACAACCTACGATAGCATAACAACAACATAAATCAATTAGTATATATATTAAATAAACCATTATAACAACAACAAAAATTGGATAAAATGAGTACGTACCGCTTGATAATCATCATAGTAAATACTCTCTTCTTGGATAAAATCGGCCATTTTTTAAGGATCCGGACAGAGATTCAACGGTTTTTAGTGAAAACCAAAGAATTTTTTATTGAAAGCAGATCGGACTTAGCCGCAACCAACATAACAACTACTTCCAAGTTTTTTGGGTGTGGAGGGGGATGGGTAGAGTGAGAAACTTAGAGAGAGAGAGAGGAGATTGGGGGTTTGGTGTGCAGAAAATGAGAGTAAGGGGTGGGTTTATATAGGTAAGGAACCGCGTGCTGGAGGGGCTGTTTGGTCTTTTTACCCCACCAAAAACCGCGCCTCCAGCACACGGTTTACGTTTCCCAACGCGCAAACCGCGCTTCAGCGCAACGATTTCCCGTGGGCGATGCGGATCGCTCTGCTGGCAGGCGGTTAGACCGTCAGATCGTCTTCTCATCGTGCGGTTGCATGGATCGCCACGTGGAGACGCGTTTTGTTAGCTTCCCAATGGCAAACCGCCCCTTGCCCGCCCGGTTTAAATGAGAATCGCGCCTTAAAAGCGCGGTTTATGATTTTTTATTTATTTGATAACCTAGGGAATCTCAGCCCCACGTGCCCGCTTGAGCGACAACGGGGCCTACTAAATCACTGGGGGTATCTGCATACTAACCAGGGTTTTCTGCTACCAACATCGGGGAGGCTTCGCCTCCGTACTAAGGGTGCCGCCGAGAACGCTCAAGTGATGCCACTGGGAATCGAACTCAGGATCTCCCACATCCAGAGCTCAATTGGTCCAGTGGTTTCACCACTAGGCTATGTTACCTTTAGCAGGCGCAGTTTATGATGGATAGTTATAGATTTGGAAATTTTTGGGAATGAGTTATATTTTTGTAATTTACTTTTTAAAACAATGGTGGTTTTGGATTTTTTTTTTACTTTTCGGATACTTGCCTCCAGTCGACCGGAAAGAAAGAGTCTCCAAGCCCAGAAAGAGCTCATGGGCCTGCACCGAATCCAATAGGCTGAACCCGAACAAACCCATCAAAAGCTCGACCAAGACAATAATGAAACGCCCGCGCCATTGTTCGTCATCCCCCTTTCCACTCTCCAGTCTGCAGTTCAGACACTTCGAGAAGCTATTAGAAACTTGGAGCAAAGAAACCAAGAACCAAACGGGAAGAGAGAGAGAGAGAGAACAAGAAAGAGAGAAGCTCATTCTTCTTCCCTTCCAATCCATGGAGTGGTAAGTCGTAAACAACCAGAAAAAGACTCCAAGGTCAGAAAGAACAAGAGAAGGCGAATCAATGGCGGCGGCGGCGGAAGAAATGCGCAACTGCAAGTCGAGAACAGTGAAGCTTCTGTGCGCTGCGCTGTCCAAGATAGTACCGTACGAGGTGTGGGAGGAGCAGAGGCTGGACCTCGGCTCCATAGCAAGAGCTTTAGGGCTGGAGCCATCGACGTTGAAGCTCAACGGTCACCTGATCGGCAGGGGCGCTAATCTGATGTCCTCAGTGACGTGGAAGTCGCTGCTGAATTACTTCTCCGGCAAGGGCCTCCCCACCGGGAAAACCGATCAAGATGCGCTGATCGTCGCCGGGAAGCTGTGTAAAGTTGGGAGCAAAAGTAAGCTTCTCCTTTCAGGTTGCTGTGGAAGTAAAGTAAGCTTTTTCTGTTATGTTCAATCCTTTTTTAAGTTTGGCCTTCCTTACAGGAGGAAAGCAAGATGGTGAACTTGACGATGGCGGCATTGCTGGAGCGGCGCAAACTGAAGACGCCACCAATTTGGTGAAACACAAGAAGTTGAAGGGAAGCGATCGTACAGGTAGAAACCGGCAAACTTGTAACTGGTTAAGATGGTGTTTGACAGATTGAGCAGAGCTTAACCTGGTGTTTGTTGCAGGCGGGCAAGGGATTACATGGAACGGGCATGCACTGAAGAGGAAGCAGGTGACCATGGAAGATATCGACTCGATGAAGAAATTGAAAATCAATGAGAGCAGTCCTCCTTCAGGTACGTGGAACCTGTAATTTGTTCAGTTTCTTTGTCGAACACGTTGAAAGGTTATCTCACATTTCTGTTTTGCAGACACCGCACCAAGGAAGAACAAGGTGGTTATGGCAGCCGCCGGCATTACTTCCAGCAGTCGGTCGAAATGCAGATACCTGAAACGGAAGAGCGAAGATGATGTACTTCTTGTTGCTTCGCCTTGCAAAAGGATTCACTGAACACGCTCCGTTTCCAGTTGATGTTCATCATCATCCTCTATCGATCTACCAAAAACAAGAGATGTAGAAAGATATATGACAGACGACTTGAACTTTTACCTGTGTATATCTTCAATTTTGTTGATTCTGAATCTGTGTGGGAACGAACGAAACACATATCAGCTTTCGAAACTTCCCTCTGTAATCAATGTCTCTAAGCAAGCGGCATGATACAAAACTGTCTTACAATCCTACATTACAGTACACTAACACAATAATAAAAGAAGTGATTTCTTCCCCCATGCATTCTAATTCTGAAGAAGCTATCTGCAGACTAATTTAGGAATTCAATCAGTCCAAATCAGGTAGAGTAGAACTGCCAAGCCACGGCAAGGACAGCCACCAAGATAACTTTCAGGACTAGTTTCTTCCCGATTAAGGGTGCTGATTCAGATGAGGGTTGATCAGGTTCTTCCATTGGCTTCCCTCTGAACTTGGCTAATAATCTTGACAGCAGCACTCGGAGCCAACCCTTTTTCTTACCAGCTGCAAAAGTATCAAAGAGTTAAAGGTCGATGGAAATCCATTCATCGATTTCACGAACGACAAGCAAACAGTGCTTACCTTTAAGATATCTCTCCTCCTCGCCGACTCTGCGCCGGAGTACGTTGAGTAGAGACCCGAAGAAGAGTGCGAATACGGTGCATGTGATGGTAATGACATTGTAAGGCATGCTGAAATCTGGAGTCGTCAAAGGTACAAGCAATACTTCTGTGTATGACTGCACGCGGTTCTTTTCCTGTGCATCGTTAAGGTTAGCAAACTGTAGGTCAATCCCAATGGAACGAGAGATTTTGAAGCAGCAAAGATGTTCCTATAACACTACCTGAAATCTGGACAGCAGAGGCGACTTCCTGATTGAATCGTTGCTAAGAAGATGCATGACTGAGTGGAAGCGAGGAAAGCTTATAACTGCTGATGGGATATCATATCCTTGATTAGCATCTGGAGGATATTCATCAATGTGCAAAAATCCCTGCTCACACATTACAGCACTGTTATCAGCAGGTTCCAATGTATAGAGATGAATGACTCAACCACAACCGATGAGATAAATGTTAATGCAGAATAAACTAAACTTAATTTTATGATACCTTATCAAATTCCAATGTCAATGCAGCTGATCTCACATCACAAGGAAGCTTCAGAAGCATTTCCATCATTCCAGGAGATGTTTTGTCTTTGGAAGGGGAAACTTGTATCTTATGAACGAAATCTCCTATTGGTTTTGCTTCATCATCCACAAAGATTTGAAGGGAATGGTAATACACTTTAATGTACCACGGCACAACTTGGAAAACATCAACTTGAAGCTCACACCCATCACTGACATGGCGAGACCCAGAGGAACTATCAGCCGAGTTTGTAGACTTGAATAAGATTGCTATGGCACCTCTTTCGTTTCCACTGCCCATCAGAAACCTGCTAGCATGTAATGGTGCTTGTTGACTTGACCAAAACACAGGATACTTCCACTTCAAGCCAAGGTCCAATGGCTGAGACTCATTATACTTTTCTACCCAAAATCCATAGAGAACTGATGACCCTTTGTGTTGCGACTGATTTTCTTCTTCAATTACTATATCTGGGTCTAGAGACATTTCAAAACCACTTCCACCAGCAAATCCTTCAGATGCTAAACTATTTGGACCATTGTCCATGTTATCCTTCTGTTCCGAAAATATACTTTTCTCAAGCTGAAGGTACACTATACTAGATTGAGCAATAACACATTTCCCACTAATCTTCCTTCCAAAGATCGAACTTAAAGACCAACTCGGTTGAAAATTGCTCTCACCGGAGTGAATGGAGCTAGAGGAAGGACTGTTGGGCTGAAGAACGACTGTAAGTGTTTGTTCCAGAGAGATACCTGAAACGGTCTCGGCAGGAACAGATGCATTTGAGGTTAAATACAACCGCTGAGAATGATAAAAACCCTTGTAGATGGATGGTCTATCCAACAAGGCAGCGAGCCCAGCTTTATCCCGACATGGGAGGAGCTTCAACCATGGAGTCAGATTCTCAGTGCAAACAGCCTCGCGCGGTAATGTACCATATCTGAGGCTTCCTGGTGTAATTCGGAAGCTCCATTTAGGTGCTGAATACATGGTGGAGGACTCCAGGAAATTAATGGAAGCACAAAAAAGTCCAGACAGAGAATTGGTCAAATTCTTCCAGTAAGCATCAACTTGGTCTTCAGGGACATCAAAGACAGCCCATAATTCAACTCCAGGAGGCTTAGCGTTGTTACTAGATATGGGATCGAATCCACCCCAACGTTCATAGTTCCAACGACCTTGTGTGAAAGATAGTTCCATTTCTTTAACTCTGAACTTCTGGACCTGTCCAAATGATACTGTTTCTCGAGTTATGCGAAATATAAGAAATCAAAACATGCACACAAAAGAAGGAGATGAGCCATTTCATATCATCTGCCATTGGGCACAAAATAGAAGACCCATTTCGACCTTCTATTCTACTCAAGAAAGGGAGGCAACTCCAGAAGCAGAGCAGTCACAGAAATTCTCCCACAATAACCCCAATAAAAGCAAAAACAATAAAAAAAAAACCCTCGTATTTCCTTGAAGAGCTGAAGCAATTGTTCAACAATCGAAACAGAAAATTCAGAATCAAATCCAAATCGGACCAACATGGCAAAAGGTACAGAGCTAGGGAGGAGCACCTAATATGAAAGTAGGATACTCATACCCTTCCATTTGAATCCACAACTAACAAACAAAAATGAAACGACAAATGAAGCCGGAGAAAGTAACGAACAAAGTAATACCAGCTGAGAGATGGCTTTGGGGAAGAGATGATGGTGGCGGCCATTGGATTTGGAAGGAGGAGCTATGCTATGGAAATGGAAATGGGCCAAGACTTTCCGATCAGGCAAAGGCTTCAGCAGCAGCTCTTCATGGAACTCTTCTTCCTCTCCACTTACCACTGCCGCCGATCCAGAGCGGAGGAGCGCCCGAGGTGAAAGTAGTAGAAAGAGGAACAGAAGAGTCAATCGGAGAGGAAGCCACATCGTGCGACTAACTCTGAAGAAAATAGGAGCGATGGTGTCGACTACGGGATGCGCTATACGACGACGGTGGGCGGGAGGAGGGCGGAATCTGCCATTGGAGAGCTGAAAGTAAACCGCTGCTTTCGAGTCCCCGGTTTGGTTCGGAAAGAGTAGATCTTCAGACTTCAGAGATCCTCGGGAGCGAAGCTGTGGCTCAGTGGCTCGTTTGCCTTTTTCGGATTTGGATTGTCAAAAAACTCGCTATTTGAAAAAAGAACACTGGGCTTAGACTAAGCCAACACCGGACCACGTATCCATGAACTAGGCCCACTCGACTATATCCTCCGTTCTTCTACTTTATGAGGAAGGATTAGGGTGTTAACGAATAAGTGTTAACACTAACTTCAACTAATATAAATATTTTGTTTTAATATTTTTTATTTTATTTTAAGGATTGATTTCAATTAATTGCAAAGCTATAAAGGGAGGGCACGTCTGTCATTTTGAAAAATTAAAAATCGGCCATCATTAAACACCCTACAAGCTCTCTACCGCTTCTTTCTCCAACCCTTTTTGGTTCCGCCACCCATCTCTGGTTCCCTCTTTTATCGCCGCCTCTTCAATCTATTTTCTCCATTATGTCCCTTCAATTTTCCCTGAAACATTTCTCCTCATCCAATACTCCACAATCAGACAATCTCCTCGACTTCCTCATTCAGCTCCTCCTCGCATGACTTGAGCCCGCAGTTGGACCACTACCACCGCTGCTGTTATTACTTTGTTTTCCCACAGCGCTCCGAATCCATTCATAAAAGTAGTTGGGGTTGGAGCTCATCCGCTGCTCCTTTTTTTGTCGCGTTTGTCCTCCCTGATCGGACTATTTGGTTCTCTCCCCCCCCCCCCCCCCCCCCCCCCCTGTATTTTTTGTTTTCCTAGGTGCTATTGTGAAGTTTGGTTGGTGGAACAATTGGCCCCTATCCAACTCTTTTCCTGTGTATATTATAGGATTGTTTACCACTAAAACTTTACTAGGTACCACATTGATTAGTGGTTTATAATTAGTGGTTTATAAGGCCAACTTAACCATATTAATTAAATTGATCTAAGTTAGGCGTAATTATAAGATAGACTTTTGGGCTACTCATATCATCATGCCAGGTACCTCAGTACATGCAACTCTAACCTAAGTAACCACATACCGAGCACCTAGACTTCAAGCATAACGTCATTCAAGGAGGGGTGGATGTTGGTGTATGCATCGTCGTCTACCCCTCAAGTACCCACCATCAAGCATGACATCATGCAAGAAGGGTCGGCATGGATATCCCAAGTACCCACCTATCAAACATCCACCAATCAAGTACATAGTTGTCAAGTTTTTCGCCCACCTACCAAGCATTGGGGGTGTCAAGCATGACATCATCTAAGAGGGGTCGAATTTGGCTAAGTGTAGAAGCCTCACTGCTCTCCTATCAAGAAGTCCACATATCCAGCTGTCATGTATGCTCGCTGTGAACCTACCAAGCATTGGGGGTGTCAAACATGACTTTATCCAAGGAAGGTTAGTGCATGTATGCCTTGTCGCCTACCCATCATGGTTAGTGCATGGGTATCCCTTTTCAAGACACTAAAAGCATGATGCCGCTCATCAAGGGGTCAACCCCCTCGCCGCTCACTTATCAAGCAAATACATAGTCAAGTATGATGCAATAAAGTGGGGTGAAAATTGGTTAAATATGGAAACTCTTCCTTGCCTTCCTACCAAGCACCAGGGTACCAAGTATGGCATCATGCACACCCAAGCAGGCAAGCATGCTAGGCACGAGCATACCTAGTAGGGTACAAGACAAGCCAGCAAGGAAGATACTTATCAAGTTAAGTCGTCAATGTATCAAGTGGTATGCATGGAAGCAAGGGTGTCAATCAAGCTACATCAAGCACCAAGTAGTAGAGAAGCGGTTACAAAGAGGCAATTACACTTGATGGCTATAAATAGGAGAAATGAAGATGAAGCAAGGGTTTCACAACCAAAATTTTAAGAATTGGCCTGAAGTGTGTCTCTTTCCAAAGCTTCCTCAATAAATTGGTGAAGTGACCCAATAGTGGTGAGTACGTCTAAGTTCATATTTTAGAGTCGGCACCTGGAGATGCTCCATCCTGTCATTGTCTCCGACACCAACTTCTTTAACTTGATTTTCCACAAACCCAGGTGGAGCATCACCTTAATGGTTCCTCCGTCTTTGAGCTATCAAATCAAACACCGTTGTCCCACCAAGTGTGCCAATTTATTTTCTGACGGGAAAACTTGCGTAAAATTGAGATTAATGAACCTTTGACTTCTTACCAAATGATTACTAAGACACGACTCACACCTTTTCAAACAAAGTTCAAACGAGGGTGTTTGATTGATGTTTTTTGGAATGAATACTAAATTAAGTTACTCCTACTCCTATGGAGGTTCAACGAGAGTTCCAAATTATGACTATGACTATGACTACATTTGCAGTGAAGAGATAAAAACTTGATGTAGGCGTAAGCTGTATAGTTTTGGAAACCCTCTCTCCGTCGACCCTTCCTCATATTTATAGTTATAACTTATACGAAGATAATTGTCGTAGAAAACTACTTCTTGAATAACTGCTACAAAGAACCGCTCCTCTTTTTTGGAGTGGTGGTTACTCCTTCAACCACCTAAGTGCATCTCTTGGAATTATTGTTGGACTTTGAGTGTAGCTTGTCTCGCCTAGTATTGTTCCAAATCTTGTGCCACATTAGTGTTTTGATGAGCATGCGGTGTCTCGCAAAGGAGGTCGTGGTCCTTTTACCTCGTGGACAAGGACTTCTTACTCATGTCCATGACCCTCTTGTCTCACGGTCATGGACCTCTTGGAACGTATCCGCATGATTAGTGATATAATGATGGACGACTATGCCCTTCTCAGTCATACCATGGCCCCTCTTGCGACACAGCCGTGGACCTCTCAGTCATGGCCACGACCCCTGTCGCAAGACAGCCATGGTTCCCAGACGTAGTATATTTTTGGGCGTTCGGTCTTGGTCATGAGACTTGTCATGGCATGACCTCTTCATTCGCGACCATGGTCCCTCTTGTGTTACGACTTATCTTTTTCGAACTTAGTATTTTTCAATCTTTCCCAGGGTCCTCTTGTTTTGCCTAAATGGACTTCTCAGTCATGTCCATGGGCCCTCTTGCGAGTCATCCATGGACCTCAAGACGGCCATGGCCCTCCCAAACATAGTAATTTTTTCCCATTTCTTTGAAGAGAGAGGGAGAGAGACTTGGTCAAGTATGGAGGTGGCGATGTTCGATAGTGATTGGGAGGAGATTGTGAGGACGCCGAGGATAGAAGAATGATTTTTTGTTTTGTTTGTATTTTATTCTAAATAAAAAAAATCAATCATCAATGACATGGCATCTACTTGTCAACCACGTTTGCGACCTCATCATAAGTCAACGTCGTTTTGACCACCGTCTCTTTAACCGTTATCTTTAACAGTCAATAAAATCGCCAGGACATAAATGTCCCAAAAGTCTCATAATTCATGCTAGTAATTTTATGACAAAATCGACATTTTTCTTATAGTTGTGATCTTCTAGTGGAATTAGCATTTTCTTTTTCCAGGAATAACCTTCTTGTAGATTTTCTGTTGGAGAAATCAGCAAGAATATTTGTAGAATATCGAATATTAATCACATAGCCCATATAGCTACCGATCTCCACATCAATTGGATTATATATTCCCCAAAAGAAAAAATATGCCGAATTAAACACCTCTTTCCACTAACAGATATTCGTCTCATGAATAACAGGAACAAACTACCACAAATTTCAATCCCATTTTATTTATTCATAACACTGAATTGAAAAATGATCAAAGATTCCTAGCTAGCTAGCTAGCTAACAACACCATCATCTATTATCGACTAATTATAGCTACCATCTATTGATCGACCCCCATTTCTTCCTTCTAACACAGGAACTAAATATTGAAAAAACAGAAGGCTAGAACGACCCGACCCGACGCCACACAGAAAAATACGGCTAAACTAAAGTGGGAAACCCTAGAGCTGCATGAATATATGATCAAGGCCATGGGCGCCAGAAGACGTCTATCCCTTTCCAAAACTGACGCAAATAAAGGCCGTCGTCTTTAACAACCCAGTACGAGTTGTCCATGTAGACCCTGTCGTACAGCTTGTCGTCGTCGGCGTAATAGGCGTCGTAGACGATCTGGCTGCCGCCCTTCCAAACGTGGCACCAAAACAGCGTGTTCCCGAAGATGCTGGGCCGGAACCTCCACTCGTACTCCGAGTTGGGCCCAACCCAGTGCGTTCCCATGTCGTCATCCCTCGACTTGCAGTGCACCGTCAGCACCCGGCCGCCGCCGAATTCGTTCACCACGTGGACGTGCGTGTAGGCCCACCAGGAAGCGTCCGTGTTTGCGGCGGCGGCGGCGGCGGCGAGGGATACCCAGAGCGCCACCTTCGCCAAAGCTGCTGCTGCCGACCTCATTATTATTACGCCTATATTATATATTGCTGCGCTTCTAATAATATAACAGTATATATTATTATTTGGAATATGATGTCGTGTGATCGATTCTGAATCTCTCTCGTTATTTATATTAGCGGTGGCCGGATGTTTGATCGAGCAATTGGTGCGAGGTAATGGTAAGATGGGGAAACTTATTTTCGATTATGGTAACGTGGTTTTTATGGTGCATCCTCCTAAAATTTGATTAGCCAATATCGCGCCTAGCTCTACGTGCTGTGATTATTCCTTTCCTTTTTTTTTACAAATAGCATGCAGCTTACATTGTGATTTCGGAAAAATTTACATAAAATGACATTCTTTTTCTTATAACGGGAAACTAACTCTCTCTCGTTACTTATGAAATATTTATATAGTAAGTGCAATTAGCTGCGCAGATAACCAATGTTATAAGAACTGAACCGAATCAATGGTTAGGCAAATAGAATCTTCAAACCAGTTACGATAGGGTTTCGATTTGTTTTTTGGAGGGTTATTGATGGGGCAAACGGTTTTCTTTAAAAAAATTAACGTAACTAAGATTATCAAATCAAAATTATTAATTTTCTTTCTGCTTGATCTTCTCATTTTCCAACCTCGTTGTCCGACTTTATTTTACATATCAACTTGTCCTTTTATGATTGATAGATAGGATTAATTAGGTAGTTAGCGTTGTGTTTGGTTATTTCTATTTACCATGTACAGTTAGTTCTTGGTCGGTATATAAGGAGCACTCGAGGCAATGATGAAAGCTTAATCGATCGGATGGTGGGAAGCTCTACTCGACGCCTTGGGTTTGCATTTTTGGGTTAGTTTGTTTACTCGTTTAGTTCATGGCACTAGAAAAAAAAAAGACCTTTAGTGATGGGAAAATGGCGACAAGAAGAACAATTGTCACTATAGCTGTGTTTCTGTAACAGATTTTCTCTTTTCATCCCGCATTCGCATATTTTTTTGGGGGAAGTGAGGTGCTACATTTGGTGACAGTAAATTATGTTTTAGCGACAAACATTTGCGTCGCCAATTATTTGTGGAGCTTGGGAGACTGAAAGTTGTTGTCGCAAAACGTGGAGTAATATTAGCAACGACCGACGAATAGTTTTTGGTGATAGGGGTGGGCATTGGTTCGGTTTGGTCAAAACCAAACCGAAATTAAGCAAATCGGGTCCCCTAAGAAGTCTATGCACCTAACTGAATTCGAACCAAAATATAACTCGGTCCCGTCCGATTTCAAGGGCCAAACCCAAAACTATAGAATCAACCAACCTTATCTCCCCACAAAAAATCTCCGCCCCAGATTAATCCTTCTCTCTCTCTCTCTCTCTCTCTCTCTCTCTCTCTCTCTCTCTGTATACTAATTCAACGACAATGAAGATCGAACGAGAGAACAAGGAGGTGACAAAGGCAACGACGATTGATGTCGTGATATTGATAAAGATTTTGAGCGATTAAACAACATGGTGACAGCAGCAACGATGAATCAGGTATCATGGTCTGCATGTGGTATTCGGTGGCACGACTGAAGTGGTAGAGATCTCTCTATCTCTGGTCTCGAAGTGAAGAAAGGTGATGGTGACGGGGAGGAGGGTGGTGGACGGAGGGGAGGAGCATTTGGTGGAGTAGGGGAAGAGGGTGATCGGCAGCGGTGCTAGGGGGGGGGGGCAGTGGTGGGATATGGAGTGGTGTCGATGTTACATTCCAGAGGAGAGGTGAGCGAGAGGGGTGAGATGGTAGAGCGATATATTCTCCATTGCATGTCACTTCTTTAGTCTATTAGGGTTAGTTGAGTAGTGAGGGGGATGGACTGAGGAGTTGGTGTGTCTGTTGGGGTGAGGTATGAGGGTGAGGTCTGAATATGTGGGCTGGGTGTATTAATTCAGTTTTTAGGTTCGGAGATCGAAATTCGGGTTCGGTCGAAAGGATTCTGGTTTCCGAAACATGCATATTTTGCTTTCGAATTCCGAACCAAATAATATTAATTTGGTTTCAGTTCAGTTTTATTTAGTTCGATTTGGGTTTATCGAACCGGATGCACACCCTTAGTTGGTGGGTTAGGTAGTTAGTAGTAGTTTGTTAGTGTATGTAATAGCACGAGCCAATAGTTATTGGGTAGAAACCACGTAGTAGTCTACTAGGGGTGGCCAAGCTGGCGACGTTAGGTTACTAGGCTTTGGGGTTAGTTAGGATTATGTATTAGGGTTATTGCCTATAGTGGGGATGGTTTCACTAACATCAGGCTTTCTGTGGTTGATCTGAGTAGGCTCTAAAAACTATTATGCCAGATCAGTCGTCAACTATCATAGACTTCTCCTGTATCACCTAACACAAGCATGACTCCTTCATTTCCTACACAGATCTAGCCAGTGGTCAATTCAGTTGGTCGATACTTGTCAGTGAACCCAAATCGTGCAGGTAAATTCACTTTATCTACGTGCTTTACTACACAACCAATTGATGAACATGTCAATGTTTGGTTTCTTGACACTGGTGCTACAGGCCATGCCACTTGTTCATTTTCATGTTTCTCTAGTTATAACCTATTCCTGATATCTACATCACCTTACCAAATGGCTCCAATACACCAGCCACTCATTTTATAAATGTTACTTTAGTTTCTGGATTAGTAATTCTTGAGGTGTTATTTGATCAATGAGCTTTTAATAGATCTAGGTAATGTTCTTGTACTATTTGATGCTTTCTTGGTATACTTTTGATAATTTTGAAGGCACAAAGCAATCTAAGGAAGATTGGATCAAGCATTGAGGAACTCTAGAGGACCAAATGTGCTATAGAGAAGATTAAGGAGTTTTCACAAGAGAGAAGTAGTCCAATGATGAAGAAGTCAACTAAAAGTTGCTAGAATATGTCAAGACTAGCCCATTGGAGGAAGTATCAGCACAATCTAAAGAAGAAAGGAGCGACGACCCAAGCTACGGGTCCAACCGACGCCCTACTGTCGCCTTCCCTTTGCCTTATTGAGGAAGTTTCATAAGTCTTTTAGGTTATAGGAGACTCTTTCCTAGACGAGTTAGGGTTTTTTAGGCCGGATTCTCCCCTATAGAGAGGTTATGTTTGCATTGTAAAAGTAAGGCTGCACAAACACATAAATCTGTATAACACTCTACACGAGTGCTTAGCATAGTCAAAGTAGGGGGGGGGGGGGTCTGCAGCTAAGGAGATGTTGCCATCATCAATGATGGTACCTTCCTTCTCCTCTATGTAGCTATTCGAAATTGTCTGTATTAGGATGTGATTTTGATTATTGTTATGTGAATGAATGATATGATTTCATGTCATGCTTGTGTTTGTCTATATGAAGATTTTGATGCCTATGATTATGTATGAAGGATTTCTTGTATTTGATGCTTATAATGGTCATTGATGTTTCTATAGTGTGAATACTCCTATACCATTGATACTTATGATTATATTGTATTCTACAATATACATTGTGCCTAGTATTGCCTAAATTGTCAAGAATTGACCATATAGGGATACCGCATTGATGCTACACGAGTAGAGATGGATTGATCACCCATCTATGCTTCCAGTAGTATAAATGATTGATTGTTAGATCATCAATGCTATAGACTATAGTTATGGTTTGTAAAAGCCCACAATTAACTATATATTATCCAAACTTCCTTGTTCTTTATTAATTAGGTAATTGCATGAAGTAAAAGTATGCATTAGCTAGGTTGTCTAATAAAAAATCTATAAATGTCTTAATGCTTTTCGTGTATTTCATGATGGTTGGTGTGAGTATTTGTGCATTAGAAGACCTCGAGAAATATGACCCTAGGACATCCTAGAACTTTTATCACTTGCATGAAATACTATATCATGTGTGGTGTTGTGCGAGAGGCTCTACAACATCTTTTCTATTATTGTTCTTATGTTAGGGAGTTGTTGGATATGCTGAAGTGTGATTCATTTTGTTACTAAGCTACTTTTGGGATGCTACTATCATGTTATCTACTGAGTTTCTGAAACAAACAAAAACTACAACAGACTGTGATTTTTTGTGGACAATATGTACCACATATGTTTGGCATGAAAGATGTAGAAGGGTGTATAAGGAAGTGGCTTGTTCGAATATGATTTGAATTTGATTTGGGTTTGTTTTGTGTTTTGGGCCTATTTTGTTTGGGTTTGTGTTTGGGCTTTGTTTTGGCCTTTTCCTTGTATGTTTGGGAAAAGGTGTTTATTTTCTGTTTGAGATTGGGAGAAGAGTTCTATAAATACTCTTCATCGCCCTAGTTTGTAGTAAGGTCAGTCGGGTTAGTTTGTTTGGTTTGTCCGTTTGGAATTTGGTTTGTAACCTGTACTCTGCTCAAATTAGTGAAATTTGTCCCCCCTGCCTGTGGATTAGCTAGCACACATTGTGTTAGTGAACCACATTAAATTTGTGTTCGTTCGTGTTGGTTTGGATTATCGATTGCACGCTTCTATTCTAACAAGTGGTATCAGAGCTTGGTTCTTGATGTAATTCAAAGGGAATTGGCGTTGGAATCTTTGTCGGTTGATTTGAGTTTGAAGCCACAAGTCACTGCTTGCGTTGGTATCGTGTAGCATTGGAGCGCTCTGCCGCTATTCTGCGGTTAGGGTTTTTCGATTATCAAGGATGTCTGTTCTGAATTTGAAGATCGAGAAGTCAATTTGGAGTTGCAGGCTTGGAGTTAGCAGTAAATTTGATGTTGGTGTTATGGACGAAAATAACACCAAGCTGGTTCTGCATGGCAAGTCCCAACATGGGTTGGACTTGCTGCATGTTTTGATTTGTTGACCGCCCTTAAGGGCATCTGGAGGCAGGGGAGATTCTGGTACAGCTGATTTGGAGAAGTTTGGTACGTCTGACAATTTTAATTGCATCTGAGTTTGGCGATTTGCATCGCATTTGGTCTGGCGATATGAATCGCATTTGGATATGTCTGGCAATCTTGATTGCGTTTGAGTTTGGCGGTTTTGATCGCATTTGGATACGTCTGGCGATATGTATCGTGTCTGGGTACATCTGGCAACTTTGGTTGCGTTTGGTACATCTGGCAACTTTGGTTGCGTCTGGTACATCTGGTATTTGACAGAGAATTCAAGTCAAGGTGGAGATTGTTAGAATATGACTTGAATTTGATTTGGGTTTGTTTTGTGTTTTGGGCCTATTTTGTTTGGGTTTGTGTTTGGGCTTTGTTTTGGCCTTTTCCTTGTATGTTTGGGAAAATGTGTTTGTTTTCTGTTTGGGATTGTGAGAAGAGTTCTATAAATACTCTTCATCGCCCTAGTCTGTAGTAAGGTCAGTCGGGTTAGTTTGTTTGGTTTGTCCGTTTGGAATTTGGTTTGTAACCTGTACTCTGCTCAAATTAGTGAAATTTGTCCCCCCTGCCCGTGGATTAGCTAGCAAACATTGTGTTAGTGAACCACGTTAAATTTGTGTTCGTTCGTGTTGGTTTGGATTATCGATTGCACGCTTCTATTCTGACATGGCTCATAGTGGTTAAGTGGTGGCTCAACTTGTTTTCTAGCATCTTTATCTAGTGGTAGAGATGATAAGTGGATTGGATTCACGAATTGGTTGATTGGTGGATTCCTAGATTTCGATCATGGATTTAAGTGACATCTAAACATTGAACCATTATGAAAATTTTAAAAAATTTAAGTACTAAAATATTATAATGAAAAATATTAGGTACCAAACCACATTCTACAACGATATTTTTCCGCATAAATTGAGGGGTTCCAACTTCCAACTTACATTGTGTAAATTTAGAGTAAACATATACTAACCAACCATCTTTATTTCTCAGTGATTAACTACATCATCAATCAGGGCTATTACCGATCGACGATCATCATTGGAAACCGCACTCCGGCGGCGGCGTAGGATACCGGGCGGCGTCGGAGCAGTAGTCGTAGCTCATGTACCTTTTGCGGGTGTCCAAGTACGCCTTCAGCTGCGCCTTGCTGAGCCTCCAGTACTGCCTCGCGTTCCACCAGTAACTCGGCGAGAAACAACCGCGGAGGTCGGCGTACGCTGCGGCGGGACACCCGCTGACGCCGAAGTCACGAAACTGCGCCTGAAACGGAGCGTAGCTCCAGTCAATCGGCGTGGCGCCACCGTCGGTGGCCCAGCTCGCATTCCACAGGCTCCCCACCACCTTCAGCGGGTGGCCCGCCGGATACCCGATCCCCTTCACGTTCTTCAGCATTCTTATCGGAATGTTGTCCACCAAAAATCTGCAGCGCAGCGCAAAGTAACATAACATTCGTATTAATTGTATAGGGCGCGACAGTGAATTAGTAACATCGCACGTTTTTTTATTTATCTATTTGTAGTTACGCGACTTGATGATGATTCCAGAGGATAGTGTAGTCGTGGAAATCGGCGGTGGGGTCGAACCAGAGGTGAAACCGTTGCTCCCTGTCTCCCTTGCCGTTGATGAAGATGTTGGTCTGCAATGTGATCGGTTTCCCTTCCTGGTTCCCCAGGAACTCGATGTCCAACTCATCATGTCCCGACACCGGTGACGACGTCAGCTGTAACATATTTTATGTGATTTAGAAGCAAAAAACAATGTATTCATGACAACCGTTATTGATAACCAAAATATTGATGTATGCAATATAGAAGCAAAATCAAGGAAATGAATGACTAACAGAACGTACGTAGAATGCAGTAACAACCCCAGCAGAATTCCTTCCAGGGAGCTTTATTTTCATGTGAAAACTTCCGGACCCGTAACTCACTTTCGACTCAAACCCAGCGCCTGCAATATGTTACGTATTTGCATATCACAAAAGGGATTAAATTAGTTATCCATATGTCACATCTTTCAACAACAATAACGGGGAAAGAAAAATATAATGGTATGTCATATATATAAGAGTAACGCAACGACTATAAAACGATCGAACAAAAGCTAACAAGTGATGGATCGGACCGGAAGCAAGATCCAGGGAGAGCTGAACTTCAGTTCCTTGATGGTACGACTTGGCGTGATCAAACCCCCATGTCACTCCATAGTTCTCATCAAAGCTGGTTTCCCCACCAACAAACATCCCACAACTACTGCTTCCCAGCAACACCGCCACGAACAGGACATATGCTGCCACAGCCTTGGAAACAGTATGAGAATTCATTTTTTTTTTTTTTTGTCACGCTAGCTACTTATCTATGTCTTGTTATTAATATTATACCACACTCTTGTGTTTTAGTGCATTGTTATAGTTGTGGGAGAGAAGGAGCAATGATGCGGCCTTTTATATATACACACATATTTTCAAGCTCGTGGGTGTGATGACCGATGATAATAGTATGTAACTTGAACACTTCTAGTACGTATGTGTGAATTGTGATCCATAGTTGGCTATGGATGGGGGGAAATGCAAACTACTGAGGGAGGAAAAAGGGGGAAACGGAAAGTGGATGTGGCGCATAACAAAGCGTGTGAGAGCAGTGATCAGTTAGCTAGGCGCATATATACCAGCACGTTACTGATTGCATTATTGCATATATATATATACTCACCACAAAATTATTAAATAACAAGTGCACCTCTCATAACTCCAACGGCTTCTACGTACATTGTGTCTAACTATAGGAATCCACCCCTTATCCATGAAAACTGTTATGGATGATATTTGCCTGCATACCAGGCTTTAGGGTGAGCCTGCAACCTCCCCACGTGCCTTCAACCTCCCCACGTTTAATAAATGGATCGGTCTGACAATAATACAAATACAGAAGTTTTAAATAGATAAAATACGTACGATTATATATACTTATATTAAACAAAATATTTACTAACTATGTTTTACTTAAATCCTCCATCACATATGGCATCTGGAGGGAAGTACATATCCCTCTCCTCAACAATAAAAATACATAAGTGATAGTTTATTAAAAATAACTAAATAATTAAATTTAGTCGACAGAGATCTTGTTTTTGGGGGTTGTTTTACTTTTATTGTATCTCCGTTAGCTAAACTAGGAGATTTATTGTAGAATTTAAAATGAAAAAAAAAATGGAAACCTCAACTAATGAGGTGAAGGCACGTGGGGAGGTTGCAGGCTCACCCTACAGCCTGGCATGCAGGCAAATATCATCCAATTGTTATTCTACTCTTTATTAAAGTGAAGATTGTTAGTCTCATCCATTAAAATAGACTAGCACGACAGTCCGGTTCTGCAGTCGGGCCGTGAATTTAGTAATTTGGGATTATATAAACAGATAGTTAACATTATGAGAAGTAACATTATCGATTTATTACATAATAGTTTTAAACATCGTTCATTATATCATCTCACAATAGAATTGTGTTTTCGTAAGGTGAAGAGAGTAAGCAGTATTAGGAATTCGACATTGTTTTGTCTTTTTCGTGCGAGTCAAATAGAAAGCATACTGAATTTTAACAAAAAGTCATACTCAACACAACCAGCAAATCACAAAATCGGGGGTATAACTCGCTCCAGGCTCGAAACCCGTCACCAACAGGCTCAACCACTAATCGTGTTCAATTAGATTGGACACCCGTCCCTATAATGACATTGTTATGTTTTTTTTTTTGCGCGGTTCGGTTGGAAAGCGAAATGAGTTTAAACATAATCCACACCCATCCTGCCAATCATAAAAGCGGGTAAAACTCAGTCTCGACCAAAACTCGTCAATTCCAAGTCCAACGGTTTTGACTGGGTCGATAGTTTAGTTTTTTATTAGTGCGGGCAGGATGAAAAGTGGGTCGAGTTTTGAATAAAATCCACATCCGATCCAACTCGTTATCTAAAAAAGCGTGTAAACTTGCTCACGACCAAAAACTTGTCAACACCAGGTCCCACTTGCTCCCGAACCAAAATTTGTCAATACCGGATTCAACCAGCTTTGACCTTGTTGGTTGTTTTGTCTTTCAGGTGTCAGATGCAAAGTCGACTGAGTTTTTAAGTTTTAACAAAAAGCACACTCGACCCAACCCTTCAATTAGCAAAGAGGGTAAAATTCGCTCATGAACCAAAACTCTTCAACACCGGATTCAACCCGCTTTGACTGTGTCGATTTTTTTTTTTTGCTTTTTAGGTGCAGTTCGGATGGAATGCTGGCCAAGGTTTTAACAAAATTCACACCCATGCCAACCCATCAATTATTAATGTGCTTAAACTTGCTCCTAACTTAAAACTCGTCAATATCGAGTTCATCTTGCTTTGACCGTATCGAATTAGGTTAGTAATCCATGAGTTTGGGTTAAAAAAAAGAAAACAAAAAAGACTCGACTCAAAACTCATCACCATTGGGTTCAACTCACTTTGACAAGGTCGAATTAGGTTGCATAGCCATGAGTCTGGGTTAAAAAAAAGTCAAAAATAAAATAAGAAAATGAATTGTATAATAATAAAAATAAAAGAAATGGGTTGTGAAGTGCACTATGTTTAGTGTCAAATAAAAAACCTCTTTTATATATAATATAATAATAACAACAATATTAATATAATAATAATAATATAATGCAATTGTAATTAACTAATTATATAGAGCATTGATAAATCGAAATCATATTAAGTCCAAGTCAACAACAAATCGGTTAATCATGTCCCAACCAACCATCTAAAGGGAAAAAGAGTACAAACCTCAAACGAAAGCCACTTACAAGGGCTTGAAGTTTGCACAGGTCTGAAGACAAGAATACAATGTGCTTAACAAATGGGGGTCACTGGGAATCGAACACAAGACCTCTCGGTCACATAAGACTATGATACCATGTCAAGAACCAGTTGGTACCAATAACTCGAGTTGTTGGGAGAGGTTCAATCGTGGATCATATACCACAACACTAATAAAAGGTGCTCGCTTGGAAATGGATTAGAAATGTCCTACCGACAGGAGCTAGCCTAGAATACACAAAGGATGTGATGAATGACCTTTGTGGACTACCAGAAATTTAGTATCACATATTCTATGACTGTGGTTGGACTAGAAGGATTTGGTAACCGAATTCTTTACAAGAGGTATTTGACAAAGGACAGGATTACATACGTGAATTGTGATGGGATGGGAAAGGAGGAATCTGTGGGTGTTTGTGAAAGATGTAGGATTTGGGTGGCTGTGTTTGCGGAAATCAATTGGTTGCGATTGTCGTCGGGATTACGTTTGAGAAGATGGATTTTAGATGGGGTTTTATAGATCTACTATGACATGGTTCACCGACCCCAGGATTCTGGAGGCGCGCGGCAGAGAAGCGATTGGGGAAGAAGAAAAGTTTGGTCGTTGAGAAGGAGTAGGGGTCCAGGGAAGAGTTTGGGTTGGGGTGTATGATGTGGCGGAGACTAACTGAAGGTAATTAAGAGTGATCAAATTTGGATCATTGAACTAATTTTAGTGACTACGAATGAAATAAAATATTTTAAGTTGCAAATGTGAATTTTTTTTAGTAATTTCAATGACCAAACTTGGAATTTACAAATGAAGTAACTCATTTTAAATCTTTTCATGGCTCACTATCTTTTAGTCCATTGGCATTGAGGACAATGTCAATTTTTAAGTGTGGGGTGGAATTGTGTGTTACGTGTTACTTGATCATGCTTGATACATGATATATTTTTAGTCGTTCAATTTTGAATATTTTATCCAAATTAAACTAGTTATATTATCTGTGTGAAAAGATTTCAAAAATAGTATAAAAAAAATCCATCTGATGACTTTTAGTCATCTCCTACAAGCTTTTCACTGCTAATCTTAATTACTTGGAATCAATGAGTCTAGGGAATGTCACTTGATCTACGAAGGATAATATAGTGACAAAGAATGCCATAGTCGATGATATGTAATAACCATTTGATATGTTTGGATGTCATGGTGTTTGATTCATTTATAGATTTATGATTATGCAAAGGATTTTCCCGTTTATAATTTTTTTCTAAAGGTTGAACTGTATCTTCTCTAAAATGCAAAAAACGTGTTTGATTCATTTATAGATTTATGATTATGCAAAGGATTTTCCCGTTTATATTTTTTTCTAAAGGTTGAACTGTATCTTCTATAAAATGCAAAAAACTACCAATCGAGACAGGTTGGAATCATTGGAAATGTGTCATTCTATGTTGAGAAAGAAAGTTTGGGATAAGCCCAACGTGGAAGGCATCTTTTTATTGCAAAATTTCATGTTTTGGAAGAGATACTAGTAGAGTTTTAGTAGGGAAGTCTTACAAGGTGATGTTAGTTCCTCTCTAGTACAAGTAAAATTTCCACCCGTCAAATTGATTGCTAACTTGAGGATATTTTATTAATGGTACGGATAAATCTTCTGAAACCCCTTGACTTCATTGACCATCCACACGATTTGAGGTAAAGGAGCTTCAAGCTCTTGCTCAACCAATAAGGGTAAAGCTATAAAGAGCTCTCCACATAAGAAAAGTCTAGAAAAAGAAAAAATAACTGTTTGTAATGGAAAAAATAAAATGAAAAAAGAGTTTGTGCTTGCGAAGGCAAAAAAAAGGTGCTTAAAGGGTTTGTCAAGATGATTGTAGAACGATTCAAAGTTCAAATACATTCATCAAAAGCTTCACCCTTGTGTATTCAGACTCTAATGCATGTTTAATTTTTTTATGCTTGGATTGGATTGCATTATGTTCTTTCATGTTAATATGGTTAGGATTTTCTCATGCTATTGTAGACCTTGTAAGTTACTTATGATCCACTACCTAAGATCGAGATTGAATGATGCTTTCTAGTGTTCAAGAGTGGGGTATTTTTTATTACACTTTATTTATAGTTTTTATCACTCTCTTATTTGATACATTTTTTCATTCTATCAATGCTTCTTTAGATTTTTATTATATTTTATATGAAATTCATAACTATTTGGATAATGAGCTTATGCTAGACCTTGAGTGTGTTTTTTTCTACTTTTTGACGCCTATAGGTGTTGTTTTGTGATTTTCAAGGAGATAATACACTTAAGATGAAAATGGATCACCAAGGGACCCAATGAATCAATAGGAGGCTGAGAATACAAGCTCGCGGGGGTCAAAGAAAAATGGATTCTGACACTAGAAGCTCGAGTTACGGACCTAATAATTGTCTTTTGAAGAGCATACAGTGAAATGAAGTGGAAACAAGCTAAATTTTAGGAGCAGGCCCATGAGCCCAAGAGGAAATTGCCCACCAAAAAGGGGCCGATTTGGAGAAGAACCTCGAGCAGCAGGTACAACTGTTGGGGGCTGACACTGATGCCGTAGCTTCTAGAATACTTCCTCCACAAGCTATTTCATCCATAAGTTGAAGGAAACCGACTTCAAGTCGGATATTCAAGGATTTGCCTACTTTAAGTGGGAAAAGACTAGAAAACACCCTTATGTAACTAGTATAAAATAAATAGGAGGTTAGGTTAGAGCTTTAACACACCTTTTACAAATACTGTGTCCTAGAGGCACGAGTAGCAATCCATAGAGAGGAGTTGAATTGCTGCTAAAATTTGAAGGAGAAGCATTCAACATCGATGCCTGTATCTATGGTGATGTTGTTCTACGTCTCTATGGCGTGCAAGTCGACCTGTTTAGGGATGTGAATTCTTTGATGATTCGTCCATTTATTTATCATCGATGTTTGATGTCAATCTATTCTTATATCATATATTTCTTGAGTATTCGACGCTATTCTTATTTGATGCTTTAGTTAATCAACGCTGATGATTTTATTATGTGTTACTATATGCATTTTTTTTACTACTATCATGAAAGAAAAGGAAACTAATCTCGTGTAGTAGGTATCTACTTAGGCGTGTAGAGCAGGACTAGCTACCCTTCTATATACAAATTAGGATGATGCATGATTCTTAGATCATTGATTCTATAGAGTATAGACCATCCACTGTGGCTCCAAGAGGCCCACAATTAATCATATGTTATCTTAACTTCTTTGTTCTTCAATGATTAGGTGACAAGTGAAGCAAAAGCACGCATTAGGTAGTCAGATCTCTATAGCAATAGGCGCATGCAGGCGTAGAGAGTGGCCTTAGTGTAAGGGATAGGGCATCTTAATAGAAAATAATGAATGATCATCTAGAATCACAACCTAAATATTACTTGTATTGCTTGCTTTGTTAGTTCTTTCATTGCACAATAGTTTAGGACCTCGAATTTAAGGGCACCTTAACCCACTAGTTTTATTTTTCTTTTCATTATCATTCGAGCATAAAGGTTTTGTTTGAGTTGTTAATATCAAAAGACCTCATGGGATGCGATCCCATGACATCCTAGGAATTTATCACTTGTTGTTACATCAATGTTGCGTGTTTAAAGGTCAGCGAATGGGATTTGGTGTGGTGGTAAGGGAAAAGAACAATCAATTTTGCTTGGCAGCAGTTAGATGTACCAAGACTCAGTGGGTACCGCTTTTGGCAGAGACAGATGCAATCTTTTTTAGGCTGGAAATTGCTGAAGAATTAGAATTCTCTCGTCGAAAGTGGAGTCAGACAACCATATGGTAATTCAGTATCTAAAGCGATAAGAAATAACGATGTAGAGGGCGTGATGTGTGTGTCGAGATTCGTGATCTTTCCATGAGGGTGGCCCAATTGCTTTCACCTTCTCGGGTTAGACTAGCAATGAAGTAGCCCACTTAATGACACATACTTCTTGTCATTAGGACCAGCAAAAAATTTGGACTTCTAGACCCCCTTATTTTTATAATTTCCAAACTATAATTGAATACTTGTAATATTTAGTACCTCTGATAAAAGGAAAATACTACAGTGTGGCTGTAAAAAGTACAACACGAGTACCGCTGTTTATAATTTATCCATGTGGACTGTGACATGGCATGGCTGAATTTATTAATCACAACCCAATCCATCTGGCACAACCCAAATCATCTTTAACAAAGTAACCGAAAAGTTGCTCCATTAAATTTGTTTCTATATTCTTTTCTTTACTTTAATTAAAAATTAATGTATTTGCTATTAGATTTTGTTTTTTTTTTTGGCGGAGAAAAAAAACGCACTTCCTCTTCTTCCTCATCCCCCTCTCTGACGGGCTCTCTAAAATCAATCTCGGCGACTTCTTCGATGTCCATCCCATCTCCAGGTCCGACCTCAAACCTCGATTGAAATCCCTCATTGTCTCGTGCTAGATTTATATTGTAGAAAAAGGTGAAGGAATCCATATGTCCCCATCGAACTACCTCATCACCAAAGTATGAGACATAGTCATTTCAGAGAAGAGAGTATCTCTTCCTCTGGCCCTTCTCGTTTTGCGTCATTCCTTTTGTAATCGTGGAAACCAAGTTATAAGTCGTGCGAAGAGACTTTGGCCATGGAATCAAAAGGATTCCAGGTAAATCAATATGTAGGGATCTGAAAGGTTTTATTTTTAACATACTGGAAACTTCTGAAAATGGTCGACAGTGTCAGGGAGAATTGTAACTAGGGAATTTGCTAAGGGACTTGAGAGAAAGCTTTAATCAATGGAGATACGTACTACTAGAGAGACATCTCACAAGCTTTGTGTTTCAAACATGGCCTAGAAAGTTAGAGACATCCATCTCTGAGACCTTTTCTTTACTCAGTTTAACCTGTTTTCAAGTCGAGTTGTTTATCAAAGTAATACACGAGGGAAGTTAGCTAGATATGGGTTTGTCTCGTTTGCCTTAAGGGAATAGGCGGAATTTGAAATCTCAAGTTTGTAAGGCAAGGTAAAAAAAGGATTTCATCTTGATGACACTTTATTTGTAGTATTTATCACTCACATTCTTGATATATTTCCTTTTATCAATACATCTTCGGTCATTTTTCTTGATTTCCATATCTAAATCATAAATATTTGATAGATGAGCCTTTAATAGACCTAGGATGTGTTTTTTGTACACTTTGATATCTTCTTGGTATGTTTTTATGGCTTTCAAGGTACAAAGCATCCTAAGGAAACTTGGATCAAGCATACGAAAACGCAAAAGGACCAAAAGAGCTATAAAGAGAAGAATATGGAGCTTTTATGCTAACTCGATCTCCATTTCAATATCCTCCATGTCAGATAGACCCATATCTTCATGAGTGGAAGGGGTAGGATGTTGATTCTAGAGCCAAGATCCACCAATCTTTGCTCGAGATAATGGTCATCTAGGAGACAATTGATTGTGCAATGACCAGAATCCTCCTTTTCTTGGTATACTCGAATGATTTCTTGATGGCCATAAGGAATTGACTCAATGCTAGTCTTATCCATTTTTTCCTTCTCCAGAAATTGCTTGAGCTTCTCTCTTGGGTTCTTCACAACAACAATGTTATCCAAATGGGGCATAACACTATCTTCTCATCCCAATAATCTATCATCTTCTGCATTATTTCAGGGTATCGAGATGCTTCTTCATGGATGGCTATCTCCTTCGCAGGTTGTGTCATCGTCTTTGTTCTATTCTTAGTTTGAGATGTCTCCATTGTATGGGATTGAGCAAGCTCCAATGTCTTCTTCCATGTCTCCTTCTTTTCTCCTTAGATGACTACCTCCTTCTTGCTTCCTTGCCTTGATCTACCTTCTTTATCCTCCACCATCTCACAAGGATGGGTATTCAAAACTCCTCCTTCCTTGAAAATTTCCTTAGAATTGAGCTCCCACGAGTTATTGCACCAAATTTGACTCTGGATACTTGACACGCTAAAACACAACAGCAAACTGCGACCAAGTGTAATTGCAGTCCGGAAATGCAGAAGAGTGGCAAGTTCAATTAATCAACCCGGGTCTAGATCTACTGCCTACTCTGTGACTACCTGTTATCTAGCGAGAATAAGTTGAGTGATTGTGATTTTAAGCTAAAGCAGTAGGAAAGCAGGAAATGGTTCGAAGTTCTTAAGCAAGGGAAGAGTCACTCGGGAATGAGTCCCTCTAGCTCCTTAGTTAGGTCAAAGTTGTAATTACCTTTGGTTGATTTACTGTGGATTAAACTGTGAAAGATCCGATAGTAGTTTGGAATCTCTTAAACTGACCAAACCCTCTCAGACAGACTGCCCGGCAGATGACTAGTCTTCACCAGGATAGAACGTTGAGGCAATTAACACAAAAATCCACTACTAGAATTGGATTCCAGTACAAAGCAGTGAATCGACTAACTCTCGTATAATCTATTCACTACTACCGATTGAAGAAGCTCTAACAACCTAATCAGATTCTATCTATCTAAGGTTGCAGCAGAAATCAAGAAAAGATGATCAGACTTCAATTGACTCAATGAATCATGCATCAATCGATTATAATCAAGTAGTATCACAAACCAAAAGTCATTACAATCAATATCCCTAAGACATGGAACTAGGGTTCTTCATACCCAAGTGAGAGAGGGTTCTACCCCATAGAGAGAGAGAGAGAGAGAGGAAAACAGAAATTAGAGCAGTCATACTCATAAAGATGGGAATAATATGCTCTGGGATGTCGATCTTCACGCCCGGGGATGCAATCTGGGCTTCAATGGTGAGAAATCCACTCCAAATACCTCCTAGGGTTTGTTGTTCGCACTTTCTCTCTCTAGAACTATGTTTTTGCTCTGAAAAATTGTCATCCCCAAAATATGAGCTCCTCTCCAATAAAACCCGCAGAGGTGCAAAAACACGGCCTCTAAGCCCAAAAACACTGACATGTTTTAATCAAAAGAGGCCGGGTTTCGGAATGACGATTTTGTGAAGTGCAGAGGAAAAACACGGCCTCTAGCACAAGGCCGTGTTTTTCAAAACAAAGGTCGTGTTTGAGGGCATGTTTTTCAGCAGCTTTGCTGCCTGTTTTCGCGATCGACCTGCTTTCACCTCCAAATGTCCTGAAACTCGTCCCCAATCCATATCTATGTACTAGGACCTAAAATACGACAAAAGAACACAACCTAGCGTAAAATAGGCCAAGGAATGACCAATCACTAAGCTAAACGATCAAGAAATGAAGGGGAAAACATGTGCAAATACGGTGTTATCAATGCTCTAACATCTTCATGAATTGATGTGAGCAAAAAAAGAGGGGGCGCCCTCTCTTTTTTAGGCAAGCGGTGGGTGGGAAACAGATGTTATCACTGCTCCTTTCCTCTGGGACACAGACTTTTTCTAGTCCTTGTGGGTGTAGGATTGGGAAAACTCACGGCGGGTGGTAGCGGCAGTATAGTGGCGGGTCGAACTGCCATTTTTTCCATTTTGGGAGACGGTTATAATTTAATACTTGTTTGTGTAAGAGAAGGACATTCAGCTTCAGGCAGGGTCTTTTCCAGCGGCAGCTGTGCATTCGGTCAAGGCATTGCTCCTTTTCCTTCTCCGTTTTTTAGTTTGTTCTCCTTGTTCTTGAAGGATTCGTCAATTTTGGCACCGTTGGATCTCCTTGCTCTATTTCTCCCTTTTATTTTCCTATGGATTTAAAAAAATAAACAAAAAACATAATAGAGGGGAAGCAAGTGCTTAACAAGCAATTTAAAAGAAAATAAAAACAAGCAAACTTTGGAAATCCGATTGTCTCCTTGGTAACACTTACATTTTATATCCTTAAGTTGGATGCCAGACATGGGTTGCCTCCCATGAAGCACTCTTTCTTTTATGTCTTTGAGCTAGGCATTGCTCCTTATCCTAAAAGGTCCCAAACTTAAAGATTCCTTGAAGTCCATCATCTTGATTGCAGGCTCCAAGTGTATACCATCATTCTTCTTGTTTTTGCTTGATGGAAGACAGAAACCACCTTAGTGTCCATCGTGCACCTTTTACCCCACATTTTGAATTTTAAATTTTAGGCATGTGGTATAGGTAATGATACAAAGAGGTGGGTCCGGGTAGGGGAAGTGGAAAAAGAAGGTGGGCCACATATATATTTTTTTAATAATTATAATTTATTAAATTAAAATTTATATTTTATCTCTCATTTTGCACCACTTACTTTTTCTCTTAAACAACAATTTACACCTCAATTTATACCTCACTTAAATTTGCTCCCTCCTACAATTTACACTTCAATTTGCACCCCCTCGTCGCCAAACAAAGCGCGCAATTAGGGGTAGTACGGTGCGGTCCGGACCAGACCAGACCATAGACACGGTCTATGATCTTGACCGAGAGGTTGGACACAGACCATGGACCAGACAATATACTATACGGTTCAAACCACGCATATGTGGTGCGGTCCGGTACGGTCTGGACCAGGCAGACAATGTTATAAAAATTCACTCTTGTTCCGCCCTCCAACCCTTCGCCAATATCTATAAAAATAAAAAAAATTCAATGACCAATATGCTAGTGAAACAAATAAATTATGATCGTAATTAAATGAGAAGAAATATATGAGGATAGAAGTGAGTTTTTTCAATTTTCAAACTCTCACTCCACTCTCCACTACTCTATCCAGTATCCCTTAAAAAAAACACATCAAATAGCCTAGTTTCCTTATCCCTCTTTGTGCTACCGCTTCTATCCTTCTCTCGGGTGATGTGAAGGTTCTCGCGGTCAGGGGCGGATACATGGGCCTCTAGGGGTGTCCCGGGACACCCCTAAAATTTGGGGAAACGATTATCCAACCTCCGGTAGTAATTTCGTATGGGTATACAAAATATAATTGGTAATCCGGGACACCCTAACATTTGAAAAAATGATTATCCTACTCTCGATAATAGTTTGCTTATGATTAACAAAATATAAGTGGTAGTCTGTGTTATTCCAACCTAGGACCCTACTATTATCAAACATATTCTAATTATGTTGCTACTCATTTGTTATTCTATTTTAAACATCATGCAACAGTAAAACGCTATTTCTTTATCCCCAACTATTTTCAATACCTAATAATTAAACTACGTACACGCTACCCTTAATTTTGAATTGATTTTATGGTTACACGGCAAGTGTTGAAAGAGTCTTTTCTACTTTTAGCTACATCAAGAACAAGGTTAGAAATCGAATATGTGATAAGTTTGTGAAGGTTTTTTTTTTATGAATTGGTAAGCTTTATATCATAAAAAACCAGCAAAACTGAAGGCAACACCCCTGCCAACTAAGTCACTGTTTCCTGCGGCCTCAACCACTATTTAACACCTCTACCTTTAACAAAAAACAACAAAGGAACCTAAAACTGAACCAAGGGCACCATAGGCTGACTATTCCCAAAAATTATCAATAAGTTCAGAGGGAAACAGGACAGAAAGATCTTTTCGTATACAGACAATCAACTCTTGAAACCTTCTCCTTGTCCCACCAAACTTCAAATAACATCTTTCTCTCCAGATGGAACTGACCATAGATCTCCAAATCGCCCTAGCAGCTTGAGCACGCACCTGCTTTCCTCGAAGATGTGAAATAGCCCACTGTAACTCAACGCCCCAATCATCAGAAGGAGTTCTGGGGAATTCCTTAGCAAGCAAGCCTGCATACAGCTCTTTGTAAACCACACATTCACCAAACAAATGCGCTCATTAAATTTAATTTATTATATACTTAAATTTAATTTTTGAAGAGGACACCCCTGTGAAAATTTTCTGAATCCGCCACTGTTCGCGGTTGATAACCTTTGTGATGACGTTGATGTCATTTTGAACCACTAAGATGGTCTCTTATCTCTCAATAATTTTTCTTATTTCATCAAGGTGAATGAATTTTTTCTAGTGTTTATGTCTTATCCACTCCATAGTCTAGACTTTGTAGTTAAATATTATTTAAGAATCTTTCTGATTTTTGTGTGGTTCTTTGATAAGGAGATAACGCATAAGCGATCATTTGAGAAATTTGTTGGCTCTCAACTGGATGAAGAATCAACTAACTTTGTTCTTCAAATACACAAATGGAGGTTTACTTTAGTGTTATTTTGGTCCAAGTTAATAGGTAGTGTGTCGCGGTCTGTTACGGTTTACTGTGGTAGACCGCGGTCCAGACAACTTCAGACCATACACTAAAGGAGGAGACCGCAAACCAGACCAGACCGTAGTTCTGTTCTCACAGTCCAGACCAAACCATACAATACGATCTAGACTGCGGTTTCCCATGCGATTTGGTCTAGATTCTCATAATAGTCTATTGATTGTGAAAAAGTTATTACACGACCATTTCGTGAGATGCAATGGTTGGTTGGTTGGAATGTAATTTTTCAGCAAATCAAGCCATGACTATTGACTAATGACTACCAATTCCCTAGCGGAATGCAATCATTTATCAAAGGCTAAATTACACATTTGGTCATTCAAATTATATAAATCTTTCATGTTTGCCACCTAAATTACTTTTCTTTCTTATTCGCCACTAACTTTATGAATCGTTTCACAGTTAGTCACCGACCGTTAGTCTCCGTTAACTCTGTCAGTTTTTTGATGACGTGGCAAACAGAGCTGCTGACGGTACCGTCAACTTATGACATGTCAATTTAAAAAATAAAAAATAAGAAAAAATACCTTTTTCCCCTTCCACGCTCGCTCACTCATCTTCAACCCTTCCCTTCCTTACAACAGCAGCCGCTCAAGGTTATCTCCCCCAAAATCTTCACCAACTTCTGCTCCAAATGGGGCCCTTCACAATTACTCTTCTTCTTTTTCCTTCTACGACCCGAGAAGGAAAATTAACCGCGTCGAGTGAGCTGTTGTCTTGTGGCGGCGAGGATCGACGAGGGTGTAAGCGCGACGATTAGCCTGGGGAGGAACGAACCCATCAAAGGAGCCTTCGACGGAGCGCTGTCGAGGCCTTCTGCTCTGGAGCTCTTCGTGGGTCCTCAAGTAGTTGGGGACGAATCGCAGGGAGGAGGTCGTCGACGATGTTTAGCTTGTTGTGCAGATCGGCGCCTTGGCGGGAGGAAGGACCGTCGGCGATGATGGTGTCGAGGTAGTCTGGCAGTGGTGTGACTTTGCGATAGCGGCGAAGAATGGACGACTGCACGGCATGGCGGGAGAGTGGAGGCACGGCGTCTCCCTCGCCTTCCTCCTTATGGGTGGGCTATCTCCCCCTGCCCTGTTCCAATTCAATTGAAATTGAATTATATAGAATCTCAATCCAATAGTCTAATTAATACAAGGATTGAATTCAGTTAGTTATTTGGGGTGGATGGAGGGACATTTTTAATCTGGTGTGTTTCCTTTTGGATGAAGGGACATTTACTCTCAGGCGCTGTCGCTACCTCTAGTTGGATGGTGGTGACGGGAGGAAGTTATTGGTCCAGTGGTCCACAAAGAAACACAACTTGGGCGGAGGACGGTGGCGGTTGTCGACTATCGGATATGGACCCAATCTCTCTCAAACCTTGAGCGGTTGCTGGTGTAGAGAAGGGAAGGGTTGAACATGAGTGAGAGAGGTGGAAGAGGGAAAATGGCATTTTTTTTAATTTTTTAATTTTTTAAATTGACATGTCATAAGTTGACGTTACAGTCAACAATTCCATTTGCCACGTCATTAAAAAACTAACAGAGTTAAGGGAGACTAACGGTCGGTGACTAACGGTGAAACGATTTGTAAAGTTAGTGGCAAATAAGAAAGAAAAGTAATTCGGGTGACAAACATGAAATATTTATGTAATTTGAGTGACCAAACGTGTAATTTATCCGTTTATCAAATTTCATATACTTCAACGGATTGTCAGGGCGAATCCCCACTGGCTTGTTCTCATCGACCATGTGGCCCTCGAAAGTGGGCAAATCCCACGGGCCACACGGCCATCCTTCCTATCCTAGCGTGAATGTAACGCGAAAAAACTTCAGCTCTCTCGTCGGGAGCGGGACCCACAGTCGACAATTATCTCTTTTCTTCTGCGGTCTCCTCCCTATATCAATTGCTATTCATTATTTCTACCGCCAGAGTGACTGCGCTGGGAGATACAGAGTTTGGCGTTTTGCTTTCGGAAGACGCAGAGAAGATCGGACGGTTGACGGAAGAAGAAAAGAGAGGCGGATATACGAGATATGTCGGCTACCGGCGGAGGCGGGCAGGAAGAAGACAAGAAGCCCGGGGATCAGGGAGGCCACATCAACCTCAAAGTCAAGGGCCAGGTAATCATCTGGTTTTACTGTTTGATTCCTCCGTCGGGCAACTGATGGGATACTGGCCTGTGGAATTTTGATTCCTGCTGTTGGTTTGTTTTGGAGTTTATGGTTAGCCCGCCGTGTCCATTAGCTTGGTTTGCAGCGGAATGTTGGGTTAGGTTTTACTAAAGCAGGAATGGGTCTCGTTCGTTTATGCTTGAGATTGATTTGCTATGGGAACATGAGCTTTTAAGTAATGGGCTTCATGTTGCCTTGTCTTCCTCTACTCGCAGCTAGGAAAAGAAGAAGAAAAAAGAAGTTGCCAGGAAACAAGTAGTGATTTTGAAAATGAGGATATATGGATGTTGTTCTGTTCACTGCTAGATAAATTGGTGGCTTCGACTCCATGTTTGATCCTCCAGATGAAATGGGTTGCTTTTATCTTAACTTTATACTTGGGTGATTTGGCATTCTGCTTGTATTCAGTACTTTCCAACTAGCTCCTACCTTGTTGGTGTTTTCTGTTTTTATTTACCTAACAATGTCTGATTTTGCAGGATGGGAACGAGGTGTTCTTCAGGATCAAGCGCAGCACCCAGCTTCGCAAATTGATGACAGCATACTGCGATAGACAGTCGGTGGACCTCAACTCCATCGCGTTCCTGTTCGATGGTCGTAGGCTGCGTGTCGACCAGACCCCAGACGAGGTTGAGCCCTTCTTTGCTTTCCTTAACCTTCTCATTAGCAGGCCGCCCAAATTTCTGTTTCTATTGGCCGTAGAGCCCTGGAGATTGTTCTCGTTGTCTGACTGATTATGGTTCGACTTCTTTGATAGCTTGAAATGGAAGATGGAGATGAAATTGATGCAATGCTGCACCAGACGGGTGGTTTCCGCGGATGGCTTTAACTTCTATGTAGTAGTAGTAACTAGTAAAGGACGGGGAATATTATATGCCTTTGCTTCATCTGAACTTTACTCTGAGAAAGAGAGAGAGAGAGAGCAGATGGACATCGAAACTGGATCTGGAAGTTTGGTTCTGTTCTAACAATACGCTGGATTTTGTAATGGTTTCAAAGATTCGTGTGATTAAGCTTCTGTTGTCCTTAGTTTAGAACTGCTATGGGTTCAACCATCATTAGACAGTGAAAAGGACAGAAGTCCATAAACAGCAACAAAACTTGACTGGTCCCAAAAACGAATCCTGTCTCCACGGGCCTACAAATCTTCAGCTAGCATACGAGATAACTCATGCTGGTAACTGGAGCTTCTTGTGGTTCTTCCAACTGCATGGCAGATATTTCGCGTCAAATGAAGGGGCTGAGAGTCTGAGAAAGTGTGATAACAGTGGAATTACTGGTTAATAAGACACCTAGTTACCTCTCAAAGTAATAGTAAAAGAAGTCGGCATACAGCAACGTTTGTACGAGCCCTGAAATCCAAGCTGCGGAACAGATGCAATTGGCAACCATTCATGTTAATATCATACAAAATATTCACAGGGGGTAGAAAATTAGACAGTTTCAAAGAATAACAAGTGAAGATCACGCAAGGGGAAGCTCCGCCTCTACTTGGTTCTGAGGACTTGAGCCAATTCTGCTATATGTGTACACAATTATTCCAAACTGAAGAGCTTGGATGTACACATCATATGAAGCTGCCCTTAGGAAAATAGATCCAAATGAAAGCTCATGAAAACCAGCATCCAGCTCTATAGTGTTTTAGCCAATCACAGAGGAACGTGATATATTTGGGAACATTGGTTTCTAGAAGTGCAAGCACAGGGAGGTGTGTAGTTAAAGCAACCCTTCCCGCTGAACTAAAACGGAAGTATATCCCAACCATCCCTTGTCTAAGCCAAATGTGACTGCGTGCAGGGAAATAAAATCTTAATATCAAAGTTACGCAGTCCATCAACCCTACCATTAGAGAGGACAATGGAAGAAAACATTGGGCAGTTCATGTAGTAACAGATAATCACAAAGCATGTGTGAATCTGCAGGAAGAAGGGGGAGAAAAAAGAGGTAAATAGAGCAGCCCATACTTATCCAGTGAACATAGTTCGGCTCTGTGAAGTAACGATAGATCCAGTTGAGTATATAAAGGGCCCGGTAAGCACTGCAATCGAAATAGCAATGGATTATTTAGATTTCATAAAGTACAGTTTCTCTGTATCTGAGTTTAAGACCAAGAGAACTGATGTTATCAACTAAAACACTAACCAATCTCCATGATTCAATTATCATGAAACTATATACCTACTCATCCATGGGAATTCAAAGTCTACATAGAAGGCGGAATTGGTTATAATTAAGGTATTATGCAAAATGACTTATCTGACACAATATTTCAGGGAACTCGGACTTCATAGGCAACAAAGGTACAGGAGAAACAAGAGCTTACCCAAGCAGAAACACATATTGACCTGTCAAATTGTCAATATTTCTGGTTCGCTGCAACAGTACAAGCTGAGGAAGTATGACAACTGCTTCTAGGAATATGGAAAATGTCCACATCACCTGTACAACACAGAAAGAGGTAAGAAAAAAACAGGCTATACTCTTGCTAACACAGCCCCGATGAGACACGTAAATGGGGTTGAAAGCTTTATTAACAGATGATCCCAGCCACAAGAGAGAAATGTAAAACAATGTGCAACCTAACCTCCAGAAATGAGAATTTCTCGTGAATAAGAAGGGCCAAGAGCAGACAAGGGAGGACGAGGAACCAGTGGCGGAAGGTATCTTGATCCTTATCATAAGATCTCCGGACAAGCTTGTGGTGTTTCATGTACCATATAATTGAGAATGTGCTTCCTAAGAATATTAACTTCATGATGGTATTATAGATGGATACAAAAGAGGTAAACATGTCCAAATAGCGAGTGATAAAAACAAGTGCATATAGTTCCTGGGTCTTTAAAGAGACACCTGCATACAATAAAGAGCCGGTCACAATTGAGAAGTATAGAATCAATATGAACGGCGTCCCAGTTAGATTAATGAAAAACATAGAACCTAGCAGTTAAAAACCCATTATCTAGGTGATCACCGCAACGTCTTTAGAGTGTCAAACATATCATTGGGAATTCAACACAGTATCAATCATACTATATCTGGTCCCGTTGTCCAAGAACTCAGTACAACCAAGGTTGGAATGAGTCTACACTGAAAGCAAACATTACTCTAACTCAGCTGCTTGAAATTAGAAACATTAGAGAAGCTATGGAACTGGAAAATAGATTGCAAATCATTCAAACCCTTCCCTGTAATAGATCTCAACTGGTACATCCCCCTATTTCTCAACATGCCATGCCAATCCAGCACGAAGCAAGGCCAGGGAAGTTGTAAATCGGTAACCATTTAACCCAGTTTCATTGAGCAAGAAACGAGCGTAGCATAAACTGTGACCGCAAATGAGCAATATCTAGCCAAATTAAACCCAATTCAATCATTCCAATCCAGATCTCCTCCCACATTTCTGAATACTGACGTATCGCCCCTCAAGATACCTCTTACCTACTATTTCGTTTAGCAAATTACAGACCTCCATCTCTTGAGACGCTCCAAAATATCGGAGTATTACGGAGGTGAGAAAGAAGCATACGTACCAGCACAAGACTTAATGGTGTGGATCTTGAGCAGCAGGACGAGAACGCTGGCGAGGTGAGTCATATCACCTGCTAATCTGAATATATTCATCTTTCCTTCCTCTTACACTCTAACTCTCCTCCTCGTGCCACTACTGCTGCTGCTTCCGCTCTCCTTCGCGGACTGGATCCAGGGGAAGGAGGCAAAATACCGTACGTAGCTTTCTGCAGAATCTCGAAAATTCCGGCGATCGGCGATTCAAATCTCAGTTCAGTTGTGGAGAGCAGACCTCTGCTCAGGGTGCACGAATGGCGGGAGAAAGAGCTTCTGCGCTTTGGAGTGGTTCTGGTTCTGGACTCTGGTGAGACGGTGGCTTGGAGGGACGGTGGATCTTGCAAGAAAATGAACGGAATATGAATCCTATTTATGTTTCTCTTTTCCGGTCTTACGGTTTGTCCTCTTAATTTCTCTTATTTTTTTTGCTTCCGGCCAATCATTTTACGCCACCTAATATTTCATGACACATCTCAATCTTCTTTCCCCAGTCCCCACACATTATGCGGTTAAATACCAAAGTGGTTCCTCCAAAACTTAAATACCGCAAAATGGTCTCTTGAGACAAAAAAATAACAAAAATTAAATACACCCCCAAAGTAGCCAAGGCCGAGAGTAGTAGTAGACCTAGAGTTCCCGCGGAATACATCGGTCATCGCTATACTATTTCGCCGATTTAGGGTACACTTGTCCTAGATTCGAGTAGCTAGTATCGTAGACAACAAAGTTTATAGCTATTAGAACCAGATCGTGTGACACACACAAGATGAGGAATAGGATCTTTGATCTCCATGTCTCAATAATGCTTGCCTCCATATTATATCAATTCAGTACAAGATCACAACACAAACAACTTGATTACATGAATCAAAGTTTTGTAATTTTCAAGTTTGGAATTGAAACTCATACAAATTTGGTAACAAAATTTGCATAAAAAATTCAACTTGAATTCTTCCAAATTCAAACATAATTTTTTCCCTTGAACTCTTCTCATAATATGAATTAAGATTTCGTTCTCGTCTCAAATACTACAAAAAGTAGTTGGTATCATTAATTCTACTTCATCACTTTTAGGGAAAATTTGTGTATGAAAACAGAGGGGATGGTACTATTTATAGAAAATAAAGCGATGTGATCCTTCGGGTGGGTGGTTACACCCCAACCAACACATTGGTTCATTTTAAAATAATGAACCATTGCATCGGTTCGTCCTATAGTAGTTGGAACGGTTGGTTCACTCCAACAGCCACATCGGTTCGGTTCAAATCATTTTGGTCTAGTTGGTTACACAAACCATTTTAACCTATCACCAAAAGATTTAATCAAATCAATTGACAGAATTCAAGAGCTTCTCTTGGCTCATTTCCGTTCACGCCATTAAAAATCCCAACACTGGCTGGTTAAAGTGCTTCTAGATTTCTTGGCTTTGGAGACATGGAGAGCAATCTAGATCCGCTCTGACGAATATTTTCCACTCTGATCCATAATGGGGTGGATAAAATCTTACCCCTGCAAAAACGGGGCAAATCATGACTCGATCCGTTGATAGAACAAGGCGGATATGGATCTTGTTGATGATCCACCTTACCCCACCCTACTCTGCAAAACTGGTGGATGATGTACCACATCGAGAGTAGTAGCATGATTGCACCCTTCCTTGTAGTATATAATACTAGGTGGCAACCTTTTAATAAGACAATTCCTCAAGGAGACTAACTAACGGGCATTTTAAATTAGCCACAAAGTTTTTCTACTTATGAGTTTTAGGTTTTGAAGTCCATTAAGAATTTTTTTTAAAAACTCAATGCTTTTGAAGTTTCTATTTTATGGGAGAATGGTCAAAGATGAGGCAGAGTGACTCACTCCTACTGTCACTCTAGAAAATGGCCAAGTGCAACCACTTCCTAAAGCGTAGTATATCGGGTTTGGGTTTTAGTGTCAACTCGGGTCCTAGATGTGATGACTACTTGACACGCTAAAACACGACACCTAACAATGGCCAAGTGTAACCAATGAAAGGGACTGCAGTATAGTGGCTCAAGTAATAAATATCGAATCCACGGGTCTTTAGAGTTACTATTACTCAGCTTCAATTCATTATCTAGCAAACCAGATTAAGATGGAAGAACTAAAACTACTCTAACAAACTACAGTTAAAGTTAATCTAATTACAGGTTGGGAACTCACTTAGGTATGATTCCCCCTAGCCACTAGCCAGATTAATGATTGATGATCTTTAACCTGGTTCACTTTCATTCACAATGCGGAGAATCCTTGACTAGACCTTGAGTCTCGACTAAAGGAACAAGGCTCTCTTGAGTCAATTGCCTAGAGGGACGTATCCTTCTCTAGAACAACCGATCAAGGCGTTCTAAACTAGACTCCCTCTATCGAAAGAGGTTCTCAATCGATACAAAGCAGTGAATCAACCCTCGACTAAAGCAATCGATCCAATACTATTAATCTATGGTGCTCTATTGACCTAATCAGGTATTCGCTCTCATAGGATCAAAGCAGAATCAATAATCTCGACTAAAGTATAATTGAATCATGAAAACGTGCATAGATTGAATATGAACTCAATATTATCAAGTAAGAATCAATCGGGGATACCACGTAAATTTAGTGTGTTGCGTACTCTGTTACAATTGATCTTGTGACAATCGGAGATACATAACAGAGTACGCAACATACGAAATTTACGTGGTATCCCCGATTGTCAGGACTAGTCCACGGGAGAGATGAACTCTCCCGCTGATATTTTATTAGACTCTCTTAGGTTGTGGCCGATGGCCTTACACAGTATATATACCCCTTCTTCCAAGTTCCAATCATCTAGGGTTTTACAACTGGGACAAGCTATCAAACCGCAACCTTGTTGGGTTGGGATTCCACTCCGTGCATGACACACCTGGGACGTAGCCTGATGCGAGCTGGGCTGTAGGTAATGGGTTGTACGTTGTTGGTCCATTCCTAGTAGTGGAAATGTGCGACACCCAATCAGGTCGTCCATGCATACAAAACCCAATGTCATCACCTGACATTCGACATTAAGTGACCTAAGATTTTTGGAACTATATTTGGCTTTCTAGTTCCGATGACTGTAAAATGTACAGGAAGATATTTATCAGAACGAGAAAAAAAAGATGACCGAAGATAAACCATTAATCACAGAAGAATTAATGAATTTTTTTCATGTTATCCACTAGAATTTTACTGTAATAAAAAATTAATCACGTGAACTAAGGCTCAAAAATAATTTTATTAATTTCGGTGAATGTAGTGATACAATTACATACAAGATATTTTTTGCGTGACGGTTGATGTACTTCCTCATACAGGGTAAAATTCCCATTACTAGAAACCAATTTTTTATGTAAGTAGGTTTTTAATGATTTTGCTTATGTTATATACCTGAATCGTTAAAAATTGACGAAACAGATGAACATGGTCAAAGTGAATACTTGTATATATTCATGTTGGAGCAAATAAAAAAGTGTTCCTCGTCTAGATAATACCAAAAGAAAGAGAATTGAATTAGAAGATATCAATAATTTCTAAGATGAAACCATTGCAGATTGGACAATTCCCTCTTTGAACCCAAAGCTCCCTTGAGCAGAGTCGACAGAAGGTATGACCACATGGAATGAGCGCAGAGCCTTTATGCCTGACCATGCACACACAACACGTATGCTCCGTCGTCCCGCCATCATCATCATCATCATCCTCATCCTCATAGCTGTAAGTTTGTTCATCAATGTCCTGATCCCCTACAACATACCTCGCCCCTTCAAACCCCATCTGTCGATCAGTCTCCTCCAACAAATCCATAAGTGACATCCCCATTCCTCCCTCTCCTCCATCCCCAACATCATTAAATTCCTCCTCCTCTTCCTCCTCTTGTGCGGCAGCTGCTGCTTCCGCAGCCTCCTGCGCTGCAATTGCCTCCCTGGCTGACAATACCCTCTCCTCTACTCGTCGATTCCCATGGTGTGCAGCTTCCTCCTCCTCATCATCATGCATCCCAGGAGTCGATGTCCGAAGGGAGTTCCGCCGTGACATCTGCGGTCTAAAGCTTCGAGCCGGAATCTCATCATCGCCAACGGCAGGAGTGTCCACTGCAAAGTACTCTTCCCCATCTGTATGACCACTTGCAGACCCGTACCTATTGGAACTTCGACGCGACATTATTTGTGGTATGGACTCGGGGTCAGAATTTGATGAAATGGTTGTGAATCGGACAGAGTTGCGACGAGACATCATAGACCTAGGAGGAGGAGCAGCATTCCCGTAGAAGTTGGTTTTCTGGATGGGCGGAAGATCGGATGTGGGGATCTGAATGGAGGAAATCCACGCAGCTCCTGCTCTCCGAAGCCGAAGCCTTTCTCTGAACGCCTTCCAGCTCTTCTTATCCTTATGCCCAAACAAGGAGCGGTGGGGATCTTCATCGCGGATGATATCGAGTAGGGTCTGCTTGTTCATGTGCGCCGCCGCGGTGGCTGGAGCGGAGGATCTCTTATTATTATTATTATTATTTCCCAACAAGGCATCAAGGGTCAAGCCGGCAAGGGATTCACGACCGCTATGATCAACTGCGGACATTTCATTTGTTTTTCACGGTAGAGTAGAATAGAAAGGAAGAATGGAGGGTTGGGAGGAAAATGAATGGAAGCATGAAGAATGGATGAGTGATTGAGGAGATCAGCGAGTCTCTAGGGAAAAAGAGATTGATTGGGAAGTGAATTGTGATTTGTGAGTGAACGACCTTAGTTGGCGGAAAAACATTTGTGTTACCGGCCAGTTTCGCCCATTTCCCATCTTTACCTCACCCTCAACTTTATGATAGCGATCCGCTTCAATTTATTTGTTTCAATTTCGGGTAATTAACTTCTTGGAAACCGATGGAGATCAATTCACCCTTTATAGAACACAGTTGGATTTTGATTCTTTTGTGTTTTTATTTGATGCAAACTCCAAAAATCCACACTGACCCTTTTAGTATTGTATTAAGTATATTATTATTGTATAGATGAAATTGAATTTGAGTATAATATGTCTCTTTATTATATAAAATTTTCAAAATTTGTCCCTTTACAATTTTTCATATTAAATCTGCCGCTTTACTACAATAAAGTTTTCAAATATAGCCCTCCATTAGAGTTTTCGTCTGAATTTTATTAATCACGATCAATTGTCACGGGTCCTTTTTGGTAAGTGACCGGACTCGACTCTTAAACACTATTTACTATATGCTTGAAGTTGTAAATCACTCTTATAGCAATAAATACATCGAGCCAAACAATATTTGACAGGGTCAAATGTGGCTGTTGTACTAATTGTAGCCCAACGGTGCTACATTTCCACGTGCCACCCCACTATTTTTTTAAAATTATATAAATTAATTATTAACCGGTAATATTTTCGACGGAATTAAGAGAAATGGAATTCGGATGGGCGGGAAGGACGAGATTTTTGTGTTAATTTATTTTGGACTCCTTTGTAAATATTTTTTTTTTTAGATTTAGGGGTCGTTTGGAGAACGGGATTTAGGGCGTGGATTCATTGAATCCGTTGATTTTGTAGAAAATTATGTTTTTTTGTTACCTTTTGTATTGTGGATTTTAGCTTTAGAGATTTCGAATCTCTAAAATCTATGGATATCAAATCTCTCATAATCAGAGAGATTCTATATGGATTCGTGAGATTTTTTTTCTCCTACCTTTTTTTCTTTCTTTTATTTATGTATCATATTAAATATATTTACTAAAAAAGTTTTTAATATTTCTCGAACTACTCTAAATTTTTTATTAAGGATAAACATGTTATTTAATATAAAAGATTTATTTTTATTTTCATTGAATGTTAACAATCACGGTTACCAAACAATAAACATTTTAAAATCTATTTTCAATAATCCAAAGAGTTAGAATTTTAGATTGTTGACAATCAATAAATTTAAACTCAAATTCTCCAAACGACCCCCTTTTATATACTATACTAGCGTGGGCCCCGACCATTTGACCGGAGGAAGGTGAGGTATGAAATTTGATAATGTAATGAAGTGTATAGCTTATTGTTGTATAGTTTTTTTTTTTTGGAAACACGTGATACAAACAGTGAATTTTAGTAGGAAAGAGACATGAATAATGCAACGAATCAAAAATCAGCCTTATGAACCAAAATCAAGTACTTGTTACCTTGTGAAACAATATTGTTTCTGGTAATATGATGAGGTAGAGTAAGTTTTATAGAAACTGAATTCGGCTTATCCCGCCGGTTTTCGGAAAATGAGCATCTCACAATCGTTGATAGTTTTTACTAAATTCATATTGTCATCATTGTGCTTTCTGGTTTTTTGCCAAGCCATGATGAAATCTAAAGAAATCAAGAATGAACAACACGATTTGGGATAGGAACCAACGTTCCTGTACCCCTAGAAAATAGTGGTAAACACGGACTCTCCTGCCAAACTGGTTTGGATTGAGATTTTTATCGGGTATCAGGGAACCATGTGATTATCAATTGATCAAAACGGGCCAAAACTTGAAATTCAGCCTGTTTGAGCGACCCATGCCAAACTCTAATTATTCTTTACTTTTAAACTTTCTATTTGAAAATAAAAAAAATAATGAAAGAAAAGAGATGACTGCAATTTGACATTTGCACATCACTATTCGAGAATAAAACTATAGAATTTCGAAAGGAAACTGAAAATATTTAGGATCGTTTTAATGTTAAAAATAACTTTCTGTTTAGTTTTTTTACTAACAAATACCAAACGATTCCCTATAATATACAATATAATTTAATCATTATGATATCAAATAATTACATAATATATATTTGAAATGATAAAAATTGGACTAATTGGGTTGGTCGAGGTTGAACTATTGAATAACTTTAAAATACATTATATTTTAGCCACTAAGATATAAAATAATAGCATAATATATATTATGCTAGAGAAAATAGCTTGTTTTAGAATGACAAACCCATGATGTTCATTTGTTTTACTTGATGGGCAAATCCTGTGTAGGTCAGGCCCATTCAACTCTTTTATTTTATGATTAGCGGTTAGCCCATTAGAATCCACGCATTAGTTTATTGTTAATTTTTTTTTCTTTTTAGCAATAAAAAAGAGTATTGTTTTTTGCCTTTTCATATATATTTTACCACCACGGAGAAATAATAGGATTTAAAGAAAAAAAATTGACACTCCTGACCCGTTTAAATCCACATGTGTACGGTAAGTTGACCCGTTCCACGGAGGAAAAAAAAATCCGCATGTGTGCGGTAAGTTTTCTCATTTGGCTTTTATTTATTGTGTAGATGTAGATGTAGATAGATGTGTAGATTTGGAGAGTAATTTTTTTGGGAAAATACTATTTTGAGAATACTTGGGCGGAGAGAAATGCCATAATAATATGCATACAGACTTTTTCTCATTCACATACTATTGGACGCATATTAAGTTCTAATAATGCACAAGACATATTTTATCTAGAGGTAGGTTCATATTGATAGAATCCAAAGTTCCAAGAACATAATATCAAATGAATAATTCTCATAGAATAAGTCAATTAATCTCAAATGAGTTGTCGCAAATGAATCTTCTAAATAAGAAGACGCTCATAGAAAATGCACCGTCTAAGAAAATAATATTAAATGAATTAAGTCTAGTTACAATTAATTATACGAAAATAATCTTTTCAAACATAATAATAATCCTACTCAGGGAAAAAATGTATCATTTTTTAGGACCGCGCGCATGTGGATTTGTCATCGCATCCTGCAAAGTGAATTAAGATAAGAATGATATTAGTTTTAAGACTTTTAATAGAAATGAAGAAATAAATAAATAAACAATCGAATTGAGTTCATACTTCTAACAAGTGTGTGGATGATATATTGATTATATCAGGCGTAGAATTCAAAGTTCTCTCCTCTTGAACTAATAATTGAATTTTGAAATCGATGTCTGATCGTCACCTAAATTGACCAATCATATGTTTCATTGGAATATAAAAAAGGTAAAGTAAAAGTTGGTTATCCTATCTTGCAGTTCAGTACTACTTCCAACTTGTTGAGAAGAACTAGCTTTCAGCTTCTTACCCTACATATACGAATATTAATAAAATTATTCATATAACAAAATAGTATAATAGTTTGTATATTATAGAAGCAAATAAAGAGGAGGGAAAAACAAGTGGTTTTGATTGAACTTTGTGACTTTTTCATCGCTCTAATGTACCTTTAGTTCTTCCTTTATGTCGTCCAATAATAGCTTGATGTGATATTCATGCAAGTTTTAAAAGTCCTAGAATCCCCAGGGTTGTATTTCACAAGCTCTTCTAATGCATAACTACTCACACCATACCATTTATGTTCGAACAAGAATAGTAAATACTTTGGGGGCTTTCATTCGATTAAACCAAACAAGGCAAGAAGAATAAAGTTGTTTAGGTGGTTTTCAAGTTCTATAGATGCATAAAAGTAAATATACATTATTGAACAAACAAACATACTCGAGTAGTATCATACATATCAATACTCATTCATACCATGCATCAATGACTCATCATTAGCATCACTCTATCCCTTCTACTAAGGCCATCCTACTCGAGCTTTTGCCACATGCAATAGGGACTTGATGAGCTAATGCGTGCTTTAATTTCATGCCATCACCTAAAATAGGTATGGTTGACAACATTCCCTGTCAACTAGGAAGATTGCTTCTATATGCTATACGATATACTCATTAAGAACCCCACAAAAAAGAGTAAATACATTAAAAAAAATGATCACCAAAACTGAGATAGGGGCTGGCTGGGAAGGAGACATGCGGATTCAGTTTGAATCCATGTTGTCAACACTTCCAAATACCTAGGATTGTCACCTGCTGCTCTCCTGCATCTCTCCCTCCACAAGTTACTGAGTAAACTAAACCAAATAAAATGACCAGCTACCACTTTTGGAGATGAACCGGGGTCGTTTGGAAGTTGCGATTGTTAAATAGATGTATTGTTGAGAATGCATGTATAATATTATACATGTATTGTCGAATTTGATGCATTGTAGAATACAATGTTTGGTATGTGTGATTGTGTATGTCGCATCAGCTAAAAGCTGAGACAAAACAATCTCAACTCAACAATCACAACTAAAAGTTGAGATATAACAATCACTCAAAATGAGTGATAGTTTCTGTCACATCACAGAAACAATCCATGTATTATTTCTGCTAAAAAAAAAAAACGATGCATTGTAAAGAATACATGCATAATGACAATCTCAACAAAACAATCGCAACTCCCAAACGACCCCTTAAAACCTCCAACTGCCCAGTCAATCTCATTCTACCACACAAAGCGTAGGTCTCATTGATACACTTTACTGAGCAACCTGCGAAATAACCCCCTCACAAAGTCACATTGAGAGAATAGATAGTCATAGGTTTCCACCTGATGAGTACAAAACACACACTGAACATGCCCAACATATCCCCAGTTAATCATTCGATCTCTAGTAGTCACTTTTCCTCTAAGGATCATCCAGACCAGGAACCGATTTCTTGGAACCCCAATTCCTTTTCAGACCAGAGAGAACCATCTAACCTGAGGCAGTTTGGGCCTTAACACCTCCCACACCTTTTTTACAGAGTATTTTCCCATCATATCGCCATCCCAAAAGATAGAGTCACCTGCAACAGTAAAGTGAGGGTGAGGTTGTACTTCGTCTCTCAGCTTTAATAAATTATGAACACGGGCTTGGCCTAGTGGTAATATCACTAGCATAGAACCTGGAGGTCTCAGGTTTGAAACCCTTAAGTAGTATCTTAATGACAACAAAATGAAATCTATATCACCCTTATATAAAAAAAATTCTCCAGTTCCAAGAGCCAGCCTTACCCGAAAACTGCCATAAAGAAGAGCCCTTGAGCTTATACGTGAGTAACCAGACAACCAAGTGGATCCAGGAGCCTTCAGAATTTCCTAAATATGTTTGGTGGAGCAAGCCTGGTTCCAAGAATAAAGGTCTCTAACCCCTACTCCTCCCTCAAACTTGGGATAAGCAAGATGAGGCCAAGCTACCCCTGCTTTAAGACGTGATCCAGAGCCAACTCCCCATATAAAATTACTACACAGCCGTTCCACTTCCTTGACACAACCTTTGGCAACAGAAAAACTGACATCCAAAATTGAGTGATACTAAACAACACAAACATAACCAACTCCATTTTCCCAACATAACTAAATGATTTAGCTTGCAAACTCAAAATTCTTGTTATTATTTTATCAATCAAAGGCCGACATGAAGCAACAGTAAGCTTGCCAGCAATCAATGGGACTCCAAGATAACGAACTGGTAATTTAACCACCTTATAACGAGACCAAGTATACATGTTCTCCTTTTGATACTGTGTGAGACCCCCACAATACAACTCGCACTTATAAGGATTAGAACTAAGTCCAGATAACTCCTTGAACCTGCTCAGAACCATCCGAATACCTCTCAACCCATGATTTGAACCATCCAAGAAGACTAATAAGTCATCCGCAAAAAGATCTTTCATATTTAAATACAACATTTAATGCCAACATTCAAACATCTATACTTGAATCCCACAAATAACATAAACATCTAAACATTCATACTTGTATCCAACAACATAACTTTCAAATTCAAGAAACAAATAAAAAAAATAAATTTGTTGTTAAACAAATTCTCCAAAACAACATCATTTTGTTTAGATATCGAATGTCGGTCATGCCAGTTATACCGAAGACGTCCAACCGGTTTTGTAACCGATATCAGTTGAACCTAGTTGTAGCGGTCGCCATGCCATCAGTCCGACAACCATGTATATGACATTTAATGGTTGAATTTCATAGTTGACCGCCACCTAGAACGAACTTAACACAATTAAACCGCCAATAACCAACGATAAAATAATATTTAAAATTCAGTGATTTATAAGGTGGATTTTTTTTTTTTCGTGACAAGGATAAATCGAAATTCACCATGGTAAGAAAATGAAAATAAAAATCATGTTATGGACCGGAGGTGATCGGGTTCGGATATAAGGCCCTTTCCGTTGGTTCGTCGTAATCTTTCTTCGTGGTTGGACCCAAAGCCAAGCCCACACCCACGTAGCACTCACTCTCGCTCTGGTCCGTCTCGCTCACATTCGCATAGTAGCCCCCTCTCCTTTCGAAAATCAAACCTTAGAGAGAGAAAGTTTGAGTGAAGGCAAACAAAGAAGGAAAAAAAAAAAAAAAAAACAACAACACACACCCTGCGAACACAAACGAAAAAGGAAGGGGGAAACTCTGAGCGAGGAACAAATTTTTTTTTTCTTCCTAAAACCACTTTTCAGAATTCAGAGGGGGCCAAATATCACGAGAGATTGCAATAGCGAGCTTTCCATGGCTGACATTGGCGCCAACTCCCTTCTCTTTTAGGTCAATTTTAATTGATTGTGTGTGTGCGGGAACAAAGGCGGGGGAGGGAACGAAACGAAGGAGGGGGGGAAAAAAAAACCCTAGGTGAGAGAAACAAGTGTCAAAGCACGAGCGGGGGGGAACGACGAGGTTTCGAATTTGCCCCACTGGCGTTCTCTAAGCTTCTTCGAAGCTTTCGCAATTCAGGTGAATTCCTTGCTCCTTACGTGTTGCTCTGCAAACCCTAGAATCCTGGCGCCGTGCTGAATTCGTGGCAATTCTCCGTGATTTCGCGAAATTAGGGTTTGTTGTGTCTGGGGCAAGCCACGCCAATGCATTTCAGTTTTGCTGGTGTTGTGCATTTTGTTTGAGTGCTCCAGGAATACCCCCCTCTCCTCTCTGCAACTGCTGCCCTGTTGCTTTTTTGTTCTATGGAGTTTCAATTGCAATAACTAAGCTTTGCTCGTGCCTGTCATTCCTGAGCTACTTCAGTTCATGACTTATTGGGAGAATTTTTTGGTGTCTTCTGCTCATTCAGTACCCACTCATGACAGCATGCTCATTTACTCTGTCTTCCTGGGTTGCAGGACAGTTGGTTAGCTGCTTGCTCCTAGGACACGTTTAATGTTTTTATCGAATTTTTCTATTGGTAATGGATATCATTTGGTGCCTCTGTAATAAAGGGTATGAAGAGGTTCATTTTGCTGTTCTAGGAAAAATGGGTGCACTGTAGATTGTTTTGGTGTTGGCTGAGGTATTATGGAGGGAACAATGTAGGAGCTTATGGTTAAACTTTAGTTGATTTTAAATTTCCCCCCCTTCATAATAGTATAAACCTAGATGCTGTTGACTTTGCCAATTTTGATGCTCGCATGCGGAACATAATATTGCTAGCTCTTTGTTGTTTCAAGTTCGATGCCATATGGCACATGCTGTATGAGATTTTGCGGATGATTCATAACCTCGATGATTCTCGGGCATGCATAACATGTTCTTTCTCAGTCAGTTTGGGCGAGGTGCAAGCATTTGCTAATGTGTCTGCCCAAGACACTATTACAGAGACTCCAAATGGCTGTATTATTCCTCAAAGAGAATGCTTGCGAAATGCTTTCATTTTCAATAGTGAAGTAATTTTTTTTTTTTTGGAATTTAGCTGCAGATAGTTGAGCTTTTGGTGCTTCTTTTGTAACAAATCTGTAGTGAGCTAGATCATTTTCCTTGACTTGCATTTACGTTTATCAGCGTCCATATTGGTCGATCATGCCCATACAATACGATGATGCTTGACTAGATTGCCATTTTACTCCATTTCTACTGGAAGATGGATAGGTGCAGCTGGTACACAGTGATTGGTGTTCATCTTTTATTTGTGGCATTTATCTGTAATAGACATGCACATGCATCTTGAATCAAGTTAAAGTGAAACTATATCTGCTTTATCATGCTGCTCAGATTGTTTGAACCTGAAATGAATTCCAGAGGACCCTATATAAATTTCCGAACGAGTCCTGATCCTATGTAGTTGTAAGCTTTATAGACTGGAAAAATGCACTCGCGTATCCCCGTGTCTATTTTTACCAGTTCTAATTGTTTGACTTCTTTGTTGTTGAATTTGATAGTTATCTGAAGCAATGATAGAAGAACCCTGCTAGCCCGTGAGTTAGTAATGCATGGATGTGACTCGCGGTCTGATTTCCTAGTAAATGCTGAGGTTGATTCCATGGGAGGGGTTGTTGACGGCGGAGTTGGTATTGGCATCAAAACCTCTCCACGCAGAGCAGCGATTGAAAAGGCTCAGGCAGAGCTTAGGTAATCCTTTCATCCTGTAGTTTATTTACCACTAAAATCATCGATTTTTAGTGTTATTGAGTAGTAACCATCATTTGGTGATTAACAGACAGGAGTATGATGTTCGCGAGGAAAGGAGAAGGGAGCTTGAATTTCTTGAGAAAGTATGGAGAGTCTAATCTGTTTCACTGTTTCCAACCTTTGTCTGTTTCCTGTGAATGCTCTAAATTGTTCTCTTCCATAGGGTGGCAATCCTTTGGACTTCAAATTTGGCAATGCTACGTCATTTAGTGTCCAATCCACATCATTCACTGATCATCAGGCAGAACATGTTGTGACTAGGTATACATACCACTATGATGTTGTGGCAGATTTCTTCGGTTTTGTGGCTGTACATCTAATAAGGTGGCTGATTTAGTTATCATTTTTCTTCTTTTTCACATGGTAACTATAGCAAAGCTAAAGGTAGCTTCGCTTTGACTGCATCACCCCATGGGGATTCTGTTGAAAGTAGCGGTCGACCTGGGCCTACGGCAGTTTGCGAACCTAACAGTGCTGATAATTTTGATGGTCAAAATGATTTACTTGGAGGTGAACGAAACCGTAGGCATCTCAGCAGAAGGAATAGTGTTGCCCCGTCTCAGCAGTCATCTCAAATGGAAGGAGCTCAGAATGCAAAGGAGTCTGAAGATTCTGCTATAGTTCGTCCATATGCTAGAAGGAATAGGTCTAGGCCAAATCGAGATGGTGGTAGATCAAGTTCTGGTGATGTGGTTCAGAGTTCTGGTGTCCATGGATCTTCCTTTCCCAGGGGATCTAGGAATCTTAAGTTCATATCTGAGTCAAACAATCAGAAAGACAATACAGTCCCATCTGATTGTAAACCCAAACCTACAACTTCAAATGGGGAAATGATCCCTCAAATGGCAGAAGTGCTGGCTCTGCAGGCAACTGATGCACCTAAAAGCAGTCCGGTGGATAAATTGGATGCAAGAGAGTCTAATATCATGAAAGATAAGGAAAAAGATCAACCTGTTGGAGGTGATACTCAGAAACAACCAACTGATGATACTATCAGGATACGTGATGAAAATGTAGGAAATGAACAAGTGGTTTCAGTTGGTCTCGAGTCTTCACCTCGTGTAGTTGTTGATAGATCAGAGGTTGAAGCTGGTTCTACTCTTTTGAATGACTTCAGTGCCCAGAAGGAAAATGACAATGTTAGGCAATATGATGTTGCCACTAAAGTGATCAAGGGATTAGATTCAGATTCCTCTTGCACCCCAAGTAGCCTTAGCGTAGATGTAAATAAAGGAAGCAGTTTGTGTATTAACCGTAGGGAGGAGGACTCTAACAAAGTTATTTTGAAACAAGCAGCAGAAATTGAAGGAACACAGAACTCAGCTGCCGCTGAAACTGGGAAAGAAAGGGATGTTAGTGTTGCTATAGAGAATTATGCTTCTGGTGATGCTGGCATCAACTCTACGTCTGAAAATGCTTCTGCTAATGGTGTGGCAGCAAAAATAGAAGATACAGAAAAGTCTACTGGTCCTCAGAGTGAGGCTAAGTGCACCCCAAGTCTTGAAGAAACACATCAAAATGAGATAGCTGCACCTGTGAGCATTGAAAATGCTGTTACATCATTGGATAATGAGTTGATCCCCGGCAGGGTAAATGCTAGCCATTGTGCAATGGAGAACCCTTCAGATCTCTCCTTGCAGCAGGAGCAACTGAAATCTCAGTTGCCGGAAAATAGTTCTGCCGCTGCTGCTGAACCTCATTCTTGTTCTGACATCAAGATAGACAGGGCCCGTGAAGATTCTATTTTGGAAGAGGCGCGGAGTATAGAGGTTTGTTCCTTAACTCTATCTTTATCTAACTTGGTGAGGGAATCAATTTCCATTTTCTCATCAAAATTTTCCTGATCTTACACCAAACCGTTACAGGCTAAGAGAAAGAGGATTGCCGAGTTATCTCTTGGAGTAGCACAGGTGGAGTCTCGGAAAAAGTCTCACTGGGATTTTGTCCTTGAAGAAATGAGATGGTTGGCTAATGATTTTGCACAGGTCTGGCTTTGTAATGCCATATGTGGAAGTTTCATTTCTGCTTTCTTTTACTTGGTAGATGCATTGCTAATACAAGTTGCGCTAGATAGCACTTGTTAATATGTTGGCGTGGAAGTTCCAGTTGATAATAATGTTGAATGAGATATAATTGCTTATGGTTCCATAAAATCTCCGTTTGCAGGAGCGTCTTTGGAAGATGACTGCTGCTGCACAAATATGCCGGCGTGTAGCACTTACTTCTCGGTTGAGAGTGGAGGAACAAAATCAGTGTTTGAAGCTGAAAAAAGTCTCCTACATCCTGGCCAAAGCTGTGACGCAGTTCTGGCAGTCGGCGGAACTGCTTCTGTGTTCTGATAAAAGTCATGGTCCAACTACAGATATTGACGAGAACAAACCTGCTGCTGGGAAGGTGATCTTTTCTCTCTTCGGAAGTATGGTGATTGTTTTGAAAATTGATATCTTTCCTTAAAACCAATTTATTACTGGGAGATTATATTAGGATCTACAGAAATTATTTGTAACTGATTCTCATTCAGTGTGTTTTGAGTTTTAGATTTACTTCACCTTTTATCTAAAAAATTTGGTGTGGTAATTCATTCATATACGTAGTGGGTGCTGCTAACTGGAAGAGTTTGCTTGACGTTAGCAAAGAGAATAACACGAGTCATTGTCGCTTTGTCAATCAACAGGATGCATGCAAAGATTTTGAGCAACAAAGTCCCAGAAAGAATGATGTTAAGGGATATGCTGTTAGATTTTTGAAATTTAACAGCTCTCCAGTTCCTGCAATTCAAGCAGAACAGCCTGCAACTCCGGATCTTGTAAGCGATGCTGGAGTTATGGAAGTTTCGTGGGATGATCACTTGACTGAAGTATGGTTTGTCAATATTTTTTCCATAGTGGTTTTATTTATTTAGTTATGACTTATGACTTGTCATACCATCTCTATATTTTATGCATTTATGTTAGTAAGTTCTTGCCTCAGAATGATAAGCTTCTTTAAAGTCCATTATCTTATATTTTACCCTGAATGGAAGATGCTTACGCCTGTTTATCTTGCATAATTTGTTCTTTTTCAGGAGAGCTTGTTCTACGCCGTCCCTTCTGGTGCAATGGACTCCTACAGAAGCTCAATTGAATCACACTTAGTTCAGTTTGAGGTAAGCTTACATGTCATTGATGTGCTTTTGCACATTGTTGGCGTTACTACACCATATTTATCCAGAAGACATCACTTTCAAAACCAAATGATTATGATGGAAGGATTGTGTCTTAGTGTTTTTGTAGTTGCTTTAGCTGTTACAGTGAATTTATTATCTTTTTTAAAAAATGGTGTAATTGGAGCCAACTTAGTCCTTTCGACATAGCTTGTGTCATTAAATTATGGGCACTTCATTTTCGGTCACTTAATGTTAGTTTCCACTTCAGAAAACAGGCAGCAGCATGCAAGAGGAAGGTGATACATCCATGGTTGATGCTGGTGCAGGTAATCTGATAATGTTTCAAATGTGGCTGTATTTCCTTTCTACTAGTTATGGTAAATATAATAAACTTTTATTGGCATTTTATGTTAAACCCAGACTTTGGTTATCCTGAGAATGGATATGATGAGGATGAAGGCGAAACTAGTACATATTATTTGCATGGAGCATTTGAAAGTAGCAGGCCAAGAAAACATGATCAAAAGAAAAGGAAACACTCTCTGAAGTCATTCCCAGCAAGATCTTATGAAGTGGGAACTGATGTGCCATATGGAACTGTGGGTTCTCAAAATACATTGATGGGGAAACGGCCTGCTAGTAACCTTGGCCCAATTCCACCTAAGCGTATGCGCACTGCTTCTCGGCAGAGGGTTATTAGTCCTTTTAGCACTGGTGTTCCTGCAGGTCCATCTGCTCCGGCAAAGACAGATGCTTCAAGCGGAGATACAAGTTCTTTTCAGGATGATCAAAGCACCTTGCATGGTGGTTCACAAATCCAAAAAGGCATGGAGGTTGATTCTGTTGGCGAATTTGAGAAACATCTCTCTTATGATTGCTCAGATATTATGACTAAGCCAAAGAAGAAGAAGAAGGCTAGGCATCTGGTATGCACATATATCCATGCTTTAGTAGTCCGTTGTTACAAGTATAATGTAGTCTATCATGTAACTCCTTGTTTGCTTCTTATTAATTCGTTCCTTATCGAATGCAGGGTTCTGCTTATGAGCAGAGTTGGCAACACGATTCAACCACTCTTGTTGAACAGGTCATCCGAGCTTGTTTACTTCAGTTGCATTTCTGAGTGAATATAGTGATCCTATGTGTTTTGTCTATGAACTATGATATAGCACAATTTTTAACTAGTGTATTCCAGTCCTTACAGAAATGAATACTTTCATTATATAAAAGTATGGCTTGGGGAAAATTTTCAAAATTTGTTGGCTCTGGTGGAAACCTCCCACCAAATAGGTCTTCTTTCAGTTTTATGTAGCTAATGAATATTTGTACAATTTTCAATATTGGAACCAGATAATCAGGTCTGAACAATTTTCTAATAGCTGAAAAGCATGATACAACTAAAGCTCAATTGAGTATCTTTTATTCAAGAATAGGATTTGCTGGAGTGATTTGTTTGGTGGAGAAGTAAGACTTAGACAAAAGTGCTTCTAAGTAGGAATATTTCTGGAGGCCGGTTGCAACCTTTACAGTTTTAGCTGGCTTCTTAGAAGTCTTGATTGATGGTTCTGCATAAGGGCAGGCATGTATGCTGTTGATTACAATTTTTACTTCAGTTGCATTTCTGAGGGACTTGCTTCTGTGTTTTGTCAAAATTTTGGTGGTGTGGCTGTGGGATTAGGTAATTGGACTTGTAAAAGCTTAAAGCTGAGCTGGAGGTCACAAGGATTCCTTTTAGGCATCTTCTGTGCTTCTGGTTGAAGTACTAACAATCCTAGAAAGAATTACGACTACTTTAGGTTTTGTGTAGCGTTCTTTGGTGAAAATGGTTGCTTAAGTGGCCCTTGATATTAGTATGATTTCTTATCTGATGTTTCTTTTCTACTTGTAGAGAGAGCACCAGAAAAGGCGACTGGAGAATCATCATTTTGATTCTAACGGAAATAGTGGTAAGACCACTTTTCATCATGTGTTGACTTGACTGGGTTCTTAATGTTGGCATGCATGGTGCTTAAAGTTTTCTGCTTCTTACCTTTTAAGGTTTATATGGGCAACACACTTGGAAAAAGCCAAAGATGCTGAAGCAATCGCTAGATGCCTTTGACAATGTAGCTCCATCCACTGGGTCGATTCCTTCCCCAGCAGCATCCCAGATGAGTAATATGCCCAACACAAATAGGTTTATGAGACTGATCAATGGCAGGGACAGGGGAAGGAAACCCAAGTCACTTAAGGTATGGGTTGATGATTAGTGTTCGTCTATAACTTGTCAGTTTGTCTCCTGGACATTTAACCTTTTAGATGATTTAAACAAATGCTCTTCTCAACAGGTTTCTGCTGGCCAACCTGGTTCTGGAAGTCCGTGGTCCCTCTTTGAGGATCAGGTATCTTGCAGCCTCCTTGATCTTGCTCTTTGTGGTTTTTGGTACTGAGTAGGTTTCTTAAATTGGCAATATATGCTGATTTCTGTATCCCAGGCACTTGTAGTCCTTGTGCATGATATGGGTCCTAATTGGGAGTTTGTAAGCGATGCTATCAATAGCACTCTTCATTTTAAGGTGAGTATTCATATCGGTTATCCTAGAATTTGGTTCATTGTACTGCTAGATGTGTCTCATGTTGTTCCTGCTACCGAGCTGCATTTGTTTATACACGTTATTGAAGCAATTTATTTAATGTTACTTGAATTTTCATTTGAATCTTGGCGATCCTGTCAGTGCATATTTCGTGCACCGAAAGAATGCAAGGAGCGGCATAAAGTTTTGATGGACAAGGGTGCTGGAGATGGCGCTGATAGTGCTGAAGATTCAGGGACTTCACAATCATATCCGTCGACATTGCCTGGCATTCCAAAGGCACGGTCACTAACCTTCCAAATGATTTGCTGGGAATCAGGGAGATAGGATGTTGCAGTGCTCCATAGTGGCTTATGTCTATTTTAAATGGAACTAATTTTCCATGGTGTTAATGCTTCAGGGTAGCGCTCGACAGTTGTTTCAACGGTTGCAGGGACCGATGGAAGAGGATACTCTTAAGTCCCATTTTGAAAAGATTATTATTATCGGCAAGAAGCTGCATTATAGGAGTCAGGTTTGTTCATGCAGTGTACACTTGTATTGGTAGTATTAACATTCTTAAGGGCTATACTAGTAAGTATTTTTTTGTCAACCTGATTAGCAATTCAAGGCTCTTTCTACTGTTTCAGACAATGCTAGATGATTCCGGTCACTCTGTCTTAAGATGATCCTACTGTTTCAGACTGTTGCTTGAAGTTTGACACTTCAGCAACTGAAGTGAAATAATGACCATGGTGTCGAGATTATGCCTTTTTTTATAGCAGCTTAAATAAAACGTGACATGTATCACGTAAAAAATGAAATCTAGGACTGTATATAACTTTCTAAATAATTTGTTTACTGCTTGTCTATCTCAAAATCTTGGCTAACTTGCTTTAAATGATTTTTGCCGTCTGTTGTGTAGAATGATACCCAAGATCCTAAGCAAATACCAGTTCACAATTCTCATGTGATTGCTCTTTCCCAAGTCTGCCCAAATAACCTAAATGGAAGCATCCTAACGTAAGTTTGACATGCAAATTTATCTCACCTTGCTATATTTGCTTATCATGGCCTGCTCTTCAGTTTATCCTGTCTGCATTACTCACCTTTGGAAAAGCCGTTCTGAAATTTTGTTCTCTCGATGAAGGCCTATTGAGCTTTGTGATATGAATCCTTCAAGTCCAGACATCCTTGGGTATCAAGGGTCTCATGCTGGTGTTTTGCCAATGCCAAGTCAAGGTGTTGTAGGATCAACGCTTCCTGCTTCTGGTGTTAATCCTAGTGTGCAAGGGTCCTCGGGCATTGCTCTAAGTAATAGTACATCATCACCATCTCCATCTGGATCGCTCCCTGCTTCTGCTAGGTAGTCTAAGTTTCATCGGGAGTTCTCATAATGGAGTTGCAAGATATAAGACTGTAAGTTGCTTTTTTCCCCGACATTTGACTTTCGGATTTTCATGTACTAGGGATGGCAGATTCAGTGGTCCAAGAACGTCTTTACATGCTCACGAGCACCCGAGAATGCAACACTATAACCAAATGTTGTCAGGAAGAAACGTGCAGCAGTCTAATCTGTCTGTTTCGGGCCCTCGACCTGGCGGAAATGGTATGGGTATGATGCCTGGATTGAATAGAAACATGCCATTGTCGAGGCCTGGTTTTCAGGGAAGCCCTTCACCGGTATCAAATTCTAGTAATATGCTTTCCTCTAGTGCGGGTGGGATTCCAGGTGGAGTAAATATGCACTCTGGAACCGGGTCAGGCCAAGCAAACTCATTGACGAGACCACGCGAGCAATTGCATTTGATGCGGGTAAATGCTTTCATTGAGCATAAATACTATATTAAGCAGCAATATTTTGACGTCTTTGCTGTTACTAAGCCTGCTATGTTAGACTATAAGGTTTGTTTAGTTGCACCAGCACTAGGGATGTCTTTAGTTTACTTTTGCCTAGCCTGTTAAAGACCCAGGGCATCAAAGACAAATGATGGTAACAGAGATGCAGGGCAAACATGGAAGCAGCCAAGGAATTCATCCTGCTTTTAGTGGGTTGAGTTCTTCTGCTTTTGCTAATCAGACAACCTCTCCCCTGTGCAGACATATTCTTCAGGCCATCCTCAGCCACAGCACCAAATGTCTCCTCAACAGTCTCATGTGCTAGGAAATCCTCGTCTTCCAGGGCCAAACCATGCAACGCCTTCACCTCAGCAAGCATATGCAATCCGTGTTGCTAAAGAAAGGCAGATGCAGCAGCGATTTCTTCAACAACAGCAGCAGCAGCCGTTTACTGCATCTGGCACCCTCATGCCACATGTCCAACCTCAACAGCTTCCCATGTCACTGCCAATGCAAAACACTCCCCAGATTCCGCCGCAAACATCAGCGCAGCAAGTTCCATTGACGCAGTCATCCCCGATGTCAGTGCAGCAGCAGAAAGTCAACCTAACCACCCATCATGGGGTGAACAGAAACCCGCAGGTTGTTACTAGTAATCAGACAGGTAAGCAACGGCAGCGGCAGCAGCAGCAACAATTCCAACAACCTGGCCGTGGTCATCCCCAGCAGCGACCACATCAGCAGTCCCAATCCTCACAACAGAAGCATGTAAAAGGCGTAGGTAGAGGGAACATGATTGTCCATCAGAACCTCCCTGCTGATCATTCTCAGATGAATGGCGTTTCCATGGCCACGGGAAACAAAGGGGCAGAGAAAGGTGATCAAATTATGCAGCATTTGATGCAAAGTGGTCAAGGTTTGTATTCTGGTTCTGGATTAGCACCACCACAACCATCGTCGAAGGCACAATCATCATCTAAGGCAGGAGTGTCACCTCAATCCTTGAACCATCTACAGCCTCAGCAAAAGCAATTTCCTGGCTCATTACAGCACTCGTCAAAACAGCTACATCAGATGCCCCCTTCTCATTCTGATAGCAGCTGTCAAGGACAGGTTCCGTCAGCTGGTCATGCGCAAACAGGCTCTCACCAAGCTGCTACATCACCTGTGAGCAGTTTAAACCAGCAGCAACACCAAAAGCAGCAGGTTAATCAATCTCAATCGACAGTTCAGAGGATGCTTCAACAGAATCGTCAGAAGAATTCAGGTTCACCAACCAAGTCACTAACCGATAAGCACGATCAACCGTTACCGAACACTGTTCCACAGATGGGTATGAGCGCGACCCCGTCCATGCCTGTGGTCAGTAATGATTCTGCTAATGTTGTTTTGGTTGGTACTTCTGGTGTTCCAGCACCATGGAAGGTGTCTGAACCTGCTTCCCAAGTGGGTTCTATAGGGAGCCCGCCTCTTCAAAAAATAGCTGCTAGCGAGCCAGTGGCCTCTGCCAGCCAAGGTTTAGGACGGCAGGTGTCTGGAGGTTTGTCCCAACAGGGGCAAGATCCTGCGGCTAAGTGGCAGCAGCAACCACAACCACAATTCCAACAGTCAACAGCACCACCTACTCCATCTCAACAGATACTGCAGCCACAGGAGCAACCACTAGCGCAGCAAGAACAACATTCACCGCAGTTACAGCAGCCACCCGCGCAACAACAATCTGAGCATCAGTCACATCTTCAGACGGCGCAAGGCGGTTTGTATAGTAGGCCGACCAATGCTAAGCTGGAATGAAAGGTCTTGTTGGAAGTAAGTAGTTCCAGTAGCCGGTGGCACTGCTGGGGTTTGCATGCCCTTAGAGCAGCATTGTACAGGTACATTCCCTCATACAGTAAGTATATTCACTGTGTTATTGTTCCTCGGAATGACTTGATTATATTGGTTCCTAAAAGGCGGGAAAAGTAACCGTCGCTTACATGGCATTGATACAGATAAAGCTGGTACCTGGAAGGGCATTGCAAAGCAGGGGAAACGATTTTTGTTCACCTTGACGTTGTTCGCTCATTGCAGGGCCATTTTTATTGTGTCTTTTTTGACATTTTCCCCAAAAAGTGTGGGGGGAATTCCATGTAAATTACCACTGGGGGGGCTAGAGAAATGAGGGGAAGAAGAAGATGGAGGCAAATATAGAGAGGTATGTGTACAGTGTCTTGGTCTCTCCATTCCTTTTCTCTTGTATCTCTCCCCCTGCCTTTTTTGGCTGGTTTCTCTGCTTTGTCCTGAATGCGCAGAGGGGGGCAGGCTGCCTTTTTTTTTGTTTTGTTAACCTTACGTTAATTAGTGGACTTTCTTCCAGGTAGGTTAGTAGTAGCCATCATGTATTATTACTAATGATTCAAACAGTTGAGAATTAAGTTGGTAGTGATCAATTCTCAATGGGCAGAGAAAAAGAAGAGCCTTTGGTAAGAAAGAAGATGAGCTTTGTGGATAAAGGAGGATCTGTTAAATGTTTGTTTGTACAACAGAAACCAAGCCATCCATGATAGCAGGCCTATGGGTCTTTCTAACAGGAAAACCATTATGTTATGCTTCTAATTATGGGAGTTCAGTAATCAGTTAGTATTGACCTGTCATTCAGTAAACCCATTAATTATGGTTAAGTTGTGCAAACTATATATGAATTTCGGCATCGTTCGATAGATTTAGGTAGGGTGTGTCAACTGCTTTGGTTGAATCTGGAATGTTTTTGTCCATTGTTTTCAGGTGTTTTAGCTATGTATAAAAATGTGGACCTGCTTGTAAAAGTTTAGAAGTCTAGTTATTAGGTTGTGAGGCAAAAACATGAAAAGTTGGCTATATTTTCTCATATACCAGCTCATTTGGATTTGGATTTGATATCAACCCAATGAGTTTTTTTCTTTTACATAAACTTGTATTCATATCATTAATCGAGTTTGTTGATATGTCGTCCAGTTAATCTGACCAACTAGATAGATTGACGGACGATCAAGCCAGATCGTCATTTTGTTCCACTTTGTGTGTGCACGAGCCTTGTGTCTTACATGCACTCTCTTTCATAGCCTTGGTCAGGCCTCCTCCCGAGTTGATTGTCGAAGCCCAAACCATCCTCTTCAAAACTTTAGCCTCCATTGCCAACTCCATATCCTTGTCCAGTCTCCCAACGTCCGTTAAGGCAATGTCGGTCGGCCTTCGATATCGTAGGTGGGGGGTACACTGCCTCTGAAGCTCCCCCCAAGCGTTTCCAGTGGCCAAAAGAGCCTGAATAACCCCCGCTAGACGTTGCCCACCGGTTTGTGTTCAACTGGTTTTCCCTTCGGTTCGAATCGATCCAACTAGGGTTGGATAAGTTCGGTTCGAATCGAAACGGTCTGACCAATTTCGACTCGTCTGCTTTGGTTCGCCCCCTCTCCACCTAGACCCAGCCGGTTGGGGTGGAAATCTTGGCCTAGTGGCCCACTTCTTGGGTCGTATATGGCCCATTCCTTGCTCTGGTTGGCCAGGCTCAACTCCTCTATGCTCTTGGCCTAGTTGGCCCGCGTCTCATTCGGCCCACCCCACGACAGACCAAGTCTTCCCTAGCAGCTTCTGGGCCAGGGGCCCAAAGGTCAATTTCATGCTCACCGAGTCGTAGCCGGACATCTTGGCCTTCCCGCGCATTGTTGCAATCTCCTGAGCCGTCGCTGTATGCAACAGGGCAAGAGCAGAATTGGGTTGGACAAACCCTAGCCCGCACGCACCATCCCTCTCGAGGGACAGGATCCGTTGCAGCTACTGCCGACATTTGGAGCACAAATTTCCCTTATTGGACGATTTGGACTCGGTACTAAGAGTTCGTACTCGAGCACGTTTTGTCTTTATGACACAATTAAGCGGTTTGTGTTTTATGACTAAACCAATCAATAAATCAAATGTCCATCAACATTGCGAGACATTTGGAGCACAAATCCCCTTTTTTTTTTACGATTTAGACTCGGTACTAAGTGTTCGTACTCGTGCACGTTTGGTCATTATGACACAATTCAGCGGTTTATGTGTTTCTATGATTAAACCAATCAATGAATCACATGTCCATCAACATTGCGAGACATTTGGATCACAAATCTCCCTTATTGTACGATTTGGACTTGGTAACAAAAGAGTTAGTACTCGCGCACGTTCGGTCATTATGCACAATTAAGCGGTTTATTTGTTTATATGTAGACCTGACAAATTACAACCCGACCCGTTGATCCGACCTGAACCCGCCCAAAAAGTAGAAATTTTTATTACACGAAATCCAAATTACCCGAACCCGATAACACTTGATTTTTTGGTCAGGTTGGGTGGGTTAGCGGGTCAACCCGTTAGACCCGTTGCATTTTATATATCACTCCCAAAATGATAAAACCACTCATAAATTGGTGAGATTGTTGAAAAAAATTCACAAAGATTTGAATGACATGTGTTTCTTGTAGTAGCATCACTCTTGTGATTGTTTTATGATGATTTCCGCAATTTGCATTTCATTTCATAAGCATGGAAGGATTTAAGAATATGTTAATTGACATGTGTTAGGTAAACTATTGTCATGCATATGTAAAACTTTATGTTCTTTAAGAAAATATGAAGCATGTTTGATAGTGTTTCCGAGAGCGCTCATAACCTGAAATGACCTGTAAGTCGACCCTCTAAAATAAGGGGGATTTGTGCTCCAAATGTCTCGTATTGTTGATGGACATGTGATCATTGATTGGTTTAGTCATATAAACACATAAACCGCTTAATTGTGTCATAATGACCAAACATGCACGAGTATGAACTCTTAGTACCGAGTCCAATCGTACAATAAGGGGAATTTGTGCTACAAATGTCTTGTAATGTACATGGACATGCGATTGATTGGTTTAGTAAGATAAACACATAAACCGCTTAATCGCGTCATAATTACCAAACATGACGAGTACAAACTCTTAGTACCAAGTCCAAATTGTACAGTAAGGGGATTTGTGCTCCTAATATCTCGTAATAATAGTGGAAGGATATGCGCAGTACAAAGTTCATGAGGCAAAACGCCTTTAGTTTCATCTTATTAACTAGACTCGTCCGAATTAAATAGCGTTATATCTTTAAAATTTGATAATCCATCCAAGAACTCCCTAATTCATATCTTTTTTATGCAGCGAACTACTTACTTTGTTGGTGAGCCATAGTAGTGCGGTATTTTGAGAATTTTTTTTATATCAGGTATTTTGAGATGTCTTCCTAGTTTTCTTCACCCTTCGTGTATTGTTTAGGTTGGCTTTGTTACAGGGCAAATCGATCTTCTTGTCTGGCCGGTAGCGACTAGATTAGGGATGAAACTTTTGTCCATATGCATGAGTATTTTACTATCCAATCAACCGGGTTTTGTATGCGATCCAAATAGATGGTAAATGGGTAGAGTTCAACCGGGTTTTATATGCGATCCAAATAGATGGTAAATGGGTAGAGTTTGATAGGTTTGTAGTTTGTACTCATAAGTCATTCCTATTTGTTTGGATTGGTGGATTTTTAATGGGTTAATACTTTCGTATGGCCTGAACTTTGACCAAAATAAACATCCTGGCCAATCTTTTCGATCTATAACATCCTGGCCCGAACTATACACCAAAATAAACAATTTGGCCAGATCCGACTTTTGACCGTTAACTTGGACGGTCAAACGCGTTGACCGTTAGTCAACGCGCCATGTCACTGCCAAGTCAGCATAAAATATTTAAAATAATTCACAATTTCCACACATTCCCTAATTTTAAACTGTTATAAATTAAAAAAATCATCTAATACCTTAGTTAAACCAAAAATAAAAAACAAGAAAAATTAAATATTTATCAAATCTTCTAATTTGGCAGTGACGTGGCGCGTTGACCGTTAGTCAACGCGTTTGACCGTCCAAGTTAACGGTCAAGCATCGGGTTTGGCCAAATTGTTTATTTTGGTGTATAGTTCGGGACAGGATGTTATAGATCGAAAAAATTGGCCAGGATGTTTATTTTGATCAAAGTTCAGGCCATACGAAAATATTAACCCATTTTTAATCCATGAATTTGGTTTATACTTTATACCCATACCCATTTTCAAATTGCAGTTTGCTACCTAAACTTAAGAGGTCTTTATATTTAATATCTAAAATTATTTTTTTTAGATACCTAAACTTCTTAAGTTTTACAAATAGATCTCACTTTTGTACATGAATCCATGAAGGGAATGTCCGATGAAGTACCAAGGATTTGATTTAGCTTTCGTATATTAACGATGTCTTCTGTTGAAAACACAAGACAAATGAAGAGAATATCAATCACTATTTGGAGTTACCTAGTAAGATTGTGCAAATCGAAAGTACAATCCTTAGTTGCAAGGAAGAACCACTGTAATTAGCTAGCGCTCAGAAGAAGCAGCTGCTGCTGCTGCTGCAATCAAGTCAAGAATCTTCCTCTGAGAAGCTAACATCATCTCTACCCTTTTCCTTTCCATCTCCATTCTCCATCTTTCTGTTTCCTTGAACATCTCCATCTTCTTCCTCTCCACCCCTTTCATCTTCTCAATGAACGTCTTTATCTCATCCACCAACCCAAACCCCTTTTCATTCCCTTCTTCTTCCTCCCCTCTCTTCCTCTTTGCTCCCATCGTAGCTGCCGCGTCTTGAAGAAACCCTAAATTGCTGCTCCCTGGAAACCTGTTCACAATGCTAGGCTTCCGTATTATGTGATTTATGCTGCGGGACCTGTTGTAGTAGGCTTCATAATCTTCTCCTTCTCCTTCCTCATCTTGGCCGCCGTAGTAGTCGCCGCCGCTCCCATATCCTCCGGTGGCTGCAGCGGCGGACAGTCCGTCGTGATCCCGGCGGGCAACCTGAGACAGAGGGCGAGCAGAAATGGGGGCGGGAGGGCCACCACGCTCCATGGAATCCATGAGAGTGAAATAGGGCCAATTGGAACCCAGGGCGGCGGAGGAAGCGGTGTGGAGCTCGACCCGGTACCTGCTCCGGAGCTTCTCCATCTTGTGGCGGCACTGGGTCCCCGATTTGGCCTCCGGGGAGGTGAAATCGAAGCCGCAGCGGGTGGCGACGGTGATGGCGACCTCTTCCCACTGGTGAGACTTGAGGTGCCGACGCTTGGAGGAGTACCATTTGTCCTGGTAGGATAGGATTAGGTGGAGGGTTTCTTGTTGGGTCCAAGGGATGGGCTGAGACTTCTTGTTGGGGAAGGAGGGAGGAGGCGATGGAGCTGGAAGAGGAAGCGGCGGTGGAGAGGAAGGAGGGGACATTTCTTCTTTGTTTTGTTCTGGGAGAGAAGAGAAGAGAAGAGGGTGCTGCGATCTAGAAAGGAGGATGGGGAAATTGGGTTAGCGATGGTGGCGTTTGGTGGCCACTTTACTTTGCGGGGGGAATTGATTGATTCGGTGTGCGGGTGGAGGAAATGCCAGAAGCAACATGTGGAGCGGTGGTGGTGGGCGGCGGTGGAGCTGGTGGTGGCTTATTTACGTATATATTCAACTTTTTTTTTTTGTACATTTATTTGCTTCAAAAAAGACAAGTCAACGGTGTAAGGAATAAGAAGCCCACTCCACTGGACAGGTTTATGCAGGTGTGCTAGTTTAGCGAGTGGAATAGTTCGACCAATGACACATATCTGTTTGTGTCGATTCATTCCGGTCAATATTACGAATAAAATTATAAATTCTCATATTTAAACATGACATTTAACATCAATATCAAATATTTATAATTATATCTAACAAATAACATCAATATTTAACTTTTATAAAATAAGTAATTAAATAATTTTATCGATTAAATTCAGGATCATTTTATTTAGAGATTCATATATCGATCATACCGATGGTGTTACGCTGGTTTTATTACCGGTATCGGTTGAACCAAGTTCAACTGATGGCACGCCGGCCGGCGCGACAACCATGCTGGACGGCAACCAAAGAGGATGCATTTTGATCATCCACCATAGTAAACATTACTAGCAACTGCAGCAATAACAATTAAAAAATCTCAAATTCACAATTCGCCTCAAGTTCCAAGTTTTCCAGACAGCGGCTATATATAATCAATCATCATACCATAACTTCGAGTCTCAGACTCAGCATAAAAAAATAAGGTCCGAATAAGAGAGCGTTTATTTCCCTTTATCTATTTGGTCTATGTACAACAACATTACATGTAAACTATACACCCGCATCACACCTTTTATCCCACAAGAATTCAGCATCCCTCCACACCCATTCTCCTATTTTGTATTGTATACAAACATCCCTCTTTTCCCCTGCCCAACAACAAATCACAGAAACAAGGTTAAACCAAAGAGGGAACAGAATGTATCTCAGCTCCATCCAAACTATAAAACATTTTCATTTCTACCCATTTTGGTTACAAGTAACCTGCATCTGAATAATAGCCAGTGATTTGTGGGGAGATCTCGAACAATTTGCTGCAATAGGTACCTCGTATTACCAATCCTCCTTGACCCGGCTTAGTAACTTCACATTGGTTAGTGGCTGCAAGTCATGACAGTTTCTTCACCTTTTGATTGGGACTTGTAAAAATGTACATCTCATCATTCTGGGGGACAGGGTTTGTAATGTCTTGGCCAACAAGAGTTTGGTCCCTGTAGATATCACAAGACTCAATGAAGTCAGCACTCAGCAACTTCTCAGTCTTATCGGATACTATTATTCTCACCGGGTCCTTCTTTTCCTACTTCCCATTTTGCAAATGACTTACTTCGGAATGTCGGCCCTCAGATAAGAGGAAACATGTACGCACTCGCTATATTGACATCAACCTTGTCAATTCAGTTATCAATTGCTACAAAAAATATGGGGGCTGTATCTTCGATGAACAACCCAGCTTTTGCGAGTTCTACTTCAACTTGGATTCTATTTAGGAATTCTGGCTGCATAGTCACGATGTTCAAATGGCATCCTAACTACAACGATACCACATGAAGGAAAATTCACCGAAGCAGAATCCTCTACTGTCCTTTTAGACCCTAGTAGACCATTCACGAGGGATTTGTTACCTTAATTTGATTGCTCAAAGTCTGAGCTATAATGTTAGCATGCAGAAGTACGATAATGGAAATTTGTTAGAAGAAGTCACAAGAACTTACAGATATTTTGTACTCCTTCAGATTTTCAAGTGACTCAGCAAGCTCCACTTGTTTTGACGCTGTTGCCAGCAGTGCCTGCAAAGTAAAATGTTGACATACAGGGCATCAGGCATTTGATGAAGCAATGGTGAATGATATTGTTCTGCTCAAGTTTCTGTACAGCTATGCTCAGGAAGAGGGAAATCTCACCTTCTTTGTCTTCTGTAGATCATATTCTATACCTTTAATACGGCTTAAAGAATCGAGAATCATATCCTCCTTCTCAGGGGGTATGTTTGTGGGTTTGTTGACCAGCTCGTTGACCATTTTCTCCAAATGCTGCAGCCTCTGCCAGCACGGTCGCAACCTATCCTCTTTTGTTTCCAGTGGGACATGCTGCTCGTGTGAACTTGAAACTGCTGATACTGGCTCAGATCGGCTCTGCAATTGCCTCCTTGCATGCTCGGCTGCAAATAATCTCCCCATCTTTGGAAGTACAAGGTATACCCATGCTAACAACTTCACCACAATGCGTACAACGAACCGTGTTCCAGTGGGATTTTCAAGGGAAACATCCTCAGTTGTGATATCTGCACAAAAAATAGATTACAAATCTCAAAACAAAGTGGCCTATCGTATATGAGAAAGTTACTTAAACTGTGAAGTTGTCTAAAAATGTCTACAAGTGTGCATGGGGAATAACAATGACTTAGACCACTGCTAGCCACAAAAAGTAAGCCTATATCACCCTTATCTAAGAAAACGATGACTTAGATACAAGGTGCAGATCTAGCTTTTAATTGAATCTTAAACAATGAAAGTGCAAGTGTTGATAGTGATTAACTATGCTGGGAATGAGAAGACTACTTCATTGCAATCTATAATTTCATGTTCAGATGAGAAGAGAAACAACTGTAATAGGCAGGAGAAACCTATCTAAAATTCAATCAGTAATAGGTCACGTACTTGTTTGATTAGCAGCCTGAACATGGCGTTCAATTACACTATCAAATGCAGATCGATCAGCTGCTGGTCTCTGGTTAACGCAAAAACATAAAAAATAAAACTTTTCATTAAGTAGGCACTTCATGGAGACTAAGCAACATATGCAAGCATATCCGGTGCGTAACATATAGTTACTCAATTATAAATATTCCCTCATTAAAATGTAACAGGTTATATCTCATTCATCTTGACTCGAAACATAAAAAACATCCACTTTGATATATTTCGGAGAAAAAAATAAAGCGTTAATCTATGTACTTATTATATCATGGTGATATGAAAATGTAACACAGTAGCAGGAATGTATTTAATGTAAAATGGTGGTATACATGATGATAAAAATATATTGACCATCATCTACCAACAACTACCACCATGATTATAGTACCAAACGTTTACGTTAAAAAAGAGATTAAACACAACTTGATCAAAACTTTTCAGAAACACTGAACTTTGCACACCAGTACTGACTTCACTTAATCATACTTCAACCAAGAAAACTAAGTCTTCTGCATTCATACCGGAAGCTATCAGGAGCACAATAATGAGGCAGTGCAATTCCAGAAAAGTCAAACAGCAAGTACGCAAAATTTAAGGGTTCAAAGTCCCACTTTAACTCACCCCTGGGCCCCTTTTTCTGTTTCTCCTAATCCTACATTCTTTGTCATCTATTTGTAGCCAATGATTTCAGCAAACCATGAATAAAATATAATGAATGAGAAGGTGAAACCACACCAGACAGTGACATACCCATTGGTTCGGACGTACTTGGATAAATTCTGGCAGGACTTGTTGAGTGAAATCGTTCTGCCTCAAATTTGGGCTTGCATCAGCAGTTGTGATCTCGCTTCTTGATGTCTGCATAAATAATAGACATATATTACTAACTCAGCCGAGAACAACTGTGTAGTACTTTTTCTTAATGTCCTTTGAATTACCTTTGAGGAATATAACTTGATGTCTATGTCCTCTTCATCAGAAAGAGATCTCATTTTTCTTAGGTATAGTGCATCTCCAGCATGTACTAGCTGCAATTAAAGATGCAGTTTTTACTTGAGACAAAAAGAAGAAAAGTATATATTATAACAGCTCCAAGTCACGACAACCAGCACTAATCGTACTTTCATTATTTCCGGATCCTTCCATGGTCCTTTCTCAGACCTAAGACAACCGCCTTCATTAGCACAGCAGCAAGATCCACCAAGAAAGTCCGGTAATTGGCTGTTCAAGAACATGACAAAACCACATCTTTTAGCATGTCACATAACAACCCCACAATAGAACAGAACAACAATAGCACATAAGGAAAGGAAGCCCAACCTTAAGTCAATGACCTCCAACAACTTACTTTGGAACTTGTTACCTAAAACCTGGGTCATCAGATGAACTAATATTTAGTCAATCATAGAACTTTTAATAAAAAGAAAGGACAGATGATGATGCACATACATTGATCTTTGCAGTAGTTCTGGGATCAAGAAAGGTTTTAGCTGTATTCCACAACAGTTTGAATCCACTTCCAGCGTTAACAATGTACATCTGATGCAGAGTCTGTGGAGAAAGACAAATGCCTTAATGTCAGTGTGTAATAAATGATAAACAGTGTGCGAATGATTATATCAGGAGTGGGTTTTCATACGGCAAAATTAAGTATAAGAAGATTCAATACCTCAGGATAGTTGTCCCCATCAATTTTTTGCATGCGCATTACAAGATCATGCGCAACCTTGCCGAAGCTCATCCAATTCTGTGGAGACATTCAAATAAAAAGATGCATAAGACATTCAAATATACATCAATTGTACATGACAGCAATAATCAAAAAATATACCAGTCCATGAGCATCAAGTATGGTTATTGTGGAATCTATGTGCCTCTTGGCTGCAATAGAGCATGCCGGAAATTTCTCCGAAAATGCCTTCTCAAAACCCTGGACATGGTACTTCAAAAATCGATCCACAGTAGTCACACTCATTAGCTTGTGAGGTTCTATCTTTCCAAGTCTTTCAATATAAACAGGTCGGCCTCCTTTGTCTACACCATGGTAACCATGAGGATAATGCCGCTGTACCTCTTCAAATTCCTCATATACAAAATCCTGAACATACAGAACATGTAAATGCATCAGTCAGAATCACTGGTCACGGAACCAGTATGATAAAAAAAAAAGTACAGGTGTAGAGGGGGTCAGTATCAATATCTAGACTTCTCCCAAGAGAAATCTTATCACTGTGACGTGTACCTGTGAAATGGAATCGACTCCGTTCTCTTTCCTCCAGTATAGCATCTCTGACCACATGAGGATAGTTTTGTGAAGGTCAAACTTCCTCGCCTTAAGAAACCTGCATCAACAATTGCTCAAGATTTATGGGGCGGTATTATTTCTGAAACCTTATGAGTTCAGAAATCAGAGAGCAATAAACAACTGTGATCTAAAAGAATACATATCCGACTCCAAAATATATCTGATTTGATGTTAAGGATTCAGCTCTATTACGCAGTTAACTACCAATCATGCCAGTCAACATATTCCATCAGTTCTACTAGTAGAGGCTACCCATGTATCTAAAGATCAAAGGGCCACTAACAACACAGTCTATCTGCACCACTGATCTGAGTAGCTGATAAAGGAACCATAAGATTCTAATACTACACAGCATAAGCAGATGGGTCAATAAAAAAAAAAAACTTATATTATGATTGCGGCAATCAACAGAAATGAAGAGATCACCTCAACAGAGTGTGGTAATCATCGTGTCGCGGGGGTAGCAAGTCCTTTGTGACCAATGCCTGCCGAAATGCATTAACAGCTGCCTCCTCCTTGGCATCCCTAACATCATTTACAGAGATTGCGGCATATCTACAATCAGCCACTCTCCTGCTGCTACGCCTCTTGAGACTGTGCGTGAGCTTGGTGGAAGCGGTCATCGCCTTTTTTCTTAGAGATCTACCCCTGGTTCTTCGTTTCTCGTCCTCAGAAGTCTCCAGATCCAACGCTTTAGCCTTGCCATTCTCTTGATAGTAACGCACCGCTCCATCTCCTACAACAAACCACCAATCACCAAAATGCAATGAACCACATTCCTTAAATATCACACGGCTGAATCCAAATTCCACAAATAGCTCGGCGAGAAAAACATAGACATACCTGGCATTTCCGCTCAACCCTCGTTGTATACAAATCGAGGGACTGCTCCTGGATCAAATCAGATGATCGGAACAAATGGGGGGAAAAAAAAGAACCAAAACGGAGAATTCCCACAGAAGCTTATGCAACAGTGGATGCCCCGTCGGCAGCTGATGTAGATCTCAGCGGATCAAGAATTCGGAAGAAAACTAGTGAATTGAATCCCAAAGCCTGTCGCTGAGAGAGAAGAGTGGATTGAATGATCCAAATCAGATCGGGGCAGTAAAGGAGGAATTCCGGTCACAGTCGGATGACTGCGCTGGCTGTGTAATCAGACCGCTGAAATCTCGGTGGGAGACGCGTGGAGGGAAGCCGCATTCCTGGAGCTCATGACTGCGGCGCGTGTGAGGAAGAAAAAGGCTATAAGAAAGTTGCAGGGAGGCGATCGCGCGACGGAAATGGCGGAGACGACGGGTGAAGTTCTGGTTTTTTTGTTTCTCAAGAGGGAAGAAAGTAGGAGGGCGGGCGGGGCGGGCGGGGCGCGGCTGACTCCTTCTCTCTACGTCTCTCTCTCTCTCTCTCTCTAACAGCTGCCCGCCTGCTGCTGGGATTGGGGATTTTGCTTTCAGGTTACGACTTTAAACAAAGAAGAAGAAAAAAAGGTATATTTTTCGGCCTCGTTTGTGCTTTATGCTCTCCTTTTCTTCTTCTCATCCCTTCTTTTATTTTTCTTTTTATTCTGCGGGTTTTTACGGTTAGGGGAGGGAATGCAAATATTATTTTATTTGGATTTTCTTTTTATGAGGGAGAGAAAGGCATAGAATGCCGTCGTTTTCTAACGGAGGTCATAGAGGAGGGGAAACAAGAGAATTGGCGTCGCTTTGCCGCCTCCGTCTCCTCCCCCTTTCCCTTTACTCGTCTCAATCGGTAACTGTAACCTAACGGTCTTCACCGGCCGTCTCGATTTTAACAAACTTTGGCGCTTCCATAAGCTTTGTTGTTTACTTAGCTCGGTAGTGGTCTCAACGAGTGTCGCTATTGCTATTCGTCGCCCTAAAAATCCTTATTCGTCGCCCTAATTAAGTTAATTTTACTCGAATACCCTTAATTCATATTTTTTAAATTTAAACACTTAAACCCAAAAAAAACTTTTAATTTACCGGAAATAAAAAACAAACTTACTATTGTAGCCGCAACGGAACACCCGTCCCATCTCTCCACGGGCTGCCCGTCTTCTCACAGCGCCGGATGGGTTGAAAACCCGTCGCCGGCGAGCTATAGGATAGGTCAGGGGACGTCGGAGCAGGGGAGGCCATTTGTGTGATGATCGTTTGAGTTTCAATGGATAAGGCCAAAGCGTGGAAGAGAGATTAATATATAAATGAAGTAGGGTTCTTGTCGTCAATGTCGTAACGAGAATTTTCGTCTTCTTCATTGTAGTCTAAGTAGTAATGTTATGCAAAGGAGAGAAATCTGAAACGTAGGCTAAGTAGTATTGTTGTTGCTCTGTAGAATAATTGTTCATGTGAAGCAGACAATGAGATTACGGGCTATAAATCAATAAATGAACTTTGAAGAAGGGTTGTTCTAGAAAGGCATGGAAAATTACAGAGCAGAAGAATTCCTTGGAAGAATTGTGTTTTGACTGAAAATGCTGCAAATTCTATGCAGCTTTTGGGATTAGAGACAAATAAACAGCAGGGTAGACAGCCAGGCTCGCAGAGGCAACGAAGCAGGAGCAGGCGACGCCGCCTTCTTCGATTTGAGCGGCTGCGGATTTGGTTTGGGGGTGAGGAACGAATTAGGAATTGTTTGGTTAGGATTTAGAATTAAAATTGGATTGTGGGGTAAATATGTTAATTTGTTGTATTTTAGGGCGATAAAATTTGAATTCTAGGGCGACAAATAGCAATTCAGTTTATTTTAGGGTTAATTGCAAGATTGGTCACTGGGATTACAAAAAACGTCAATGTTTAGTCACTGAAAATATTTAATTCCAATCTTGATCACTGAGATTAGTTAAATGGTTCTAGTTTGGTCACTCTTCGTTAGTCTCCATCCAACTCTGTTAACAAAATCCGTTATCTGCTGACGTGGCAAACGGAATTGCTTAGTCAGCCTAATTTAATCCAAAAATAATGAAACATGACCTGCCACGTCACTCAACCCACCTTGTCATCTTGACCCAACCCAACCCAACCCCCTCTTCCCTTCTTCTCCAATCCCTAACCCTCTTTGTGAAAAATCGACGGCCAATGTTCTGATTTCCCCACCAGTCTCTTCAATCCCTCCCACTCTCCTCCTCTACTTCCTAGCCCTCCAGCTGTACATGGGCGCTGGGCCGTGCTTGGGCCGACACAACACGGGCATGCTTCGGGCCCATTTATTTCGTGTCGTGCTTGGCACGGCCCGTCAGTTTTCGTGTCGTGCCATGCAAGCCCATTTGTCAACTTTGCTAGGCCCGGCCCAGGCCCGGTTCGAATCGTGCCGTGCCTATTCGTGCTCGTGCCATGCTCGTATTCGTGTTTAATGAAAATGACGAAAACAAAAAAGAGAATGAAAAAGAAGGTGAAAATTGGACGGGGGAAGATAGTATTAACCGATAATGTTTGAGAAAAGTAACAAATAGGAGGGAAAAGAAAATTGTAAGTATAGCGAGTGTGATTTGGCTTTGTTTAATTCTTTGTCCATTTTTACTTATGTTAGTAATTACTTATATATCTTTATGACAATTCTAACAACAACAAATAATTATTTTTCTACTTGTGTTTTGTAATATTTGAACCTATAATTCTTTTTATACTTATTTTCTATCAAATAAATATTATTTTCGTGTCATGTCCGTTCTTATACTCAATAAAGTCTCGAAAATATTAGGCCCGACACGACCCACTTATATAACGTGCCATGCCCGTGCTCGTGCCCGTGCTCATGAAGTTTAGGCCCGACACGGCCCATAAATTATTCGTGCTCGTGCCGGGCTGGCCCATTTATTTCGTGCTCGTGTCGTGCTCTAACCGTGCTGTACCGTGCTAGCCCGTGGGCGGCACGGCCCAGTGCCCATGTACACCTCCAGCCCATCCATTATCTTCATCTCCCTTGGCTCCAGAACCGGCTCACCATCAAAACTCCTCCACTCCCTTGCCATCATACAAGTAGACTCCCCCTTTTCCTTCGATAGTGCATGCTGGCATTTGTGCAATTGGAGATCTAAACTCTCAAGGAAGGTGAAGCGATGTAGAAGGGAGCGATGACCCATCCTTCCACGGTTCCACCTTCGTCTCTTCCCCGCCGGCGATGAGGACGAGGACGACGAGGTGGTAGTAATTGAAGAACCTCCTCTTCCTCGTGCTGCTCGGAGATTTGCCCCCTGCCCCCAATTCGTTGATTGCCCACCACTCCCGACCTAGGCGTTGTCTCCCCTCCTGTACCGCAGATTCCTCCCCTGCCCACCAACTGGAAATTCTGGATTCTTCTTCATCTATTTTATCTAAATGGAAAAAATACCTAGCCCTAACGAATGACAGATGTGCTTCTCCCTAACTTGTTTTCTTCTAGAAGAGAGAAGGCGACAGCGAGGAGGGAGTTGAAGGTGGTGCTCTATCGTTACTCAGTCAGATTAGAGAGGGGAGTGGGATCGACGGTGAGGGAAGAATTGGGAGCTGAGTAGATTCTCCAGCTGCCATTGACGGAGGAGAAGCTGGAAACAAAGGACGAATCAAGGTAGATCAGCGGCAGCCACCTGCGGAGATGGTGCCGCTCGCGGTGGTGATGTTTCTATCGAAGGAAGAAGAATAGGAGAGGGATGAGAAGAGGGAAACCGATGGATTGGATGAGGGCGGCGACGATAGGCGATAGCTTCTTCCGGTCCTCTTCTCCATCGACAGGCTAGGGATTTTGTAGTTTGGTCAAACTTGGGTTTAATTTGGGGTGGGTCAGGTCACTAGATTTTTATGATGTGGCAGGTTTTTATGATGTGTCAGAGTTGGATTTTATTTTGTTTTTGTTAAAAATAGGTGATTAGGCGAGTCTGTTAGCCACGTCAGCATATAACTGACGGTGTTAACGGAGATTGACGGAAGGTAACAGAGAGTGACCAAACTTGACCATTTAACTAATCTGAGTGATCAAGATTGGAATTAAATATTTTCAGTGACTAAACATGAACATTTTTTGTAATCCCAGTGACCAATCTTGAAATTAACCCAACTTTGCTGAACTTAATTCAGTCGATAATGTCAACTGCTACTTAAATTTCTTTGCCCGAGCTTTTATTTTCCCTCCTCCATTAGATCACAACTTCTCCAATCTTAACCATCCACATATTGTTTTGTATTCCTACATAATAAAAGGGTTTTGTATCATAACCTATTCAATAATATATTATTTTAATTACTTCACTATTGATATATAAATAGTAAATTTATTATATTGTATTGTAAAAATGTTAACTTGTTATTTTATTTATTGCTCGTTCCAATAGTGCACTACAAAAAGCGTGATTCATATAATCGTTATATTTATAATAAAGTTGATGAAATCAACTTTAGCGCATCTATGACTACAATTTCAAATACTTATCTCCTGAAGTATGAAGAATATCTTCGAAAGCATACAAGAATTTGTAACCTGTCTACAAACAAATCAACTTTAGTAAGATTTGATAGAAGAGGTATGAGGTTTGGGGACAAGGAATATGACGATTAATTACATTTGTTTTATATATCTTGTTTTTAAATTTTATATAATCTGTTGCCTTTATTTACATGTCTTATTTGAAAATTATGTTTGTACCTGTTCTACCATTTTATTTTGCTTTTAGGTACATTTATTGATTACTAAATTCTTTATAATTGAATATAAAAGCCAAAATGTCTTTATCAATTAATAATAAAAATTTCATGCATCAATTATATGATTTTTGGTTATAATTAAGATACAAGGATTTATTATCTTATTTAATTTTAATACTCAATACGGATAAAATAATGTAAATATAATTTTATTAATAAAATAATTTGGACCCGCATATACTGTCAACAATTGAATTGCATTATGTAGATACAATAAAAGTTATATGAATTTGATTGTAAAAATGTAGAGATGAAAAGAAAAAACCATAATTACAATTGGTTTGGTTTTGCAATTGCAATTGCATAACACTATATAACTTAAAAACTAGAGAGGTGCTCACGAAGCCATACTCATATTGAACCATCCTGAATTGCGTCGTCGACCACTAATCCACTACTCCCTTACCTGAAATAGAAGCAATAACACAATTGAGCTGTAGCTGAAGTACTACGATTAACCAGTCCCAAAACCCAAGCGAACTTTATATTTTTCAATAGCAAAGCAGAGACCGCTCGATGAAACTTTTTTTTTTTTTTTTTGACGAAAACCGCTTGATGAAACTAATACTTGGAAAGACGAATACCCTTAACTGAAAACTACTTGACAAAATAAAAGCAGTACTAGCCCATCTTTACACAAAGGGGTGAAAATGTGGCTGGCAAAACATAACTCTCAAGATGGAAGATGGCATCACGGCTCACGCCAGAACATGAAACTCTTTGCAGTCTACAAAACAACTCATACATTACTAGGATTACATTATACCCGGCCCGACGGCCGGGTGATTTTAATATAATTAAATGTATTAAGGGAGATAATAGGAATGTACCCGGTTTACAAATTCGATCGAATCATCGTATTGTATATGATTGGGGATTTTGTATGATTTTACAAGTCGAGGTTTTAAATTGGAATCCAAGAAAATTATTAATCTGGTTGATTTGTATGTTCAAATTATTTTGGATATTTAAATTTAAGATATTTTTCGTAGCATCTTCTCCAAAAATAAATTTTTGCATGTTCATTTTATTTTGTGTATCTATTGACATTAATCCATACACTCTAATCAATTATCTTATACAACGTCCACTTTGAAATTCAAAAGCATACAAACGTACAATCGCTTAAATAAAAAATTTGGAATGTCAAAAAATAATCTAGTTGAAATTCTTATAAAATTTCAAATATTTCGTATTATAGAAAGCCATTACTTATGAGAAAGTGTCGGCTTAAAACAAACAACAAAAAAATATAAACTCCGATTTAAAGACAAAAACTTCAAGGGAAAATTTTGAAAAAATAAAATATTTAAAAAATCGGATTAGGATGACGGCTAGATTCAAAAAAGATGAAGTGCCGTGAAAAGTTGAAAACAAAACATAAAAAGAAAAGATAAAAAATAAATATAATTACCGTGGATTAAGGAGAAGCCTTTAAGGATAATATGGATAGGGTTCAATTCTCAAACCCCTTTAATATATTCTAAGATAGAGGAGAGATGATAACAGTCTTTCATTTACATTGGTTGACCGTCGACTACTATTGAGGACATAGATCTGACAACACCCCGAACACAACCACATATATTGTTTGACATCAATTACGTTGCTGCTACTACGACGTGTTCTAATGACTTTATTGGGCTGAGAGATACACGAGGAGAGCGAAGAGAGAGATCAGGAGTCTCGGCCCATAGTTGTTGTTCGGCCCAAGGCGCACGTCATTTGGTCTCTTAGTCCCATACGACTAAGGAGAGATACTTCTCCTAATTATACCCTAGTTGCATTAGAGAGAATGGGTATAAATAATCTTGTACTTTGGCCATTGGTTGTACAGTTCATTGATAATAATCAATAAGAGAAAAGTTGAGGGCGCTAAACCCTCCATGAATTAGTCTCGATCATCAATCGATCGAGGATACCACGTAAATATCGTGTGTCTTGCTTGTATTTTTTTACTATTTATCATGATATCAGAGCAGTGAGTTCCAGCTTTGTTGACAAGTTCGACTCGACGGCGCCATGAGCAAGAACGTGGACGAATCGTTGGATAGTAAAGCACCGCAAACTGACGGTGGAGTTGGAAATGATCTCATGTCCGAATATCAACTCCATAACTCTAACAACCCGGGGAACATGCTTGTTGGAGAGGTTCTGACGACATCGAATTATAGAGAATGGGCACTCGACATGAGAGATGTCGTATTGGCGAAGAATAAATATGGTTTCATTGACAGAAATGTTTAGAAGTTGGCTGATCCTATTGAATGGCGGGCTTGGGTGTGATGTGACGCCATGGTTAAAGGATGGTTGAAGACCTCTATGGATAAAGAAATCCAGAGTAGTATTCAATTTTCTAAAAGTGCTCAAGTGATATGGACTCTGTGCTCGCCCTCTATATTAAGCTTAGAGCACTTTTGGGAAGAAGCATAAGCCATATTTGCGGTTCCGCGATTCACTGGTGGGTTGTGCGCTTATGACGTATCGTGCAAGGTACGAGAGCATCAAGAAAATTCCAGGCCGTTTGACTTTCTAATGGGCTTGGACGAACATTTCACAGCTGTTCGTACTCAGGTGTTGGCCATGAATCCAACCCCATCGCTACCCGAAGCTTTTAATATAGTTGGCAATGAGGAGCAGCAGAAGCTGATCACACAACATCAGTGACTGAAGTTTGAGGCTGCAGCACGGGGAGCGTGAAAAGCTTCGATACACGCATTGTCAGAAAGTGGGTCACACTCGAGAGATGTTCTATGAATTAGTAGGCTACCCACCTCATGATCGTGATCAACAAGGGGATAAACGGTCGAAGCATCATGGGAGCGGGAACGAAATGGCATGGCGTGATCCAAAGGCCTCGCAAGCAAAGGTACATCAAAGTCCGGTGGCTGGGTTTATGGTTCAGCAATTGGAACAATTGAATAAATTTTTTGCGGGCTCTCAATCGAGTGGGGAAGATCCTGTTGTGAATATGGCATGTATGATTTATGAAACTTCTGAGTGGTTGATTGATTCCGGCTGCAACAAGCATATTACTACGGATGACTCATTGTTGTCAAGGAAAGAAGTGAACATTTATGGGGAGCCGGTGCGTATTCCGAATGGGGAGAGAATTTTTGTTAAACACATTGGGTCTATTACTCTGCAATCTAGGTTGCAGCTTAGGCGAGTTTTACATGTTCCCGAGTTCCAGTGCAATCTGATTTCTGTGAGTCGATTAGTGAAGGATACCAATGTCGCATTAATCTTTCTTGATGGTTTATGTGTTATCCAGGACTTACACTCCAGGAAGTTGATTGAGAAGGGTGAACTCCAGGATGACCTGTACTATCTCTGATTGTTTGGGAATGGAAGGATGAAGGCTTGCGCAGTTAGTGGAAATAGCTCCATTTCGGAATCGACCTGACATGCTAGATTGGGACACCCCTCATTGGTGAAGATGCAACAGCTTAGCTGTACTCTATCTGTTATTTTTAGTTCAAACAAAGAGCTTTGCCACTCTTGTTCAAGGGCAAAGCAAACTCATTTACCGTTTTTGAGTAGTTTGGTGAAAACAAAATCGGTGTTTGAACCTATTCATGTGGACATATGTGGTGGCTACAAAAAAAAAACTATTCATGTGGACATACATGGTGTTTGGGTATATTTGATGCGTTATAAGTTCAAGGTTGGTCGTTATATTCAGTTTTTCTGCAACATGGTTCGGAAATATTTTGGTATGTCGGTCAAATGCATACAAGGGGACAATGGACTCGAGTTCAACACCGAGGTCCTTAAGGAGTACTATAAGACAGAGGGAATCCTTCTCCAGACTTCGTGCATTGACACACCACAATAAAATGGCATGGTGGAGAGGAAACATCGACATATTTTGGACACTATAAGAGCTCTACGGTTTCAAGCAAACTTGCCCATTCATTTTTGAGGTGAGTGTGTGCTCACTGTAGTTTACCTCATCAACATATTGCCGACAACGACCACTGGTAAACTCCCTTTGAGTTGATTTTTCATAAAGCTGCTAGTTATAAGCACTTGCTTCTTTTTGCGTGTCTAACTTACTACAAAGATAATCATGGGCATCTCGATAAGTTTGTTGAACGTAGGTGCACTAGAGTTTTCTTTGGTATGTAGCGAATCAGAAAGACTATCGCATCTATGACCTCACGTTGAAGAAAGTAGTTACATCTCACGATGTGGTTTTCCATGAGCACACTTTCCCTTTCCATTCTGGCATAGGGAACCAGCTCCACTCGGTGCCGCATCCTGTTTTGCAGGCTGACCACTTGTACGAAGATGAAGGGCACGAGTTAACGCAACCTCTGCTTGAGTCTCCCTTACATGCTCCATCTCCAGCGTCACCTAGGGAAGGCACAAATTCTCCCACGCCGTCGTTGAGCTCGCCTCAACTTCGAGCCAAGACTCTTCGCATAAGCCTATTGGTTTGGAGATAGGCGCTGCTTCTCCTCTAGCTGACCAAGCTCCTACACCTGCAATAGTGCTTCGTAGGAGTGATCGAGCTCGGTTTTGGTCCAAGCATCTGGAGTTGTATGATATGTTGACTTCAGTTCGCAATATAGCCACTCCTGGCGATCAGGGAAGTACTTCCATTTATGTTGACTATCCTTTAGCCTCTTATGTTAGTTATGATAATTTTATGTCCTCATTTTGTGCTTTCCTTGCTGCAGTCACAAACAATAACGAGCCCATGTCATTTCAGCAGGCCATGCGTGACCCTCTATGGTGAGACGCCATGACTCGTGAGGTCATCTCCATGATAGAGAATGGAACTTGGACTCTTGTCGAGCTCCCTCCCGAGAAACACACCATAGGGACGAAATGGGTCTTCAAAATTCAGTTCCTCCCTGACAGAACAATTGAGAGATACAAAGCTCGTCTTGTAGTCGAGGGCTACAGGCGGATCGAAGGACTGAATTTCCATGACACGTTTGCTCCGGTCGCGAAGTTGGTAATAGTTTGGTGTTTGATTGCAGTTACAGTCAGTCGTGGATGACATCTTCACCCGTTGAATGTCAACATTGTGTTTCTGCATGGAGATCTTAATGAGGAAGTGTACATGGAGATTCCCCAAGATTTTCGTACACAAGGAGATACCAGAGTATGTCGGTTGCACAAGTCAATCTATAGTTTGCGACAGGCTTCTCGTAACCAGTACCAAATATTTACAACTACTTTGTGTGAGTATGGCTTTTCCGCTTCACCTGTAGACCATTCCTTTTTTATTTTTCAATGGGGGAGCACATTCGTTGTGACTCTCATTTATGTGGACGATGTGATACTGGTTGGAAATGACCTTTTCTTCATCACTGGAGTCAAGCAGTTCCTGAATAACATATTCAGCATCAAGGACCTTGGCCCCTTGTGCTATTTCTTGGGGATTGAAGTGGCGCGCATAGCTAATGGGATAGCTCTCAACCAGAGAAAATATGTTTTAGACATATTGGAGGACGCTGGCGTGGAATAGGTGTGTACATTATCGGTTGGTTCGGGTTTAGCCATTTTAATTACCTGACCCATGCACTACGGTTTGGGAAATATCAAACTCAAACCCGCCCAAAATAATTTAAACCCTACGGTTTGTTTCTAATTGGGTTGGGTCGGGTTGGCGATATTTTTAAGTAAAACCCAACCCAACATAAAATATATAATTATTCTACATCATAAAATTATTTTATAACTAATTAAAATTTCAAACGAATAAACCGAGGTGAAAGGTATCAAAACTCACAATGTTTTTTGAATTTGAATAAAATGTGATTTACTTCAACATATGTCTAATTTTTTTCACGATATTTGTTGAAATAGGCTAAAAATGTTATAAACAAACGCATTCATAATATGTTATTCTATTAAAATTGTACACAAGAAAAATGATTACGTGAATCATAACTATATTCGATTTATGTCTAAACTTTAAGTCAAAGAATGCATTAGATTAGGGAGACCATGAGAGAAAAACATGACGAAATATTTTAATTTTCTCATAAGTATGGCTATATACGACATAAATATTTTTAGATACGAACTCATACTAATAGTTGGAACACGGTTGGGTCGGGTTCAACGGGTTGTGTAATCCAAAATCCAAACCCAACCCAAAGAGGCGAGTTGTACAAAAGAAAATCCTCACCCAACCCAAAACCTTCGTTTTAGCGATAAATACGGGTGGGTTGGGTCGGGTTGGACGGGTGGGTTGGGTCGGGTTGGACGGGTGGGTCGGTTTGCGGGTGTGTTTGTTCACCCCTAGTGTGGAATGCTCTAGGCCGAGCTCATTCCCCATTGAACAAAAATATTATTAATAAATAAATAAACTTGATGTGGTTATTGTGGGTTAACCACCGTGGGCAGTGGTTAACCACTAACCACAAAAATCAATATTTTGCTACCCACATCCAACCCACTATCCACAAATTGTGGGTATGGTTACCCACAAAGAGTGTCGTTTGGTAGGGCTGGCTATTTGGTCCGGGTTTTTTGGTTTTACCCGAAACCAGACCGCATAACCCGGACCGAGACCGGATAGTAAACAATCCAATCCAATCTTTGGGCTTAGATTTGATGTAAAAAATCGTTCGGCACCGGATAAAAAACTGGATAAAGACCATAAGAGAGCTCAACACCCAAAACTTAAGGGTAATTAGCATAAACGATCACAAACTTTTGCACTTAGTACAAAACTTAACCAACTCCTCACCCTTTTAGGCCTTAGGCCACTCAAATTCGCACAAGCTCAATATAAAATCAAGACCAAATTGGGACCGGACCGGGTCAAGACCGGACCAGATCAAAACTGGACTGTATCCAGTCCAATCTTTGGTCCTTATATTTTCAAAAAGACCGGACTGGACCGGATTGATTTGGGCCAATTTAACCAGATCGGACCATATAGCCACCCCAACCATTTGGTGCGGTTTGCGGATTGCAGCGGATTACTGCAATCCGCAAACCAAACTTCCACCCATGGTAACTCACATCACAATTCATTTGGTGTTAATAATTTTCCGCTCCCTTGTATGTTTTCTTAAAATCGACAAAAACCGACATATGGGTCGGTCAAACAGACTGAATTTCAAGTTTTGGCCCGTTTTGATCAAGTCTAATTTATAATCACATGGTTCCCTGATACCCGATAAAAATCTCAATCCAAACCAGTTTGACAGGTGAGTCAGTGTTTACCACCAATTTCTAGGGATACAGGAACGGTGGTTCCTATCCCAAATCGTGTTATTCATTGTTGATTTCTTTAGATTTTATCATGGCTTTGCAAAAAACCAGAAAGCACAATGATAACAAGATGAAAATTTTATAAAGCAAATTAATCGGCCAACCCGCCGAGTAAAAGCTAACAACGATTGTGAGATGCTCATTTCCCGAAAACCGGCGGGATAAGCGATTTTTATTCGATTTTCTGGAATTCGATTTCTATAAAACTTACTCAACCTCATCATATTACAATAAACAATATTGTTTCACAAGGTAACAGGTACTTGATTTTGGTTCATAAGGCTGATTTTTGATTCGTTGCATCATTCATGTTTCTTTCTTACTAAAATGCACTATTTTTATCACGTGTTTCAAAAAAAAAAAAAATTATACAACAATAAGTTATACACTCCATTACATTATCAAATTTCGTACACCATCCTTCCACCATCCTTCCACCGACCAAATGGCGGGCCACGCTAGTATCTATACTATATATTATGGCAATTCAAAAGCAATCTCTTGCCACATAAACACTTGGAGGATCCACAATTTGCCAAGTTGTGCAACTTTTTTACAAACAAAAAAATTAGTTATTAATGTATTTATGAAGCTACCTCTTTCTTCTTTAATATTTCCATTTCTTTTAACCTTTTTTTTTTTGCTTTAATAGTATGTTACATGTTGATAAACTTAACCAAACACACATAAATAATAATTTTTTTGTCCAGTAAAAAAAATATAAATAAGAAAACAGAAAGTAACATATACCACATTTGTTTAAATAAAAAATATCTGATTAAACCTTATGAAGTAATTTTTTACTCATTTTTACTAAAATTGAATGATAAGTTACATTTTTATGGAAATTAGACAAACATACACATAAAAAATAATTTTTGTTATTAAACAAAATTTATATGAAAAGAGAGAAAATAAACATTTAACATTCAATTACCTATGAAAATAAACTATATTACTTTATATTTTGTTGCAATGAAACACTCTCTTATTCGTAAATTATATGTCTATAAAATAAAATAAGTATTATTTAGCAAAATGTCAGAGTATAATCTTGATCGAGTAGTTATAATTATTTATTTAAAAAAGACTTATTATTCCTCACATCATGTTCTACCTTAAACTCCTCAAATGAAGAGAAATCGCATGTGCAATAATTTTATAATGTGTCCTAAGTTCACATTAATAATATTTGTTCTATATCATGTTGATTGAGCAAGCTCTATTGATGTCATAAGTCGTATGCTAAGAAATTTTCTTTCAGACTTGGACTTATCGTCAACTATTATAAATAAAAATTTTCAAAATGACTTAAGTATGATTGTTGACGAACTTTGACTTCATACTCTCGGATGAGACACAAGATTCCTTAAAAAAATATAAAGAAATGTTAGAGAATCTTTATTGAGAATCTACGATAAACATCGCGTTTCATCAACTACTAACCTAGAAATTTAGCAAATAAAGGTTGGCAATTTTTAGTAAAATAGTCAACAATCAAGTATCTTTATCCAGTAATCTCAACTCTCAAAATTGGTTGACAGTTCGTCCAAACTCGAGAAACACGAATTGATATATGTTGTATAGATAATAAGTTAATGCAAATAATCAAATGAAATCCACCGATATTGTTCAAATGATAAGACATTTTAAATGCAGTTGAAATATGTGTGTATTGTAGACACTCTTTATCAAATATTAATATATAAGTGATAAAATCTTTGAAAATTACACATTCAACGACCATGTTAAGACCAAAATCCTCGATAGTGTGTGCGAGTGTCTTAGATTGAGATTCTAAGCCAACATATAAACAATGACCACGGGTTGAACTTCAAAAATTAACAATTGATACATATTGTATAATATACTAAATTTAAGTGTCTTGATAGAAAAAAACTAACATCCAAAATGGAAATGAGTCGAGATTATAGAATTTAATCATCACGAGGGCTACGGTGTGTGTCAAGTTTCAATATGGATGAATAAATTGATCCAATAATGAAGTATCTTTACTAAGAATGTCTCACTAAAAAGTCCCAATCTTTACAACATTGGTCAAGAGTTCGTCCAAGCTTGAGGCTCATCAATGTGTATTGGATTTCCAAAGGACCTAAAATCTCAATCCCTTTCGGGGGCTAAATACTTATGATCACAACCATAGGTATCAAAGAAGAATGAAAAGAAGCACAAAAAAAGAACATAACCTCCGATACGATGAACAGAATAAAACCATATCGAGCTATGATCCTTTCATCCCTACCCTTTTATTCTCCATAAAGGGGGGCGGCGGGAGAGGATAAGAAATAAATAGCATCATCTTAGAATTTCCCTTTTTATATATTAAATATCAAACAATAGACAACCTCAATGGTTGTCTGACGTTATGAGGTAAAAGCGGGATCTCTATCCCGAGGGTGGGGATAGGCGAGTAGCACTTATATATATATATATATATATATAAAATATCAAGGTATACTATATTTTCATTTTACTCAAGATACGATAGAAGATAGGTATGACAAAGTATTTGCATAAATTAGAGGTTAGAGAATTAGGGATTAGAGTTCACCTATTAGAGGTTAGGGTATAGTATCATGCCCCAAAAAACTCCGGAGTCTAAATAGTAAAACTCAATGGTCGTATGGTAGTGTGTGTGGTTCAGGTTGGCGTACGCTAAATATTAGTATTTTGGTTGAAAAATTTTGACATAAGTTATAAGTGGGACGTGACAGCGGCATAATTTATGATTAGAAAACCGAAGCATCAGAAGTGAGTGTGCTAAATATTGGAAATTTTCAATATAGACATACTACAAACTCTTTTATGAATCAAGAACACAAAATATTTAGAAGATCCAAAATGATTTAAACATATAAATAAGTTAATTAATATAAATTATAAAATAAATCTCTCTCGCTAACGGGCCGAGTATAAAGCTAGTTGTAAAATATAGCCAACCACAAAAATTCACGGGCAATATCGACCCAAAAAGACGCTATATTTGATATGTCCACGGAACTCTCACCCAACTACTAGCCAAGTGCCCAAGTCCATGATCCAAAACAGCGGAGAGCCAGAGACTTCCTCTTTGGGCGGCACTGTCTCTGGTTCTCCTTGTTCGCTCTAAATTACGCCCACTTCCACAGTTCTTGGAATAATGGGTCCAATGTCCATCTTGGGACATGGGGCATCTATAAAACCTCCAAAGTTCACACCCGGACCCTTCCGTTATAGACGCGATTCGAAGCTACATTCCAGCTCTCCCAGAGTAGGATTTCCGATTTTACAGGAAACCCACACCAGCATTGCTGTAACTCTTCCTTTCAGGCAGTCTACTCTCAGGTAAAGCTCTTCTCTTTCCGTCGGTGTCATTGAAGTTGCTTACTGAAGTAAGAAGGTATACAGTTACACTGTTTTTTCATTTCTTGGTTTGGCCAAAAGACTTAATCTTCAACTGATAGGAGTTATACAATGCGTACTTTGAACAAACGTTCCACCCATTCACTATAAGATTTGACATTTTTTTCTCTATTGGAGGTTCCTCTGTGGGGGTTCGAGGAATGCTTTACTGCTCATTTTGGTTTTGGCTGTTTACCGTTGATGCTGCATTTGTAATTTTTGGTTTTTCATTCGCATTGCCCTCCAGCGTTTGGATATTGTTTCTTCGTCACTTGCATTTGCAGTTCTAGTTCAGGCACTGATATGCCTGGAATAATTCCATGTCATACAAGCAGGATTAGAAGTCTTCCCCTGGATGATGCTGGAAATTTTGAAGCTTACAAAGATCATGATGGTGAAAATGGGGGTACTAGCGAGATACTTGAGAATCAGAGAAATGAATCTACTGATACAGAGAATACATTTCTGCTGATATTAGTTGCTGCTCTTGGTGTGGCTGTGATTCTTACCATTGTATCAGCTGGTCTAAGAGAGCCCAGCGTTGGATCCTTTTTTGGTGTTCAGTGTTTGTCTGAAAGTTCAAAAACTACACTAACTGCTGTACCTGTGGGTTATAGTTTCAAGGCTTTTGGATATCGAATTATACTTCCGGAATATGCACCAGGGTATGCAACTGTTACTAACCTCTCATCTCTGTAAACAAATCATATATCGTCCTGTTGGCCTTAGTGGGTCTGAACTGCAATGTTTGACATATCAAGTGAACTCAATGGCGTCATCTGTTATTTCACTGATATCTTTGCTGCTTGACATTTGCTGATAATGTTTCAGGTGGCTTTACTTTTGGTTGCTCATGGCAGCTGGTTTTGGACTTTTCATCAGTGAAGAAGCTTTAAACATTTGGGTCTGTCCTTTGTGCTGCTAGTACTTTGAGCATCACTCTCAACTTCTGTTGGCTAGGGTTGATGCACAGCTCTAGCTCCCCATGTTCGTGAATTTTTGTTTATTTCATTTAGGTTGGCATATCTTTGTCACGGATGCTGTCTTTGGATGGGACATGGCAGTCTTTTGCTGCATCCTTCTCCAAGAATTCTGCATACATAACGTCTACAGTTTTATGGGTATACTGGTTAGTAATAACTTGACTACTCACTTCGATAGCTTGTCTGTTATATCAATCCATTACTTTCAGCTACTGTTGCAAATTTAGCTATGTGAGCCTAATCTCATGTAGATCAGTAGATGTAGCTAAATATAAGGACCGAACAACATTGAGTGTTAGCTCTCTGAAACTAGTTGGTGAACAGTCTAAGAACTCTTGTAAGCTCTTAGTTAGGGATAATGCCCGATGCTGCTATCATTTCTTGGTATAAGTTGATGCAAAGTCTTAGCACTGATAATTCCTTCACCTTTTGGTTGTTGTTCTGAACTTCAGGGGAGTATGTATCAGTGATATGGTACCTTTCTACCTAGGAAAGCTTTTTAATAACACCGGAGCGTCAAATGATATCCGTGCAAAGGTACAGTCCAGTTTGCTTGTGTTTAAGCTTTCTTTCACCATTGTAGCTGTTGTTCAGCCCAACTAATAAGATGATCTGTTTGTTTGAGGAATTACTAATCAAGTTCACTTCTGAATGAAAATTCAACAGATAGGCATTAGTGAAGAGAAGTTCCTGAGCATCACGGGCATTGTACAGAAGTATGGAAACCTTGCAGGCTTTGGTGAGTATATATACTTTCTAGCTCTATTGAAAAGTATCACAGACTTGGAATATTTCATACGAAGGGATACTATTCAACATTATTCTATGTTGTGACCATGTTCTGTTGTGATATCGTAGTGGAACGATTTTCCCTGGGAGTGAGAAATCCAACAGCCTTCCTAGCTGGTTCACTGGTTAGTATTGTCCCTACAAAATAAATCACTTCGACAAGCAACTGCGAAGTCTTCGAGCTAAACTCGTTTCTTCCATGTTGGTCGATGTGTTGAGTTCAGTGGGTTACTGTAATGTGCCATTCTAAGTGCAGGGTGTATCGCCCGAATGCTTCTTCGCTGGAGTTTGCTGTGGTGGTGTAGTCACACTTTCAGTGCAGGTAAATCATCTTATTTCACTAAAAAAACCACTGGGACATCGGCGTGTTGCTCAGTGAGACTTCCATAGCAAGCACATTTTCTCAAAGTATCTTCTCTGGGTTGGAAGTTCTGCCTGCCTTCTGTCTGTAGTTGAAAATGCTAAATGCTGGATTTACTTCCTTTGGTTTTCCAATTTCAGCTGGGGATTGGATTCCTATTGAGGGAGCGTCCCATGTTTGCCCTGGCCACGGTAGCTACTGTAGTGGTAAGGCAAACCCTCCTTTTCTTTCATTTCTGGTCGGTTGTTTCTTCCCAGTTGGTGCATATTAATGTTCTGATTTCCAAACCGACACAGGGTATCTGGACCGTGTTCCCTTATGCCATGGCTGCTTCAACTGCTTTGTTCCTCTATTTACAACGTCGACATACCACATAGGTCTCCTTCAGTCTAGTCCCACAACTCAGGAAGGATCTTCATATAGAATTTGCTGGATGGGTTTCCAATGCTTGCTGATAACCATCGAGAACATTTTGCACGTTCATCAGGAGAAAGGTAACGTACCATTTGCAGTAAATAACCATCTAGTGTATGAAGTAGCACATACTTTGTAATGTATCATTCATATTGTAAGCCGAAGCTGCCCCATATCCTTGTAAACTTAAAAAGCCACTAACTTTTTCATGGCAATGATGATGTTGATTCTTGGTCCAACTAAGAAATAAAATGATGGACCTCCTTCCTGTAGAGGGTTATAGTACTGGCAGTCTGAACAGCTTTATCATTTAGATGTGTGGACCACTTCAAACTTCAAAGTAATGATGGAAGAATCCAATGCTAAGTGATATCTACTTGCTGCAGCTTGTAGATGTTTGATTAGCTTTATCAATTAGTGAAATTCATCAAGTATTGAGATAACTGAGCGTTGTCTCTGGATGGATTATTTGGATGAGTTATTTGGTTTTAAATAACTCATAATTAATGAATTATTTGGACCTTGCACAAAAAAAAAAGGAGTTATTTGGACTCAGATAACTCTTCTAGCAACATTGAGATGCGTTATTTGGGTTGTGAGTTATTTGAAATAACTGCTACCCTGTGTTATCTTAACCCAATTATCACTGAAATAACAATGAAAATCAAATATACAATTAATGAGTTATTTTACTCTACAAATACCACATGCACAATGACAATTAATCCATTCAAACGACACTTGAGATTTGGGTGTGAAATGTTTTCTTTTTGGGGATGATTGATGATTTGTGTTTAAAAATGCTATGTATTCATTTCACAAACTCATATCATTTGTGCTTTGTGTTTGTTAGGTAACATGCTTTTTGTGTAAGGATTAGAGAAGACATGCTCTTAATCTTGCCAGTTAACTTAAGAAGTACAAAGAAAGATGCGTAGGACATGATCCTGCTGAAATAACTTAATTGTCTTTCCTTAATTTCTACTCTCTACCGAAGGCATCATGCCTTCTTTACAAAAACATCATACAGCAGAAGGCCAGGTCAAGTTGAAGAATAAATAGAATACATAGGTTTCCCTTTTTGTACCTTTCAGTGGAGAAACAGAATTATATCTTACAAGTCACAGGAAGCCAGATAAGCGAGTTGGATGCTGTAGGCTTCTTTCAGCTCAGCCAGTACTTGAGCAATAGTTGGTCTCTCTGATGCATCTCTGTCCACACACCTTACAGCAACCATGGATGCCTTTCTCATACTCTCCACATCAAAAGTTCCCTTCAAATTATCATCCACTATCTCCAATGCTCCAGCTTGCAAGTATGGCTTGGCCTGAAATTTTGGGAAGTAAGAAAATCACAACTTCATAGCAATTTCAAGCTTTTCACTTGAAATGAAAGGGAAAAAGGAGCTTCTGGTTATCTAACCCATAAAACTAGATTGAAGGAATCTGGAGTCCCGGTATGGCACAATGGCTCTCGCCCGCAGATCAGTTCCAGAAGCACAACTCCAAAGCTGTAGACATCACTTTTCTCTGTGAGCTGTTGGGTGGAGTAGTACCTGGAGCAGGTTAAAAATAGATGGTCTTTTAGCAAAATGTTTTCATTCATCAGGGGAAAACCAGCAACAGAGGGCGGAAAAGACTATGGCTTTACTCAGGATCAAGGTAGCCCGCAGTTCCCTTGACTACAGTAGTCACATGACTTGCATCAGACTGCACAAGTTGCTTGGAAAGACCAAAGTCACAAACCCTTGCATTCATGTCTTTGTCCAAAAGTATGTTGCTGCACTTCACATCACGGTGGATGATACGTGGATCACTGCCATTGTGCAGATACTCCAATCCTTTTGAGATACCGATTAGCAATCCAGATCAAGGAAAATAAAACTTCATTAGTTTCACTACTAGTTGTTTTTTTAGCTTTGATAGACAGATGGAATGGAACCAGACATACCTTTTGCAGCATCAACAGCAATTTTCAGCCTGCGAATCCAACTTAAGGAGACTTTCTGACTGTTTGATGACTTTGATCCTTCAGGCAGAGACAAGGAAAATATTTGAATCTATTGTGAAAAGGAAATGCTGTCTGTTCATCCAGTCATCCATTATTGCATTATACATACCATAAAGGTAGTCAGCTAGTGACCCCCCAGGTAGATACTCGTATACAAGGATCTGCTGCTTTGATTCATAACAGAATCCTTCTAGACACACTAGATTCTGATGGCGAATCCGTGACAGCAGATGGACCTGAAAAAACACAAAACCTCCCCCAAGTTAGTTTGTTGGTATTCTTGCTTGATGACTGAACTCGAGTAGTCTATCTCTATTATAAGCAAATGACATTGATTGATAATGATAGCACATACAATTTCGTTTTAGAACTATGCAAGCAAATGACATGTGGCCCGTTGATATCACTCCAATCCTTAGGAGGAATGGTTTATCTTTTGCATTAACAAATCACTTGCATGCTTCATGGTGTACCGAAATACTACCATAATCTGCCTGGTCAGGGGTGACAGCAAGTCTGCTGTTGCAATGGCTGAGAAACCTATATTCTATAGCAGAATTAAGCATATCAAAGATGAAGTTCCGTGTGATGTTCGAGACTGAGTGAAGGATTGGTGTCACTGGATAATTGTTTACCGTAAGAAAAGAAAAACAAGTTTTAAGGATGAAAAGGGAATGGTCCTATGTCGCTTGAAGTGAAGTATATGAGCTCAAACAGTTTGACATTACCTCATTGATGAAAGACTCAGCTCCAAGTTGACTCCTGTCAAATCTGACTTTCACTGCTACCAGTTTCCCATCAACAAGCTTCCCATGGTACACTGAACCAAAGCTCCCCCGGCCGATGACTTGCTTAAAGTTGTTTGTTGCAGACTTGATTTCTTTGTATGAAAAGACTCTAGCTGAATTCCAGCTCTTCATGTGAATCATATCTATTCCATCTCCTGTTTTCAGGCAAAGTTACATGTTTCTCAGTTCAACATTTCACATAAACAATTCTTCAATAGCAGAAGTAAGGGAGGTGGTGGGTAGATTTTCAGTTTCATTTCTAACGTACTCTGCTCAAATGGGACTTCTGTTCTATCTTTTCTTGTGTACAAGAGTAGTGCTACGGAAATGACAAGGAGAGCAAGTAATGAGCCTCCAGCTGCACCTACTATGATCGCCAAATGGTTTCTGTTCTCAGGATTCTTCTTAGCAAAGATTGTGACTTGTGGAGTCTCGATGGAAGGATTCGAGGAAGCATCGTTGCAAGTCATAGCGGAGAAAGAAACACAAATATTTCCTGATGCCCTGGAAACACACATAAGTTGGCAACTTCAAAGAATCATTCATTGATTATGACTTTCACAAACATATATGGAAGAAATTCCTTGATTACTTGACTTCCAAGCTTTCTTTGTTGAGAGACTCTGGCAGTGTGCCTTGTAGCTTGTTGTTTTCTAGGTTCCTGAAGAATGATACTCTATTAGATATGTATTTCGTTCATGGCTTTTGCCCATATTTCGAAGCTTCGATCTGAAATACATAATTTTGAATATAAATCCATAGCTAGCTTACAGAAGGTGAAGGTTCTCCAGCTCTCCCAATCTGTCAGGTACCACTCCCTCTAAGCTGTTATTCTGCAGGTCCCTAAGGATTGAAACACCATAATGCAACTTATCCACATCATCTCAAAATCATAGAGATGCGAAGGAGAGAAATATTCTAATGTATAGATTTACTTCAGAAGAAGATTTCGACTTACAGAACTTGAAGGCCAACCAATTTCCCCAGTTCACCTCCAAAGGATGTCAGCTGATTGAAGCTGAGGTTCCTGAAAAGCAAAATCCCCAGTTTGAGGCTTGTAAGAAATGCACTCTCTTACGTTTTTTTTTTTTTTTTGTAATAAGAACTTTTCATCTCTGAGACAATGATGTCAAAGGACGATGCAGTTTACAGCGTCTCAAGCTGTTGGAGGCTTCCCAAGTTCTGTATCTCCCCAGCAAGTGAAGTGTTGTGTAAATCTCTGCCGTAGAAGATGGCACAAGATCAAAAGATAAAACAAAATGGAAACTGGAAAGAGGCAAGATAAAGTATCAATCCACTAGGAGGTTTCCAGAGATGTACAATGTCTTGAGATCCAGCAGGTCTCCAAAAGTAGGACTGATTGCCCTTAAATTGACATCTGAAAGCTCCCTAAGTATGAACACAGAAAAGGGTCACAAGGCATAGTCATCGAGATGACAAATTAAGTAAGAGCCATGAAGGAATTTGAATAAGGGCAAAAGTTAGCAGATTTCAGTCAGAAGAACCCACAATGAAGTGACCAGGCTTCCTTCACATCCAACATGAACCCATTCCGACGGAGAGCAAGGATCATCCTCCCAACCCAGCTCCAATCCAGTCGCCTGCTGAATAACCTGAAGCGCTGAAACTGCAAGTGAACCCACCCAAAAACAACCCCACAAGTCAAACATTGACAAAAAAAACAAGAATGTAGTTTGGACCTCCCCACATAAATGAAGAACAAAGTGAGCAGCTATAACTGGCACCTGTTGTTGAGGAAGCTTCCAATGGAATGTCAACAATCTGGTAAACTTCAATCCCATTGATCTGTGGATAAAACCTGGTGCTTCTCAGAGTGAGATTCAGGTTATCGATTGCCTTGCGGGTCAAGTAGAGAGCATATGCTTCGCCCATCTGCACCGAATAGTCCAGTTCCACCATGTCTCCATTGACCACGACATCGAATGCTGGTGAGACTGGAAGTATGCCAGCAAAATAGAGGACAATGTAGTAGTCTGCTGGGACACCCAGTGGGAGGTTGTAAGTTAGGACATCGCTCCTCGCCAGAACTCTAGCAGTTTGAAGAACAGAAACTGGAGGGTCCTCTGCAACGGTGGAAGTGTTGAGGCCTAGGAAGACATTGAATCCGGAAGAGACATGGAAAGGGTTGTAGTTCTCATCAGCATCCCATATCCGGTCGTATGGATCCACCGGGTATCTGGACACAAAATCCCAACTCTACTTACGGATTCAAAACTATAGCAGGTTGTATACAGAGTGGAATATTCTAACTGCATTTATTATTTTTCATCACCATATACCACTATATACCAGGGTGATGTATTTGATTTTGAAATTTTTTCTCAATAGATCACGATTAACTCATTTATTCTAGGTGAAATTTTAAAAAATTTGAGTGAAAACGAAGGTGGTGCCAGAATGTTAACAAGTAGTATAGGTGATACGGAATCTTTTTCTCGAAATATATTGAAAATGGATATAATTTTTAAATCACAAATATTTCATTCCATCTATGTAAATAATTTTGAAATCTAAATTAAAACAAGCAAATTAATGAAAAATTGGACCATTTTATATCTGGTCCCGCTTAAAATCAAAGGACCATTTTATTTTCTTACTTTAAGTTTGGAAATTCAGTTTATATGATTTTGAATTATAATACTATAGTCGATCGATATGGAGAAGTAGAGTCAATACAAAATTGAATTCATGGACATTAAATAATTT